CTTTAGTTTTACTTATTTTAATATTGTGAAGTCTTCCTCAAGTGATGTAGTTTGGTCAGTGGAATCCATCTTGTTGAGAGCTTGCTGTCCAATGAACGAGTTGAAAAGACGCTCAGAAAAAAATTGATTGATTGGGGTGTGTACGGGTAAGATATATGTAAATTTCACTGATTACTGCCAGTAGCGAGTTGAAATAGCCATAAAGAATGCATTTCATCTTTAATCAGAGGGTCAAAAGGTGTGCTCTGCCTAACGAGCCTCGATGCAGAGAGGAGATGATGAAGAACTTCACAGTCCTCAATTTAATAGTGTTTCCACTTGGAAGGATTCATTCCTTTTTTCGGGAATTATAAAACAGAAAGAACTAAGAAGGACTTTCTAAGAAATTGGTTTAGAAATTTCTGGCTTAGAAATTAGAAACTGGGTTGTCAGTCAAAAAGCGGGCCACTTACATAGGAAGAGCTTCAAGGTTTACGCAAACTGTCAGCAGTAAACTGATTTGGCAAATTCAATGTTATAACTGTATACAAAGCTGCTTTTACAATTTCTAATTTGAATTAGATATCCTGAAAGATTTCTAAATGTGTGAAATCATTTAATGTGTTTAAAACTGGCTTAGTATGACAGTGAGTAAATTGAGCACCGATCTGTCCCGTCACATCAGAGCAATTTTGTCCCTGTTCTAAATTTGATGAACCATGCCAAAATAGTAGAAACATGTAGCAAATTTAATATCATCTAAGCAAATAGAAGGAAATTTTGGAAAACTTGTCGAGAAAAAGTGCAAGCACTGCAAGTTTCCTGCGCTTTGGTAAAAACAAACGAATAATTGAAATGTAGTTTTAGCTGTGTGTAAAACACTTATTTGCACGTGGACTGTTGAAATTGGCAGATCAACAAAATTTGCAACCCCGATATGAAAGGTTTTTTGACAGAAATAATACTTATGAATGTAAGTAAATTGTACCAGGAATAAAAAATAGATTTAATGAATATTTTAAGGTTTATCATCGGCTTTTCATTTCTACATGATAATGGGCTATGCTCGAAACGTCATTATTCATTAAATCTATTTTTTATTCCTGGTACAATTAACTTACATTCATAGTTGTTATATCATTATATTGTACCACATGCAATCTAGCATATTATTCTGGCAGAACTACAAAACAATAGGCATTTCAAGACATTCTATTGTTGTTTAAAAGGCTAAACTTTGATAAAGCAACAAAAAGCAACAAAAATCATGTAAAATACTAATATTTGCAATTTAAAATAATAAATGTTCATATTAAACACACACAAACTCCTTCTAGTTAGCTGTGTGGAAATCTTTAAAAGAGTCAACATTCAAAACGAATCACTCAGCCAGAGAAATCAATGCCTTATATCTTTTCAAATTAGCTTTTCTGCTATTACATAAGGCCAGTGGCGGCTCGTGACTTTCACAGTTGGGAGGGCAGACCATCAATATTGCGATAATCGAAAGAAAGGTCGAGTTTGCAAATTTTTCACTGTATTCATAGTTCGATGTTGATCGTCATGGAGCGCAGAAGAAAAAGCATATATAGATGTGGTTGTTGTTTAGCGATGATGTCATTTCATGGGCAAAATTTTTCTTGCCCCGAATTCCTCCAAATAAGCCAATCACAGGCCGCGTTTCGCAATGCTCGAGGTCGAAAATTAGCTGGTGCGCATGTCGGCTAGGGGCAAAAAAAAATTGCCCGTAAAATGACATCATCGCTCAAGGCACTAGCGGGCCAGAAGCGAGGCTAAGGACGAGACAGGATAGCAAGGAGCTTTTTCTAGCAGAGATACAAACTTATATAATTAACCACAGTAAAACTATCTTCAAAATTAAACATGAATATAATAGATTTCCTTTGAATCTTTTTGAGGGGGCATTGCCCCAGATGCCCATTAGCAAGAGCCGCCACTGCATAAGGCTGTAATTCAGATTGCTATAATATTAATACAGAACATGAAATTAAATAGGAACATACCGTCAGGCTGCAATAATTGGCAATATTTCTTAATGTTGTATCTGTAATTGCACATTCTGCTAATGTCAGCTCTTCGAGTAGCCCTGATGAAAGAACATCAAGAAGTCCTCTGTCACTTATGAATGGAACTCCCTGGAGATCCAAGATTTGTAGATTTTTACAGTACAGTCCAACAGCAATAATACCCGAATTTGACAAGCATTCACACTCTGGCTTTAAAGGAAAAACAGCTCTCAGTAAAGTAATGCAACAATCTTGGCAGTTGAAGGCTGTGGACAAATTTTTATGTACAAAAGTCCTGTACAAAAGTAAGGCATATCGTACAAAAAAAATTAATGAAAATTAATGAAGAATTTTGTCAAGAGGAAGTGACGGATAAGAAGACACTTTCATATGTGCGATAGTATGTGGAAAACAGGCAAAATGGTGATAATATGATGTGGGCGAATGGTGATCAAGATTATTGATGGTTCACAATGATTGATTATTATGATGAAATGTTATTGTAGCTGAATAAAGAAAAATTTTGGCATTTGCACTGAAGTCCTCATGAAGCAAGCTTCATACACTTAAAGGCAAAGAAGCTACCTACCAGACCAAGTTTAATCAGCCTTGGTTCATTTCTGGCAATTTCTTCCAAAATCGCGTCAGTAAGTCCTGTCCATGAAATGCACAATGAGGTCAATGAATGATTAGAATGAACAAACATTTTGATGCAGTCCTTGCCAACATCTGAATCATAAAAGGAGATCTGTGATATATCAAGTTCTGTTATATGGCTTACAAGCATCTGTCTTGGTTTATAAAACTCAACTGCTGCTGACAATTTAGCCTCAATCTCAGATTTGTCAATTTCACTTCCATACTTTTGTTCAGAAGAGATAACAGATTTTTGCATGACTCTTGTTGCATCTAAGTTGAGATCGTGTGCTGAAATTTGAATCGATTTACTCAGAGTTTTCATCCTATCTTGGTTATTTTGGTAAAAAGATTCAGATGAAGTAAACGACTTGGCACTATTTCCAATATTATTAGCAACATCAGGAAAAACAAAAGGGGCAACCTTGTTTGGACACAGAAAAGCAACCTCTGACAAGTCTGGTAATTTGCTTTTTTGGGTGCCATGAACAACACTATATTCTTTGGGATCATTTCCAAAAAAATTCTTACAATTTGAACTGACTTCTCCTTCGAAACCAGTTGAGCTTTCTTTAACTATCTTTGAATACGTTTTCTCGTATTCGTTTGACAAATCATTCCATGTGGTATATGTGTTTGAAGTACCTAAAGCCTCTGAAACAAAATTGTTTATTCTACTGCTGTGGTGGTAGGTTTCTGTATCACTCCATCTAGGCTTTGCAGCCACAGTTTTAGTTTTAATATTAAATGTTGAATTATTGGTTGAAGCCAATATTCCTACATGTTTTCTATATTTATCATAATAATGTTCTGGATTAGAAAACAAAGTGGAGGCTGTCTTATTTTCTGTTTTCTGAATATCTTCTGAAATACAACTAAATGAGTGGGCCCGTCGAAGCCCATTTCTTCCTTCTAAATTGCAAATAGAGCAATGATATGTGTTAGCAAGTTTTCCTTGATATCCATTTTTGTGAGGCTGAGGCAATTGGCATTTGCAGGCAGATGATGTTGTGTCAGCATAGTGGTTATCTTGAGATGAATAGGAAAAGATACATTGCTTCAAAAACCCATCTTTTAATACACATGGATGATTTTCTTGCTCGAAATGATCTGCTCCTGGATTTATGCTTTCACAAAAAGAAGAAAATGTGCCATTTTCCTTTGTTACAATCTCAGCAACAATGGATTCTGTTTTCTGGGCTAGGTCACCTCCACTGGCAATATTGTTATCCTTCTCTGTTGGTACCAAAAACATCTCTGATAATCTTTGTGAGTTAGAATTAATAGAATCACTTTTGTTCATCTCTTTTATCATTTGGAACTCAAATTCTTGCGAAGCTTCTAATTCAGCTACAGAGCATGGCAGATTTTTCTCATCCGCGTGTGTTGCTATGAAAACAGCAGATGACAAACTAAATCCAGACAAGTAAACCAAAGCTGTACAATCAACTTTGGTCCAAGAAATATCCACACTTTCCAATGTTGATCCACACAAAGAGAAAAGGTTTCTCACAGATTTACTTGAAATTCCTTGACAGCCAGACAAATCTATTCTTGATAAAGAGCTAAGTATTCTCTCTCCATCTTTGCAACTCTGGACAAAGCTTTCAAAATTAAACATTTCGTCTGTCAAACAGGGGCTGCATGCCAAGCTCAGATATTTTATGTGGGCACATTTTGAGATAATGACCTGCAACAAGCAACAACATTAGCTTCTAGAATGGATAACATTAATTAATCAATCAAAATTCAAGGATTTAACATTGTTCTGAAATGTTTATAAAAAAATGAAAATTTCCACTTGAAGCATTTTGTGAGAATAAAAGCAAACCGGTAGACAGGGGAAAATTTCAAAGAATAAGACATATCCAGAAAGACAGTCGTGTTCCCATTTATGTAATAATTTGTACTATGATTACTTGAATGAACACATTGATTTGCCCCCATGGATAACCTTTAAAGCACTCAGGGAAACCACAAAGAAAATACTAGAAGGATCTTATGATACTTAATTAATCTTAGTTGCACCCAGGATGCACCTCCATGTTCATTATAGGCACTCAAAGGTGTAAAAAATATATACACCAGTTTTATGGAAACTTCTCGCATGAAGTTAAACACCTACTTTCATTTGACTTGTGGCTACAAAGCAAAATGAAATGAGAGGGTGAATTAATGAAACTGAGTTTAAAAGACCTGTTTGATGTTAAGTTCCTATCCTGGGTAAAAGTTTAATTACAAAGGAGAAGGTGCTGTTTCAGGAAACCACAATATGAAAGGCACTATGTCCAGGCCTGGCCATAAGACTCTTAGCAGGGAAACAGAACTTTCTAGTAACAGCTCTCCTAGTAACTTCCAGGTGAGCTATTTATAGATTAATAAGAATGGAAACAAAGGAAAAATTGATTTCAAGGAGAGCTAATTTCTTTTTTTAGAGCACTTTAGGAGAGCAATATGTAGCTCCCCTCCAGTATTTGAGGAAAGCCTGGAGGTGAGCTCAGTTGTTAGAGGCGAGGATGGCTCAGTTGTTAGAGGTGCTGACTACAGACCCAAGGGTCCGTAGCTTGAGTACCTGGTATGACCAAACTTTCACCCAGAGTGAGGAGAGTTGCCAGCTCTCTGTAATTCCAGGCATAGGAATCATGAAGTGTGGTCACATCAAGAGGAAGGACCAGGACACTGCTCGATAAGCATAGCTTCTCAGTGTCCTTAAAAACTACCTTCAGATGCTAGGTAGCAACAAATACAAATACAGAGCAAGAGCAATAGCTCTCTTCAAATGGCCAGGCCTGTATGTCCTGATACATTCCAAAAGCAATTAAAATTTCCAATTTTTCCATTGGTTAGAATATACAATAGACATACTGTTACCAATTCAATAGGTTGTTGACTGATGTTCTGTAGTACCTTAAACTAATTTTCCTCAGAAAATTTTTGCAAATTGAACTTACCTTGACAATATCATCACATAGGTTGTCACATGACTCAAATGAAAGCGACTCCAGATGTTGAAGATGCAAAGCCAAAACATTTCCCAAGGATGCATCAGCAAGATTTTCACAGCTTGAGATATCAAGGTGTTTAATATGAGGCTGGCTGAAACAAAGATATTTTATTCCTGGAACATCATATTGTATTCAATGAAAGTTCCTTGTTTTCTGAAAAAACCCACTGGCTCTCCAAGCATCCTGTTCTAAGCTAAAGGAGGCTTTATGTCCACATTTGTTATATTGCAGGATGATGTAAAAGGGCAGGAAAATCATTTTGAATTCTGATACTTGAACTATTTTTTAATTTGGATAGTTCAGCACTGATGCATTTTCCACACAAACAATAGTAAAAGAGTTTTTCCTTCTAAGTATCTACAACCCCCAGACTGGAAACTTTGTTTCTTGCATGGACATGTTTACTCTTTAAAATTTGAGAAAAGCCAGCCTGAAACAATACATTCTTAGCTATTTTTAGAGTTAACAATGTTAAATGTCATTATCAATGGTTTTGCTTGGCCAGTATGCAAAAGGGCACAGATGTGTGCAGGCAAAACATTCTAGGCACACAACAAAGTCAGTAAACCTCTATAGCTAAATTTTAACAAAAGTTAAAGCAGAAATATAAACATTAAAAACAAAGAATGACCAATTTGATGAAGTCTCATTAATCATAAATATACCATCAATATTTGGTTTCCCATATTAATCAGTTTTGGATTACCTGATATATGGCAATAGATTTGATTTCATAAACTTAAAGACTCTTCAGTGTGTGCTAATTTTTAAGGGCCTCTATAGAATGGCTTTGATTAAATGATTTGAACAAGAGGCTTTTTTCTCTCCTAGGAAACTTCATCTTGTTTCTATTTTATTTCTGATAAGGATCAAGGAAGTTACATGCTTACTTTTGTATGGCTGAAGAAAATCCTTCAAGTGTCAAACTACTGCATCCTTTGAGGATCAAACGCTTGAAGTGAAATTTACCAGAGAGAAGTAGCTTGAGAATGCTGTCTGTTACTAACTTTGGTTGTCTTTCCACCAAAATTTCTAGAATTCTCTCCAGGTGCACATGGAAATTTGGCATAGAGTGTATCTGATTCCAAATAACACGACAATCACTATCATCTTCAGGCAATTTCTTTTTATCAACAAGGAACCTTTTAATAGTTAAACTTGCAATGTATTCTAACGAGGAAACTTGCATCTTCTTTACATTCCCTGTACATCTGGCTTGTTCACATTCTCAAATGGGCGCGCTCTGACATAAATGCAATTCAGGTCAGCAAGAATTTATCCATTCTTCTGCTAACAGCAGGCACAGCTCTCCTGTTTTCAACAGCACGCCGTGAATAAAACTTCATCGTTAGAATTAATGTTTAACAGTTGGCTGCTTATTCAGAAATGTATACCTGTCTTGCTCTCTGGCAGTTTATGTTAATGTTGACAACACTTCTTTAGGAAGGCAATACCACTTCCATAAAATGGTGCATCAACAACAGCAATGCCTTGAAGGAGCCTCGTAATGGATTACAAAGGAAAACATCCGTATCGCAACCGAGGCTAGTCTAGAGAAACTGTCAAATTTCCACGTCAAGATAGTTGCTGTGGATAAGATTTTCTTATTTGCATACAAAATCTGAATTATAAAATGGTTTAGTATTTCACTTGCGCAAATTGTTTTCCTAGAATGGTTGGGAGGTGTGTATAATTATAATTTTATTTCTCATAGGCTAGAAAACAAAAATGATGCTGGTAGTTACCACCAGCAATGTTTATGTAGAACATAACCAGTTGTCAGGCCTAAGGCTAAAGATCGAAGGCTGAAAAAACTGAAAAATTATGTTAACCGTACTTTTTAGGCAACAAATATTTGTTGTTTTATTGGAGCTCAGTCAAAAGAAAGTAGAGTCACTAGATCCTACATGTATATCAACCATTTTAGATATGACGTGAATCTACATATAAGCTCCGTCACAGTATTGTTACATATGTCAGCTTCCCCGTAGTCTTTCAAATACCTATTTTATAATATCTATCTAATAATTCTGTAGATTGACCTGCCATTAACCATAACTTACAAAAGTTGTTGAATTAAGGAGAAGTGAAATTGTTGGCTCAGTATTTTAGCAGCGTAACCCAGAAGAGCTATTTGGGTAGTTAGTAGCTGTTGCTGCAATGGTATGTTCTCCCTCAGTATTATAGTTATATGGAAATTATTATGGCAATGTTACCTTTAGTAAAGTGACAAAACCCACTATAAGGATTGTCAATTAAGATTGAGTTCTGAAGTGCAACCCAAGAATTGGCTCTAAAACCAGGGTAGAATCCATGTGAAGCTCACACCAGACATTTGCCAATAAACAATAGACCATCTCAGAGTTTGCAATGCCATGACACAAGTGGGACAAAATCTGCAATAGATACAATGGTTGTCTATGTCATCAAGATTTGTAAATGCTTGTATGGCTCAAGCAAGGTTCACTGTTAATCAACAAAATTCAGATTTTATTTTCTTTATTCTAGAGAAGTTTCAGAACCAAAAAGATAAAAGAACGGTCTCTATCCACCATAGATTTTTTTTATTTGCTCCACCTGAACGATTTGAACTAGCAATAAAACAATATAATTCCATCATGACATCACTAACTCAGAGATGGTCTATTTTTGTGATCAGTAATCAATTGAGAAATACAGAAGAAGAAGAGTTATGTCTTGTCATTCATGTCACAGATTCATGTTTGAAAAAATCCTTCAAAACAACAAAATACTTGACTGTTTAATAACAAGAAAATAACTTTAAGAAGCACAGAAATACCAATAAATGCCTTTTATATCTGCCCAAAATGATCTGTTTTAAGCCAGACAATTGAATGTTTATTGCATTAATTGTTACAGTTTACAGCACATTATCAAATTACTTTTTAAAAATTTTTTACTTGCCAAAAAAACAAAGGAAAATTTGTGTGCCAGTTTGTAGAATATTACCAGATGCATGCAAGGCTTGGTTTGCACTGCAAAACTTGAAATTCATGCCAAATTTTCAGTTGCTCTTTACTTAAAATAATTGGCAAAATGAGGTTTGGACTATTTATAACCTCATTGAACTGACTAGTGCTTTAAAGATATCATCCCAAGTGCCATACTCAGCAGACAAACCAGTAAGTTTATGATTAGTGATGTTTATTTTCCAGACATTTGGCTTAAAATAATTAAGATATGTTTCCAGCAATATTCATATGGACAACAACTTTAACAAGAAGGAATACATTACCTTAACTTATATCAGATCATTGTCAGATTTAGCCAAAAACATGGTTAATTTTGAGTTTGCTAGACCCCCCTACCTGAATGCATGGACCTGCTTGATGTGACTTCAAAGGATGTCAGACCCAGTTTTCCATCAGCTTGTTGGCCTGTGTAATCTATTTTCCCAAAAGCAATTTTTCTCTGAACTTTTTTACACAGACTGGTAGTTGTTAATATGCTGTTCAGACTTAACATATCTCAGTAAATTGAAATATCTAAACCTGAAGATTTTCAATGCTATTTTTTATATAGAGTTTCGCTGAATCCAAAGGTTGAACTATGTTGTCAGAATGTATTTATCATATTCAAAAACTCAACACAGCCAAATTCTACGCAGTGGAAGAGAACAAAAAAGATGATGAGAAAGATGGTTTTCCCAAGTGTTGTCATCCTTGTTGTTGTATTTATCTTATTTGTTCTATGGATTACAAGCAGAGACCCCAACAAAGATGTTATTCATCGTTATGAAAAATCAATTAACATGCATACAGACAAAACAGCATTTCACTATGGGATAGTTATTGACTGTGGTAGCAGTGGATCAAGAGTATTCATCTACTACTGGCCACCACATAGTGGCAATCCTCATGAACTTCTTAAATTGCATCAAATGATGGATCATGACAATCATCCAGTCAGAATGAAAATCAAACCAGGTGATAACACGCTTACTTTCTATTCTGTCACTGGTACCTATCATATCAGCCAGTTGGTCTGAATTGTTGTCTCAAAATTGGTATAACTAGCTTTTATATTGCAATAAAACATGCTAGATAGCAAGCATCTAGGTCTACTTGAGAACATGTCATTTGGCAAAAAAAAGGAAGTTGCATCTTTTTTTTCAAATCAGGTAGACCTGGGTAAAATTCTTATCGGACAGGTGGTATTTCTTATTTAGGCATGGTGGATGACTAACAAATTGAATTTAAGTGGGATCTTGCAAATTTTTTTCTGAAAAAGTTTTGTGTTTTGTCAAAGGACAGTAATGAAATTCATACTTTAAGCTCCTATAACTGAACTTTTTGAGAATAACACAGACATAGTTCATAATTTGTGCAGATGAACTAAACTTCCCAATGCTAGGGAGAGGAGTGCATGCTACCCATTGGCTCCCTTCTTTCCATGATGCTCTATGGTTGCACTTTCATTGATTTGAATACCTCCAAGCATCAATATCACTGACATTAGTCAGGTATACCTAATACCTTCCTGAACTTTGATAAGTGGTCTATTTGATTTCATCAATAGATTAAATCTTTTTCATATTAATATGCCCAACCGCAACCAAGGCACTGGAATTTCTTATTTTGTGGAGATAATCTTGTTTTCACCCAAATGGTTTTGTCCAAAAAATTGTTTCAGTCAATTATTGTTTCTCCCGATTGGCTTGAACTTTCCATTTTTCAGATAAGCTTTGAATTATAGGCATTTATGTTGCCAAAAACTTTTTTAGAAGTTAAAGTTTTTCAGGGAAATGGATGGTTGAAAATGTACTTTGAAATTGCCACCTATTTCAGCAGCTATTTTAACAAGGCTGTGGAATTTTTTTCTTTTGATCATTATCATTGTCATAATCGTCTAATAAGACAATCAGTCCCCTGCTGACCCATGACATTCAAGTTAATTTCAAAGTATTGTAGTCGTTTGTTTCCTTATCCAAGTCACACAAGTGGCTGTGTGTCTCTGTCTTGCCTTCAGTCTTCCTTTTTTTTAACAAGACATCCATTCTACAGTCTATGCCCTGGAATTCATTCTCATCACATTCTCGCCATTGCCTTTGCATCTGCTCTACTCCATGTATGACAATATGCTGTGGTCTTCATTCGTACTTTAGCATTCCCAACATTGCTCTCTCAATGCTTTGTTGTGCTACTGCTATTTGTGCCACTGTGAGAGTCTTAACATACATCCCTCATGTCACGACAGGAGTTACAATACCTTCCATTTCCCTTCATTTCAAACAGAGCTTTTTAGACAAATTCCTAAGAAGTCTGCACTACCATCTAAATCTCTACAATTCCTTGAAAGTTCTTCCCTCTATCTCCTTGCTAACATTGTTATATTCCTTTACTTATGTCGAATTTCGTTTTTCTGCTAAATTCCTTTACTAACTGACAGCTTTGCTTCCGGCTACAGACAATTTTTTTCTTTCGTTCCTGTATTTGCTTATCATTCCTCTTCCTTCTTTTTCAAACTGTAACACACCTATCAGATTATGTTACAGAGTGTTCTTTCAGTTTCAACAAACCATATATTAACATTTTTTTTGTGGTACAGAATTTGAAAATGGCTTTGAAAAAAAGCAAACATTTTACGACATACTAAAACCTTTTTTCGTCTGACACTCCTCAGAGCATAAAACGTCAGAATAGGTTCCGAAAAAACACGATGGAAAATATATACCCAATTGTGGGCCTGAAGAAAAATTACCAATGGAGTCCATGGAGGCTCGCGGCACTGATTGGTCAACTATACCGGTTTTGTGCTTGCGTTTTTCTGATTGGCCTATTTCGATCCACAACTGGGTATATATTTTCCATCGTGTTTTTTCGGAACCTATTCTGACGTTTTATGCTATGAGGAGTGTCAGACGAAAATGCTTTTAGTATGTCGTAAAATGTTTGCTTTTTCAAAGCCATTTTCAAACCATATATTATCATTCGCAAATCTTTAGTTGGCCTATTTTTCTCCATTTATATTGATCCTATTGCTTCCTAGAGCTGCTCTTCCATAAAATGTTTTAGAAGGCGAATATAAATAAGAATGGCGAGAGTGTGTCACCTTGTACCACACCACTCTCTCAGAACTAATGAGTTTGCTTCTTAGATCAATTTTAAATCTAGTCATCCCACCATCATAAACATTTCTTAGGTTGTTGACATCTGAATGTACCTTTTGATTTCTTTGATAACTGCATCATTTCTTGTGAGAATTTTCTATATTCCTCCCTCTTTTAGTGACCTTATTTAATGTTATGTTTATGAATAGCCTTCAAGTAACTTTTTCTGTACTTCTCTTGCTCATGAGGTGGAAGTTCGCCCACTCTTTTTTGACTGTTTCTTCAATACACATGTCTAAAGTTTGAGCACTTAACTCCATAGGCTATTGGTCCGAAATAAGGCGTTTTTGTCTTCTCTCCTGTGTCAGAATAGATAAGTAATTTCTTTGTCCTTCTCTATGTTAAATGATTCTTTGAACTTGTTTGCTACACATTCACCTCCAGCTTTTAATGATTTGATATCTACCCTAACCTTCTTTTGATTTTCATTTACCTCAAAGTGACTTCCACATTATTTTTTAAAAGCTGGTGGCTCATTTTCTGATTTACCATGTTTATTTCTTTAGCTTTCCAATTTTTGAAATAGAAGACTTTATAAAATTTTGTCATCGTTCAACTTTGTCTCACAGTTAATCTGTCTCCTTGACCATTCATTGCATAAAAGTAAATGTAAACGAGGTTCTTTGGAAGCTAAGTACTCAAGATCAAGGATTTCTTCACTGTAAAGAATTGTTTAAACATATTTTTGTAATCTCCACGTAAAACAGGCTGTGTACTTAGAGAGTTCCAAATCTTAAGTATATGATACCACTACAAATCGTCCTAGTGAGATCCTTTTTGAAACAGTGCCTCAAACTGACGAAAAAGCTTCATGCTGTTTCTCGAACGCTGGTCCTATCACACATATTTTAGGTCAGGGATGTCAGTTTCTGAAATTTCATTCCTCCTACAGACAAGCTTCTTTACTGAAATTTAACTAAAACAATTTCGCCTGTAATTGCAAAGTACAGTAGGGGCTGTGCATAGACCTTGAAGCGGTTCACAGATTAAAATTATGTTTCCTTTATAGTAAAAGAATTTTGATCTATTCTAAAGGCACGATTTACCACGCCCAATTGAGCCCCACCTTCTATCAGAATTCTACATAACTTACGTCACAATGCTCTTGGTCTTGTTGTTATCTTATACGTTCGTATTTTGATAAGATGATCGCGCAATACACTTTAACAGCTGTGCAACTTTTAATTTCTTGCTCTTATCTTAAAAAGCAGATCTAGCAGTCGGTTATCTTGGGTCGAGTTATTTAATCTAAAGCAAAGCAATATTTACTAAAATATGCATGATTCCAGTTCTTTTTGTAGAAAACTGCGATATGATTGAGAATTTCTTCTATATTGCAGGTATTTCTTCCCTGGCTAATAGACCTTGGAATGCAACCGATTACCTTAGGCCACTATTAGACTATGCAGCGTCACATGTACCCAAAACAAGACACAGGGAGACACCGCTTTTTATTCTGGCAACTGCCGGCATGAGACTTCTGACTAAGGTGAACCAAAATGCAATTCTTGAAGACCTAAGGGTGAATATACCGAAAAGATATAGCTTTCATTTATCGCCTTCGCAGGTCGAAGTTATCTCTGGCAAACAAGAAGGTAACATTTCCTTCTTAAAACTTTTATGATGTTCTTAAGATCACAGCTTTAGATTCATTTCTGTGGCTAAAATCTGGCATTTTGTGATTAAAAATTTATTCGCCAGTCCCACTAGATATAGCAGATGGATATTTGGTACCTGCATTTTGAGATATCAATATTAATCAATTTTACAAACGAAAACATAATCCACAGTAAGGCAGGAAGTTTTAAAATGCATCGCAGGATGCACTCCTTTTATAAAAACAAGGAAATTGAGATTCAGTCTGTCTGTTCCTAATTTTTCCAAAACTTCGAGGCTGGGTTTTTCTTAGTTTTTTCTTGATTTTTTCGTGTAAGTTGAAGTCATATATTATACTGCAGAATAAGATGTGATGTATATAAGGAATGTGTAATCTTTTAATAATATTGCCAAAAGGTATACCCTGCCGTGACAAAAATACCCCTAACAAAAATGTTGGTATAACGCTCTTTCATTTGTAAGTTCCTCAGGCTCGAATATTTTTACTTTGTTCGTAATTTTTGAAAAATTTTGGCCCATGTTCTTACAAAGTTGTTGCTATGGAAGAACAGTATAGTGTTTCGAGGTACTAACAAATCTAAGCATTCTTTTCTACCATTCTAAACTTTGTTTTTCTAGTCATTGATTTGTGAATAAAATGTTATATTTCTCAATGATTTGTATCCTGCCGAGTGCATTTGTTCAAAATTTTAGTAGTTAGAAATGCTGCTCAAATCAAATGCCAAAATTACTCCTTTGATAGTGTTTTGATAGTTTGTATCGATGCCACGTGAGCACCTTATTTTGTGACTAGCATTCGAGAATAACATGTTTTCTTGGACAACCAATTCTTGTTCACCTGTGTTAATCATTAGAGTTTGCTTGCGTTAATGCTTTTTATCAAAACTCAGGACAATGGCCAACGTAGGAGTGGAATGTTTTGGCTGTGCCTTTAATCGTCAAAATAAAAATTCTGATTCATAGGACTTTGAAACATGTGATTTGAAAACATGTGTAGCTTTTGGAGAATAATTTTTGTGTATATTTTTGTGTATTTGTGTATATATATTTTTGTGAATGCATCATCTGCAATACTAGTCGGTTTGATTAAGGTCGTTTCAATTAAAAATATACACCACGTAACCATTTTATTTTGTTTTTTATTCTGTAACGTATTTTTGTTTTCATTTCCTATTCTTATATTTATGTGTATATATATGTTAATGCCCTTGGGGTAGACACAATCTTTTGCTCCCCGGGGGTTTTCGTCCCAGTAGTATTGTAAAGTAGTTCCTGTTAGTAGCGTAGACAGTACTATGTATTGTTACTTTTCATTGGATTATATAAAAAGATTGTGTCGGTTCTTTATCTGCCTATGAAAATAGAATGCTGAGACAACGTAGAAGCAGGGAAAGCAAAACACTTTTTAACAGGATACGAACACTTACAAAATTATCCAGCGTTAAATCTTATCGCAAGGATATATCCTTCCCAATTTCATTTATTGCCATGGCTCTTATCTTTTGAGATCGATATAATGAAAGAAGATTTTAAACCAGATGCAGATGCCTGCTATCTGGTTATGCGATAAGAAGCTTTTTAGATGCTTGCGTGTTTTGTCAACATCGATTTGTTTCAACAATTTTGTTATCATATTTTTAGTATAAATTTTGTGAACTGATGTCAAAATCTATGTTAATCTACCATTTGGCAACCTCTCCACAAAACGACGGGGTGGGAGTGGTTCTGAGGATCAAGTTTTTGCTCGTCTTATCTCGTCAGATGACTGCCAAATCTAACACCATGTTAAGTTAACAATGACATTTTTTCATTTATTTTTAATAACCATTAAAAATTTTATTCGTTGACTTTTTCATTTTAGGCATCTACCTCTGGATAGCCATCAATTACATTCTTGGTCGCTTTGACCACTCTCGTGATCTCCACTCCACGCCCGCCAGCACTGTGGCACCAATTCACAGAAAAAGGACTGTCGGATGCATAGAAATGGGTGGTGCATCCATGCAAATTGCTTATGAGGTCGCTCAAAATGTAAGATTGTCCTCTCGATTTTCAACTTCCTGATATAGGGTTGCACCTAGATAACCTACAACAAGAGTCCAGAAAAATCTTGAACTTTGCTCCCGCTTGAACATTAAAATCCTTTCTCTCAAAAACAAGTCGTTTTCGGGGTGTTGCAACACCTATTACTTGTTTAGGACCGTGCGAACACCACATTTTCTAGACTTTCTATCTTGCCCTATTTCCATTCGCACCATATTGTTGCCAAAGGAAATCATTTTTGTAAGGAGCTGTAGTCATTTGCTTTGACCTTAATCATTTTACCCTGCAAATTATCGCTCGATATCCCAACAGATAAAATCATCTTTTAATTCCCAGCAAGTCTCAATGCCACTTTATATCTTTCTATAGTACTTTCTTAATAGAATTTCCTTCTAAGCTCGTACTGGCATGCCCAAGAAAAAGATATTCATTCGTATTATCGTGAAATTCTAAAGTACTGAATTTTTGTTGCAAAGTGAATGAGCACACTCAAACCTTTTTATTGATTGTTTTTTAACGCATTTCATTCAACCGAAAAACAAATTATTTAGCAACATTAACTTGTAAGAGTCTTTCATAACAGCAGTACTAGTCTGTTTGCATTTTGTAAATTCTTTATTAGTTAGTAATCTATCATAACTGCAAATTGTCTATACCTGATATTTACGTGTCATAGGTCTCTCTTCCACAAGATCTCAGTGTCGATATCAATCTTGGATGCGATTCTCACAACACCATTCATCGATACAAAATTTACGTGACGACTTTCCTCGGTGTCGGTACAGTTGTTGCACGACAGAAGTATTTGGAAATTTTGCTAAAAAGAAATTCACACTCACTGAAGTAAGTAGTGTTGAAGTTCAGTGTATTTGGATTCCCAATTAATATAGGTCCTGTAACCATAAACTTAATCTTATTCAGGAAAATAGTATCAGAAAGTCATCAAATAAAGACCAAAAAATCTTCACAAAGAGCCCCATTATCTAAACCTGCTTGCTGCTTATCATATGTTTTTTTTCTATGATGTCTTTTTATCAAGCAAGGATATTTCCTTAATAACAAACACATATTGAGGTTAAAACAAGCTATCAAACAAATTACTTGTGTCATCTAATGCATAAGCTTTTTAACGTTTTCTTCCTCTAGCAAAGGCTCCCGCATTGTTGATCCTTGCCTCCCAAAAGACTTCACTGACGAAGGGGCCTATAAACATCGACGGTACAACTTAAAAGGAACAGGTCGATTTCGCGAGTGCCAGCGTGACCTTCTTCAATTACTTAATACGACTGCAACTTGTAAAAGAAAACCTTGTTCATTAAATGGCAAGCACCAGCCTTCAATTGATTTTAAAAATTCAGAGTTTTATGGATTCGCAGAATTTTGGTATTCAACCCAAGATGTGCTGCGAATGGGGGCTTCCTATGAAGGTGATAAGATGGATCAGATGGCTGTGGTATGTGCATAAAAATGCATTTTTATTTTGGTGAAATTTTTCTGTAGTGTTTATCAGTGATGGAAAAAATTTTTCTTTCTAGTGTTTTATCAATTTTTCAGCATATCGTTTCCAAAGAGCTGACAGCTACTTAAGCCTTCTTATCCCAGTTCATTAAGAGTTTTTGCAGTTTCTCTAAATTCCTACTATTTGGTTGTTCAGAAATCAATTAAGTAATTCATCTAGGTTATACCAAAATTTTCTCCTTCACTTACGTTTACTTTGTTTCTGCAAATGTTTGTATCCAATCCAAGTTTCATCATTGCTTCTGAACTTTTTATAAACCGGTAACAAAAGCAAGCTAGCCCATAAATGGAAGTTGGGATGGTTTTACAATTAAACGATCAACTCCTTTTTATACATCGCAGAAAAAGGCTTTTGCAGTTAGCGGTCAAACCTCCTTTTTCGTTATATTGCTACTAAAACTACAAAATCTGGCCTTAAATTAACTCTGCGCGGTTTCACATACTTTGTTCACTTAAATGTAATCCTGTTTATGCGACTTTGTCGCAATATTACTGTTTCTTGTGATCTCCACATCTTACTAGTGACATAGGTATACGATTGAATAGTGTTTTGAGAAATTAAAATTTTCAAAATGATGGGGATGAATACATAAACATAGTGCAAAGAAAATTGATCAAAGATCCTCTGATCAAATAGTTGAATGGTTTCGAATGTTGGAACGTGGATGATTCTCAAAACATATTGTCGATGCCGTATAGATATTACTGAAGCAAAAAAACGGCTGGCTTGAGGGTGGAATTCGGCGCTATCAGGTAGATGTTGAAGAACAAGAGAAATATTATCAGCAGTCGCAATGTTTGTGAATGCAGCCTGTTTTACCAATAAGAGCTTCAACAGACCATTGTATTCATTTCTAGCTTTCAGATGTAAAGATTCTGTGATTTGATTGTATCATAGATTCTTTCGATAACATATCTACATGAAAACTAATATAGTACAATCTGGATAAATTGACAACTTGCAGTGACCATCTATGCTTGTGATCTTCTTTCACGGACTGTTTTATTATGATATTGTCAAGTACTTAAAAAATAGCGCAGCAAAATTTATCTCAGTGAAAAATCGGTTCCTTAGCAGATCCCATCTTGGTTTTTGTACGAGTCTTTTCTTGTTTTAGGATTTTTGTTCCCGTACATGGGCAATAAATAAAAAATATTACGATCTTGGGTTGTTTCCAAAAGCTGACAGTAACAGACTTCGGTGAGTGACTTTTGATCATGTAATAATTGGTAATCTATAGGAAAGTTATGTTGCAAAGTGAGTTATGTTTCACCTATTATGATATCATCTTTTGCTTAGATAATTTCTATTTTTGTTTCCTTATTTCGAAAATGCACCATTTCCGTTGATTTTGGAGATTTCATTTCGATTTTAAGATCTCAGTGTTTTAAATCTGCTTGGATGACGACCGTGTTGCATTATGGACTGAAATTTCCGCGAGGTTATCGAGGACTAACATCGGCATTGATGGTTAATGGAAAAGAAATTCAGTGGACACTTGGAGCAATGTTGTATAGGACGCGATTCATGCCGCTCAGGTTAGCTATTCAGAGACAACTGTATGCGTTTCTATGGTCACTTTTGTCTTTGTGTGCATGGCAACATGTAGTGATTAGTAACCAGATTGTATTGTCATAGTAACATTTCTACAATTCTGGAAACAAATTGTGTTTGCGTTTTTGCTTGTATTCTTTGAGGTGGGCCCACGCTTTCACAAGCGGACTTCGAAACTCAAGTGACAAACATATCCAAGCTAGATTAACTGGTTTTTTTATACTGTAGTTACCTTCTATCCCGTTGGCATGTGTTATGTTATTATTATCTTTATAAACATATGATCGATCCCTTAAAATTTATCTCTGCTTTCTATTTATGTTTCCTCAGGGACATACAACAGCAACATACAAACTCATACAGGACAATGGATGCGTTTGGTTTATGGCTGACATTCGACCACAGAATGTTTTCAGCAATTCTGTTCTTGTGTTGTTTCGTAGTATGCACAGCTGTTTTTATTTATTGTAGAAAAATTAGAAAAACGACGTTTTATACGAGTAGCAAACAATACACAAGCGAAGCTATTGTGAATTACCCTCAAGATATCCGTGTCAAAGTGTAGATTTTAATAGAATTCTTGGTATTTATTATTATCTTCAAAAGTGTCTTTTCATTCGAGATTTTTCTGGTTATTCTGAGATTTCTCGTATCATTGGTTGAAGTGATAGAAAGGGATTTGAGAGAAAGAAGGGACAGTCAGGATCTGATCAAAGAATGTAAAACGGACGTTAAATTGAGTATCTCATATTTCAAAGCAAGAAGCTCATATTTCTTTCAACAAGACGCCTATTGCTGACAATGATTTTTCTTTTCCAGTCATTGTCAACACACTAACTTACACTGAAAATTTGTTTTGCTTCAGACAAATACAAAAATAAAACCAACTGTTTTGCTACAGACTCGTTTAATGCTAAAAAGGAAACAGTTACTTTACAAGTAAATTTCAAATACACAATACACTGGAGGCAACCTTTAGTTGTATATACACAATTTGCAAATTCACCCTTTCAGATTCAACTGACAAATTAAAGGACAGTCTCTATTTACATATATCTTACACTATTTTACAAGATAATTTGAAGTTATTTTCTATATGCAATTCAAACCTTTCCAATAGTTACTAACTAAAACATAAAGTAACAAAATTGACATATCACACTTGAACACATCACGCTATGTGTTATGCATGCAACTTTCTGTTTATTGCAATCTAAAGTTAAGACATTAATTTACTGATAAATGAACTAATAATAAACTTTGAACATTTGCAAAAGCAATGTTATTTACCAAATTTCGATGTAAAAACCATTACATCACCTACCATACAAATTACTTCTCTGATTTGAAACCAATGAGAGTATTTGTGCTACTTCAAGTCTTAGAATGCAAGCCAAAATTATTAAGTTTGAGTTGGTTAAATTGTTTTCTACTGAAAGATTTGTGTTTACTTTTCACTGAAAACTGATAATCCTGAATTGCAACATCAAATGGGAAAAAGTAATTATATTATTCTCAACTTTACAACTTGAAACTATGAAGCAAGATAATGTTAAGCCAAAACCCAGAGAACATTTTTGTGCAATTGCACTGAGATTCTCAATGTAGTCAATAGTTAAAAACTAAATTTGATTTTCTGGTGGCTCTTCTAGTGGCCTCGTCAGGGCCTTAAAAAAGATTTGCTACAACACAAGTACCTCTGTCCCAGACAGGATTTACACAGTCCAGACAACGATTGTTTCTATTTACAAATGTTTAATGTTACAAACAGTGAATAAATGAAATTTTAAAGCAAGTTAAGTGAGAGCCTCACAATAAATGTTGTTTGTTTTTCTATGAAAATGTGTTAAAGACTGATATTTAAACCCTCACCTAGAAAGCTAGATGAAAATGCATTGATGTAGTTAATATTTGATGAGAATGTAATTAGATTCATTTAATTTAATGAAAAATAATATTACAAAAAGTGTGTCACACTTCACTTTGGGGTACCAGCCATTTTAGTTGATTCATTTAATTCAAATAATGTTGAATCAACATATTCAGAAACTTTACCAGCAACTTGGTTTTCTGCAATATGGAATAAAAACTAGAATCAAATCTCTAAAATGGATATAAACAAAAAAATTGAATTGGGATCAACATTAAGAAAAAAAGTTGTAGGCATATGATGCATTGGAGAGATCTTTTGTGATCATAGTAGAAAATTCGTCTAATATGGAAGGTTCCACCAAGCCCAGTGGAAATGCCCAGTGGAAATGCCCAGTGGAAGTGCCCTGTGGAAGTGCCCTGTGGAAGTGCCCTGTGGAAGTGCCCTGTGGAAGCACCCTGTGGAAGCACCCAGTGGCAGCACCAACCACTAAGCTCTGGAGAACAAAACAAAAATTGACCATGCCCTTTTCATGCCAATTTTACCAAAAGGGGATGCAAATGTCCCCCAATTGTGACCCATTGCAAGTGCAAGAAGGCATAGCCAATGGATTTTTGAAAAAGCCCTTTTATACATCTTTTCACTGCTCTATACTTTTAATGCGATGTTTTCTCTGACCGACTATTTAAAATAATATGACCTACCATTACCCAGTACTTTTTCAATTTTTAAAAGACTTCTGTGAGTTGCTACATAAAGAGTGGGGACAGAATATGAAAGTTCAAAAAACGAGGATTAAAGCATACCAAGTGAATTATCAATCTTCCTCTCAAGGAGTAGCCAAGAATGCTTTGGAACATCTTCTTTCAGATTTCTGATTAAGAGCTCTTTCACTTCGTGTATCAAATCAGTCAAGCACTCTGAAAATACAAAACAACCTCTTTTAGAGATTCAGAGAAAGACTTTTTTAAACTATGTTATGAAACAATTAAACTTAATATTATAAAAAGTAAATCTATATTCTTATTGTATTTTTGTGATTATTCATGTTAACTTAAGCTCTTGCATCCAGAAGGGTCATTTACTTTTCTATTTACAACTCTATAAATAGCCTGATGAAATAGGGGTTTCTATGGAGGATCTCATATTGGGGGCTCTTTCAAAGGGAGGGGCCCTTTCAAGTGGAGGGGCTCTTTCAAGGGGAAGGGCTCTTTCAAAGGGCGGGCTCTTTAAAGGGGAAGGGCTTTTTCAAGGGAGTTTATATGCAGAGGTCCAATTTGTGGATTGGTGGCCTTTGAATATTGATACAAGTATCCTGACTCATATCAAATCCATCAAATGGGGGAAGCAATCCTAAAATTTTGACAAATATTAATAACTTATTTAGCATTTATTTACTTCATTTGTTTTTCTTGTTGAAAAATCATATGAAATTAGTACAAAATTGAAATGATAATCCATTCATGCTATTTAGACATTAACCATGTAATATGTAACTGCAGGTTATTACAACCAAAACTGTGAATGTATCTTACTGTTCTCTTGATTCAAGCCAGAAAATTTAATCTTGTTTGCCTCATGTCCAGCTTTTTTCTTTAGACGGCATGCTCTGCAACAATGAAAATTTTAACTTTTATCAAACGCCTGCACAGCTATACTTAATTATTAGATATTCAATGTCAGTGTAAAGAAATACCTGACTTTTTGGGCTATATAGATGGTACTAGAGCCAACATGAAATCAGAATTTGGAAAAAATTGGAAGTGGAATTCCCAGGGGGGGCACTTGGCACACAGACATATGGGGGGTCAGTCCGATATTTTTGGGTCAAATGTTTGCCAAAAGTGATATTTTTGGGTTAAATATTTGTCAGAAATGATATTTTTGGGTCCTGCAAAAATAGTAGATACAATTATGATATTTCTAGGTATCAAATTTAGAAACACTGATATTTTTGGGTATTCGTGAGATTTCCATATCCAAATCAAATGTATTGTTTAGGATCTAATTCGCTGAGGTTTATTTTACCCACTTCAAGTCACGTCGGGAGTCATGTTACCATACTCTTTGGAAGTTTTAATGCTACTTTTTGTACTCACTGTCAACTTTATATGGCACGAAATATGCTAGAGAAGTCAAACGATGTCTTACCAAGGGGCTGAAAACATAAAGGACACCTGCAGCACTGGGGCAACAGGGGCAATCGCCCCCTGCCCTCTGCCAACAGATGCAGCGGGGGCAATATGTGCCCTTCTTATTGAAGTTATTCATTATCATCATAAATTTTCAAGGAATTTTTTTTTAAATTATATACATCATGATATATGATGTGATACTAGATATTCTCAGTTTCAATTGTTGTAAATATCCAAATTGAACATTTGCACCATGTGTGGTAATGGTAACTGCAACTATTTACGGCTTTTTTGAATTGCAGATCTTATAAATTACAGCTATGTCATACTATCTCACCCAAAATTCCAATTTGTGATATTTTTGGGTACAAGATAAAAGTAAAACTGATATTTTTGGGTCTTATTGAAAATGAGCTGATATTTTTGGGTGGCCTTTAAATTTCTTGGACCTACCCCCCCCCCTCCCGTATGTCTATGTGCAGAGTGCCCCCCTGGGATGGAATAACAGTAGCTCAGTCTGGTATTGTGTTGGGCTTTGGGCTTTCACTCTGGTAGGAGTTATGTAACTCTGTTTAACAACTTGCAAACAAAATTGCTACAAATTATAATTCTTCAAAGTGACAATTGCTTGTGTAATCTTTTTTAAATCATATCAAATCATTTTGGTATTTTTCACAAGCAATGCCAATTTCCCATCGAATCAAAAATATATACAATCTGATAACAATGACGTCAGATCAACGTGTAATGTGAACGGTTACACAATTACAAGGCGACTGTCAACGCCGCTGTAATTTTATTGAAAGGGTAACCTTAAATCGCTACTGCATAATTTTAAGCTTTCAAAAAACGTTCCTTGAAAATATGCTTATGATTTGCCTCACACTCAAGCAAGATTTTCCTCCCAAAACATCGAAAAACAGAAGCTGGTCTTGCTCATGATCCGTAACTTGTAGATCAAAACAAAACAGCTCTTGCACAACTGGAATTAACAAAAACAAACCTGGAGGCAAGCTTGTTCTTCTCTCGCCGTGTCTTGTTTTTCGCATTTATGGAAGATTGATTCATTGGTCTTAGGCCATTTATTATTCTGTTTAACTTCTCTAGCTGCTTTCCAATTTCATACAACTTTTTGGGGTTCGGGGTCATGTCTTCCGCTTCGCTGCGCTTCCTTTTCCGCGAACTACCGAATCGCTTGGTGGGGGTTGCCTCGTCGTCCTCTTCATCATCCTCATCGCTGCCAGAACTCATATCCTCGTCGTCAGCTATTGCACTTTCTCTATCAGAAATGTCACTTACAGATTCTGCGTCGGATGGTAATGATTTCCCCAACACTTCAGCTGATTCTTTTTCTTCACTAGAATGACTGGTTTTTTCAGTGCTGTTTTTCAGTTCCCGAGCTTCGTTTAACTCCTTACGATTGCTCTTTTCTGGACTAACCGTGCTGTTCAGAGCACCAGGTCTGTTAGCTCCATATAACAGCATCCGACGCAAATTCGTGGGGATATTTTCATTCTTCATTTGAGAAATAGGAACAACGGGTTCTTGAGCTGACAACTTTTTTGGAATAGGTCTGTTTAATTCTGATAAATATGATCGGTTAGGCCTGTTACCATTACATTCAGAAAATTGCTCTAGTTTATCGTTCTCAACTTTAGTGGCGACAAGATGCAGTCTTTTCATATCTGGGTTAATCAAAGGTGAGAGAGCCCGTATTTCATTCAGTTCTGCTAAAGTAGGCCCTGTAAGCTGTCTGTCATTCTTACAGCAGATGTCATTGATGTTAATGCATCTTTCGTATACTCCAGGGCAGTTTTCCAATGCGTATGATATGTCTCCATACTCCTGCATCCATTCCCAATCGCTGCTCGCTGTGTCACTCGCAAGCGAGCTTGAAGCTTGGCCGGGGCTCTCCACCACATAACCACAGTCCTCCACTAGTTCTTCATTATACACCGGTGAAGGCGAACCAAACAGTTCTGTATACGGTAGCTCCACTTCTAATTGAGGAAGCTACAGATAAATAAAAACAAATGTTAGCTATGATAGCTAAAAATGTTAGCTAAAATGTTTTACTAAAAGTGAAACTTGCACTCTACCGGTGGAAATAAAAAACTGCTATGTAGTGTAAAACCGATACCGTTCTCCAGCATTTAAAAGCAATAATCCGAAACAATTACCTGATGAAATTTGTGGAGTCTCGTCATAAAAATCCTTGCAAATAATATTGTAGTTCTTTTCTTCGACCTGATTAACCTTCCTCTAAAAATCTAACACGAATGTAGTTCACAAATATACGATATGTTCAACTTTCACCGCAAGTTTCTCGTTTGTTTTGGTTCCTGTGTTTACGTCAAAATGGCGGGAATTGAAATCACGAGACATGAAGTCTCCTCAACAATTGTTCCGTTTAACCAATCACAGCTGTAAGGCTGCTGTGAGTGTTCAGTGTTTATCCAATCAGAGGGGAGAATCACTGATGGATTGCATAATAGGCAAAGTTCATTACTAATGCTTACGAATCAAAACAAATCGAACCTTCTCGTGGTAACCACCAATGCGCTGACTCATTCACATGTCAACCGTCTTTGCCGGAAAGTATTGTACTTCAAAACAATACGAATGAATGGAATTCTTAACACGTGGATTCAAGTAATTTTTCGTGAAGTGCTTCGTTGGTTGTGACGTCAGAGGAGGGAAGCGTTCGAGAATATTAATGTCATTATTTTCATTATTCATAGAAGAATTTGACTGAGGTTGTCGAAAATCACAATGCAGGAAGACTATTTGAATAAGTTTAGAATTCGTATGCCGGGCGGATTTTTAATTCATTTCTATTTCACATTTTAGATTTGTAGTTCAAAATATGAGAGAAGCAATTCATACTTAAAATAAAACAAAGATATTACCAAAGATATTCAGATAAAACAATTTTTCCACCGAAGATGTGCGATGTTTCCTAGGAGTGATTTGCCCCTCAGTTTGTTAAATATCCCCATTATTTTTATAAATGATCTCAATCAAGGCAGAAAACGGAATTTTCAAAACCACATGCATCTACGCGAAATTAAATCATGAATCCAAAACATTCACTATAATTTGAATTAACAACAAACCACAAAATACTACAAAATACTTGCTAGAAGGATTTTAAATTCAAAGACTTCCTTCTGATGCAGTACAGTAAACAGCAATATCTACAAAAAGCTTGACAATGATAATAGCGATTAAGTAAAAGTTATCACGGAATATAGAACCAAGCTTTCGCCTATCTAAAAGATTGTGGCACTTATAATAGCATATAAAGTTAGCTTAACAAATTGAAGACTAAAAGAAAAATGAATAGAAGATGGATAACTAATAAATTGCTATTAAACTTCAGAAGTTTTGGTAGAACACAAAGATCGCTTTGATTACAGAGTAGCGTTTGGAAAGCAATACTTTGCCTTTGGGGAGGGGGCGAATGTATGCTCCGAATGAGAAAACCAATTAGCCTGATAAGGTTTTCAGGCCAAAAAACAATACGTTTTTGAATATTGTGAATAGGACCTGAATATTATAAATATTGAATTGATTTATAAATAAGGTATTAAATATGTGTTATATCGTCCTATATTTATTGGGATTTTTTGACAAATCATGATCAGAGGAAGCTTCAAGACTTTGATCTTTAAAAAGTGAAAACGGAAGGGAATTGTCATGGAGAATTCCTCGTTCTTTCTTCTTCCGTTTTTACTCCTTCTTTTCTTGCACAAAGAGAATAAAATCTAGTTTCCATGAGAACAACATGTATAATATTATGATAAAACAAAGAGTCGGCTACCATTCAAGAGAAAGCAGAAACTGCACGTATTAAACAGGTTTTAAATTAAATTGACTCCATGGCAACTTTACCTTTTCCCAAAAAGAAAGATTTAATATTCACTCGATCCGCCATGCAGTTTACAGTCACTATGGGCGGTTTCTCAAGCAAAAGTCAACTATTTCGTTGAAGTGATAACGTTTTTTATCATTGGTATAGTCTGATAGTTATAAAATAATGTAAATAAACGTGGAACCAGAATCGCTCTTGAAATTACTGTCGTGGTGCCAGAAAAAAAGAATTTCGTTGTAAACAATTTTAAAACTATAGACGTAATAAACAAAATAAAATTTCATAACTGAAATAGAAAATATAAAGATAGGATTTAAATGCTATATAACATAATACAATATATCTATTTACATCTGATGAATAGTTGCACAGAAAATTCGAAGAATAAGTATATAGCTAATTAGGTATAACTCAGTAGGGATTTGCGATACCTTTCGGCTAATTAGGCTGATTAGCTAGCACAGGGACATCAGGGAGCTATCTTTCCCACTCAGGTTTAAAGTTGATGAACCACCAGAATGACGTCATCTAACACAAACACTCTCTGAGATGACAAAATATCTCAACAGTAATTTCGCCGTTACAGGTTGTTCACAACAAAATTAATATACATTCACAGAACTAGATACAAATAGAGCAGCCTAAACAAAATCTAGGAACTAATTTAGCGGGTCTCCTTAGCTGGGCATGCTCGATTGTTGTTTTCAGCATTCAGTGGTCCAATCTTTTCTATAGGTAAGTGACCATGTAACCTTCATCCTGTTGGGAAAGAGAAACAGCGTTTAAATGGATCACATGAACTATGAGCCTTCGGATTACTGTCTTAAAGTGTTTTATGGATAACTAAGCGAAATTCGTTAGCATTGGCGAAAAATAGTCCTTCGTAAAAATAGGATTTAGATTGTTGAGAGTTTTAAGATCCTAAGTTATACTTTAAGATTACTAATATTGTGCTAAGATTGTAATTGATGGAATGTGGATGGCAGTTTCAGTTGTGTTGGAGATTAGATCTTTACACGAGGATGAATAGTCAGAATACGTAAATAAAACAAAAAACATCATACTTACCAATGGTTTACTCTGTGCCCATCCAGGCCTCATAATTGATCCAGTCGACATCCTTCTCGAGTGAAATTCATTTCGCCGTAATTCTTTTGAGGCAGTATTTTCTTCTTCTAGCTGTTTCTTGCCAAAAGACGTGAATTTAACAGGCGAATCAATATCTCGATCCACAATCTTGAACGACCGCTTTTCTTTATGCGAGCATCTCTCTTCGAAGCCGAGATTTTCTTTTCCAATACAAATAGACTTTTGGCTTTTACTAACCTCGTCCTGGAAGAGACTATTGTCCTCGTTATCATCATAAACATCTTTCTGGACAGATTTGATCTGCTCAAATTGTGGCTGGGTTTTCCTGTGAATAATAAGACTATCTCGCTTTGGTTTGAATGATTCAAGAACTGGTTGACCTTTTTCAAGATCGAAATTCTCCCTGCGTGGCTTTAAAGGCAAGATACTTGGCTGCGCCCGCTGTATGGATAGAGTCTCTCGCCGGGGCCTGAACACGTCGATATTTAACTTTTGCTCTTTATGAAGTGCAAGTGTCTCTCTCCTGATGTTTAGAGAATCGCGCACAGGAGGTTTTCCGGTGGATCGAATGTTCATCAAAGGGGCTCGTAATTCTGGTTTTGGTCTGTTGTCTTTTTTAGTATTGTCAATCGTCTTTGAATTATCATTAAATTCCTTTGAGCACTGAGAGTGTTCGATCGCACCTCCATCGACGTCTTTCGGCTCAAACTGTATTTTATTGACAGTTTTTGAATAAGTGCTGACTTTGTTGGCCTTTTTCGGTGGCTTTTTCTCCGTCGCAGATCGCTGTTGGTTAAATTTTCGATCAAGGAATGGCGTGAAGGAAAACCTTCGTTTCGGGTCGCTTTCGTCGCAATTTGTTGCGCTACTACTGCGAGCTCTTTTGTTGTTGCTGCTGTTGCTGGTTGGCTCAGACGGAGGCTTTTGCAATTTTCTCAAATCTGGCGTGCTTCGTTTGGAGAAAAACCCAAAACTTGGACGGCTAAAGCTAGGCCTCCGAAACCGCTTCCTTTTTTCAGGAATAGTATCAAACACATGCGCATTAGCACTGTCCATTTGTTCGGACGGTTCCTGCCGGTTGTTCGGTGTCCGATGCTCTGCTAGCTCTCCCTCCGTAAACAATCGCCTTTTTTCGGGCGTGCTGAGGAATGCACCGTCTTCCCTGTCAAAATCTTCGCTTAGATTTGAAATATCTTCCTCAGGTTTCCTCTTTAGAGACGGAGTCATTTGTTTGGCAGAATTCGCTGCCTGCAAAGCCTGCAAACCAAAAAGTAAGTATCTTATCAAGACTGCACATATCACCGACAATTCGGATTTTAAATGATTCACAGAAAAAATTTCCTAAATTTAAAAAAGATAGCACGAGAGCCGAGAGCCAAATCAGTGGGGAAGTCACTTTTGAAAAAAATTCAGTGACATCAAAGGCAGGGAGTATGTCTAGCTAGTTGATTAGAATGTCCCTCCCAATCTCTCGACAATTTCACAGCCGACTGAAAGGTTATGTAATAGATCGGAAATGTGAACTAAAAGGTTATGTAATAGATCGGAAATGCGAACTAATTCTATCGCGCAAATTTCCAGCAATGGCAACACGCGTTGGCTATTGAGACATCGAAGCTGCGTTTCAGCAGAAACACTCTTTTGCAGAAAATTATATAAATCTATCAATAGAAAACTTTTGATGTTTTATCAAAGCACATCGAAACACTTGCAAGCAAACATTGAACTGAAATTCGAAACACGATAGTGAAAGGGATCAATGCACGATAGTGGCAAAAGGAACTTTGTGGTTTCTGATGTTGTTTAGGCTCAAATCCATTGAAACCATGCAATGGCGTCATTGGCAGTTGTGGTTACTGATTCAAAACCTCTTTATAAGAAACGAAACTGTTGATTCGAAGCAACCATTAGTCGTTATGTTGCATAATAAGTAAATTACATGAAACTCGAACAGCTTTGGATGGGAAACTTTGTTCGGTCAACGAATTTCAATATTATTTTTAGAAAACAAGAGTAAATCATCAAAGTCGTTATGTAAAATTGTGGAAATGATCAACCGAGGATTTAACTGGGGACGATTTGTGTTTTGACTTATATGCAGGTTAAATGATGTATATTAATTTTTAAACTCTTGGATAATCATTTGAAGGCCTGAACATGAAAAACGAAGCTTTACAAGGCCTGAAACTTGGCATAAGTTGAAGTTGGATGGGGTCGTTTTGTTTTGTCACAAAATTACATAGAAAATTATTATTAATTTAAACCATCGTGCACCGAGATTGGAAGTATTTCAAAATATATCATCTCAAGATATAGGTAGCAAACGGGAATTCGAAACAGTTGTAAATGGCAGCAAATTTCTTACCCTGCGACATTTTGGAACAAAAGGTGGTGTTCCTGGGTACTTCTTTCTGAACTAAAAGAAAAGCAAGAATTTATCACCAGAAATTCTGTTAGGAAATTTAAACATCACTTACAACCGTAAAAATAGCAGGTTTTTGCCTATCTATGATTGATGCATTTAATCATACCACGAAAAGCTGAGTTAACACAAAATTGGTTAGAAAATATTGCTTTCGGTACAATATTTGCAATCACGTTGTTCTATTGACGTACAATACACATTTAAACACGAGCACACGATATATTGTTGTAGGTTGATTGATTTGCTTAGGTATATGGACAAGGTTACTCTGTTTGTGCACAAGTATAGTGACTGTTTGGGTGTAGTCGTTTTGTCAATTATGTAAGGAAGGAAAGGTCATACATATGAATCGCCATTCTAATCCTTTAAAAAAGTGTTCGAGTTTAATTGTAGACGAGTCAAAATGCTCGTTCAGGTAAAACGTTCGACTGTTAATCCTCTTATAGGAATCGTATTTGCAAATAAATCAAAACGGTACTTTAAAAATCGCCAGAAAAGATGCAATATGCAGCAGAACTCCAATAAAGCAAGATAAATATAATTAGGTCTCTTCAAAATTACGTCATAGCTCTGTCAAAATTTGATGTGTCAATAGTTTAACTATGTCTGTCTCAAAATGCATCAGCGAAAATGCAGAAAATTAACTTATCAGATTTTTTTGAGAAAGCTGGCGAAAAAAATTTAAGAAATACAGCACCCAGCATCCATTTTGCTAAACAGCTTTATCACTTGGGAGCAAAATTGAAAATGCAAATATGACGTAGAGATAGAGACCTGTCATTAAGTTTGACAGAGACCGGGGTAGACTCTAAACTTTTATAATGTCATCCCCAAAATATCATTCCCAACCAATGAGGTGTATAGAATACGCTAGAGGGATAACTCTGTAGGGAGGCAGTGAGGCTTATCAATTTCCGCATTGCACGGCAAGAAGTGACTCATAGTGTATGGCGTTCTATTACATCTCACTATTAGGATTGTTGTTTCGTGCGTTTCTTTTTGGTCTAAGAATTGACAGACTGATAAGAAAAAACATTCTTATAATAGGGTTGGAAGTAAACGGCTCCCGCCAGTATTTCTACGGATATAAGTGGGGATGGATCAATTTTACTTCATCGGTTTGTTGACGATTAGGCCTATCCTTACCATCAGGTTCTTCAATATATTGTCGCTTTTCTGTAAAATTTATACATTTTTTCTTAAATTTTATTTCTTTGGTACTTGCTATATTCCTCCTTGTTTCATGACCGATGCCTTGCAAGGTGATCACTTGATACACCTCGTCAAAAATATCGGCTTTAAATATATGGCTGTTTGTTTGCGAAGGTATGCCAAAAAAATTAATGAGAGAAGTCATAAATAAAAACAAACCAGGTATTCCCCTTCAGATCAACAAACTCGTTTTGTTTAATAATGTTTAGGGACTGCGAAAAAAACGCTATTGATCCTCCAAAACAACGGTCGGTAAAAACATCACTGTTAATGTCCAGAATTATGCTTTACCTTCCAATTTTCCTTAAAATCCAATAATTTAGGTTCGTAGGTGTTTCAGATTTTCCAGTTTAATCACTTAAAACTGAATTTTCGCCTGAATTCTTTGCTTAATATTGCACGTTTCATTCAAGTGTTTGTACGGCACTTCTCCGTTCTTGCCGTGCAAATGAGATTTCTCCTGGCTTCACTTCCTGTGGTCAGGGCTGCCTCGAGTTGACCCTCTAGCGTATTCTATACACCTCATTGTTCCCAACAGAAAGAAAAGAAAATGGTTGATGTCCCATTAAAAAATATACAAATTTGTCATTACTTTAAGCTTATCGTTGTCACAAAAAGTGAGTCAATAGTGGCTGCAATTGTGATTTTGTGTCCAGGAAAAAAATATGTGATAATTCTTCTTTATCTTAAGTCATCACCTTTTTTGCATTATTTGCAAAAAAATCTATTACATTCATTTAAATCAAATTGGCGTCTCCGATAAATGGTTTATCGTTTTGGCCATTTCTTTTGAGACTTTCAGTTGAGAATGATAGTATTCCGCAACGTAAGATAAACTTACATCTTCCAACACCTGTCTTTTCATCGGATGGCTGTCTGGCATATTTACAACTTGAGTGTAAAGATCTGCAAGAGCGTCATTGGTTGCCTGTACCGTTTCTTGTTGATAGAAACGAGGGTTGAGCCTTCTGCAGAACGCTTTAGGGGTTGCAAGTGCGTAATTTCCCTGCAAAAACGAGATTACATAAATACAGGATTACAAAAAACGTTCTCTTCTAGAAAATTGTGAAAAACAGTAAACATGACATCACTTTTTAACACTTTGTTGCTGCATCCAAAACAAGGATGTAAAGGCCTAAAAAGCTACCGAACGATTTAATTACAAAATTCATCTAGAATGCAACTACAAAGGACCTCCGGCTACCACTTAGGAGAAGTTCCAAGTTACTGATGCCACAAAACTAACGTATATTCCTGTGAAAAAAACTTCAACCAGGTGCTAAAGAAGAGCATCCAGCTGTTGCTACAAAAATGGAAACAATGCAATAGTGAAAACCGGTTGGCTTTTCGTTTCCAATTTGCATTTCGCCTTATTTACGTGTAGAGAACATGGAGCCAGAGACAGACTGAGAAAGCCAGCTAGAACGTCTTTGAAGCTTCGCGACTATCTTTGAATAAATCAAAAACTCAGATTTACATGCTTTCATTCAAAGTTGGATATTTTAAAAAGAGCATTAGTGTTGACGGCGAAAACACATTAAAAGAAGATGCTGGGCAGTTAATGCGATAAATAGTTGGGAAGAAAAGTGTAATGAAAATATGGAAAATGATGTCTTTGGATCCTTACGGAACAGTGAAGGCAGCAAAAGTGGAAAAACTGGAATGAATGAATGTCATGGATGTGGCATAGAAATCAGAGTTGGTTTCTAAAGATGCATGCATTAGCAAAACTGATGGTCTGTCTATGCAGCACAAGAAGAGCTGGAGAAAACAGCTAGAGAGAAGTTTGAGGATACAGCATCCAAGGACCAAGGTGAAGGTAGCAACGAAAAACTGTTCTGAGGATGAAAGAAGCAAATGAAAGGTAGAAGAGCACGTGAAAAAAGCCGGTGGAAAAAGCTTAGAAAACCTCTAGAAGACAACAGCAAACTATCTGGAAGATGACACTGACAAAGAAATAAAAAAAACCGCTGCAAAAGTGATGGCGGACCAAGCTAAGAAGAGGATGCAGCTGTAGAGGAGCTGGAAGACATAGCAGCAAACAAATTAGAGGATACAGCTTCAATGACCGGGTGCAGCTGCAGAAACACTACTGAAGGATGTGGTATCAAAGTAGCTGGAGGATGCAGGTGCAAAGTAGCTGGAGGATGAAGCTGCAAAAGAGCTGAAGCATGCAGCTTAAAGAAGCTGAATGATGCAGCTGCAAAAGAGCTGGAGGATGCAGCTGCAAAGGAGCTAGAGTATGCAGCTGCAAAAGAGCTGAAGGATTCAGCTGCAAAAGAGCTGAAGGATGCCGCTGCAAAGAAGCTGAATGATGCAGCTGCACAAGAGCTAGAGTATGCAGCTGCAAAGGAGCTAGAGGATGCAGCTGCAAAAGAGCTGAAGGATGCAGCTGCAAAGAAGCTGAATGATGCAGCTGCAAAAGAGCTAGAGGATGCAGCTGCAAAGGAGCTAGAGGATGCAGCTGCAAAGGAGCTAGAGGATGCGGCTACAAAGGAGCTAGAGGATGCAGCTGCAAAGGAGCTAGAGGATGCGGCTACAAAGTAGCTGGAGGATGCAGCAGCACCAAAAAGAGCTGGAGGATGCAGCAGCACCAAAAAGAGCTGGAGGATGCAGCTGCAAAATAGCTGAAGGATGCAGCTGCAAAAGAGCTGAAGGATGCAGCAGCAAAGAAGCTGAATGATGCAGCTGCAAAAGAGCTGGAGGATGCAGCTGCAAAGGAGCTAGAGTATGCAGCTGCAAAAGAGCTGAAGGATTCAGCTGCAAAAGAGCTGAAGGATGCCGCTGCAAAGAAGCTGAATGATGCAGCTGCACAAGAGCTAGAGTATGCAGCTGCAAAGGAGCTAGAGGATGCAGCTGCAAAAGAGCTGAAGGATGCAGCTGCAAAGAAGCTGAATGATGCAGCTGCAAAAGAGCTAGAGGATGCAGCTGCAAAGGAGCTAGAGGATGCAGCTGCAAAGGAGCTAGAGGATGCGGCTACAAAGGAGCTAGAGGATGCAGCTGCAAAGGAGCTAGAGGATGCGGCTACAAAGTAGCTGGAGGATGCAGCAGCACCAAAAAGAGCTGGAGGATGCAGCAGCACCAAAAAGAGCTGGAGGATGCAGCTGCAAAATAGCTGAAGGATGCAGCTGCAAAAGAGCTGAAGGATGCAGCAGCAAAGAAGCTGAATGATGCAGCTGCAAAAGAGCTGGAGGATGCAGCTGCAAAGGAGCTAGAGTATGCAGCTGCAAAAGAGCTGAAGGATTCAGCTGCAAAAGAGCTAGAGGATGCAGCTGCAAAGGAGCTGAAGGATGCAGCTGCAAAGGAGCTGAAGGATGCAGCTGCAAAGGAGCTGAAGGATGCAGCTGCAAAGGGGCTAGAGAATGCAGCTGCATAGTAGCTGCAGCAAAAGAGCTGGGGACTGCAGCAGCAAAAGAGCTGAAGGATGCAGCTTGAGAAGAGCTAGAGGATGCCGGTGCCCAGATGATTCGAAATTATGCACAATATATATCAGTGCATTTTGGAACGGTGTTGACAAATCTTTCATTATTCTTTCCACTGAATTCAATCTTTGCGATATTGACAAAAGGTGAATAAAGATCATTATCATTGTACCACAAAAAACTTTCGAGTTTTTGTAACTCACCCCTTTCATTCCTGTTCTTGAAGCAAACAACTCATCCGGCACCTGCAAGAAAATCGACAATTAAAACAATTCACACAGATACTCTACAGCAGATAATTTGACAAAGGGTTAATTCTAATTTTTACAATATTTCACTATCCATTTCAATAATTATTCCTCTTCTGTTACGAGCTTATGTTTAACATTAAAAAACCGTGAAGCATAATCTTCCAAAAGCGACATTTTTTCAACGAACTTCGTTTACACAGGTTTTCTGGTCCTTTTTGTTGGTATTGGCTGCAAATGAAGTTATTCATGCAATCAGCCAATACGCTCCACAGCACCATACCCCGTTTCTTACGACCCCTTTGATTGATTTATAGAGATAGTACGACTTACAGCTTACTATTAAACCCTGCTTTTTAAAGGATTTGTGTCCCAACACATTGCGATGGCCATTTAAATTTCCCATTGGTTGGACTACAAAATATTTCTTTTGTTACGTGTCCAATCCTTTAAAAACTCGGTCACTTCTCAAGGTTTTCTCAGTAATCAACACGACGAAGAGCCTATTGTTTACGCTGAATGGTCAACTGACGAGACATTGTGCTTTTAAAGGCATTTGACACAAGTAAAAGTGGCTTACAGCCACTCGACCACGAGCGGTTGACCAATTAAATTCTGCACAGAGAAAAACACGTGAACAGTTTCTGCCCTTCTGCAAATCGGTGACATCCAAGAGCAGCGCGCAGTGGTTTCACGTGAGCGGTTTTCAATACCTTTCTTGTGCGCGTGCTCTGATCAATTCGGCCTAAGTTATTTTTGGATTCGTTGTACTTATGCATGTCAAATGCCTTTATTCATCGGAGATTGCGATCTCTTAAATTAACGTTTTCTGCTTTATGACAAAGATATTTTACAGAGGTTTTCTCTAGTTTGCTCTTATTTTTTCTTTATTCGATATTTACTTCTTTCTTAATTTATTATTTTTCTTGCATCTTAGTTGCATCTATCCATGCCAATATTAAGGTGACTAAATAACGATGCTAACAAATCTAGTAAAATCAAGACAAACCTTAAAAATTTGATCTGAATTTTCGATTATAAACTCAATAATTTCCGTCAGAGGTTCCAGATTCTGATTCACGTCATTCAAACAGGATATTTTCTGTAAAGGAAGGAAAGAATTTCTGTAGTCTACATGAAAGGAATCTAATAAAGAGAAGATAAATGCTTGCCAAAATTATTTTAAACATTCATCAACTTTTATCTTGTTTTAACACTTTCTTTTAATTCCCCAAACATCTTCCCTTTCCCTTCCCCCAGAATAATGTTGATAGTAGAGGGAAAAATTAAACAAACCGCATGAAAAGCAAAATAACTAATTTCTAATTTCATTTTGAAACAAAAAAAACATTGTTGAAAAGGGAGAGGCTGAATTCGCCCTGAAGAACTGATGTGAGAGTTTTTTGCCTCCAGCCTTTTTTTGGAAGAAATGCTTAAACTGTGTCTGCTCGACTTAAAGAGAAAATGACTCACTGTTCGAGAAGCAATGTTTGGAGCAAAAACGACAGCTAGGTTTTTCGATGTCATCAGGTTGATGGTTCTCTCAGAAACTAGGTGCAAAAGTTCAACCAGCTTCTTGAAGAATAAGCGATTTAAGGGTGGTAGCAATAGGGAAAGAAGCTGTAATGCCGTGAGCCGCTTTCTGAAAGAAACTTTGCCATCCATTTCTAGAAAAAAACAGAATATAGAAGACGTTAATGTGTATACTATAAAAAGAAGTCAACATACAGCATTTCAGGTAACTAATTAACCAAATGTATCATTTGAAGCCATCACTTAGCGATCAGTTTTTTACTAAGGTCATGATATAGAGCTGATGAATAGCATGATATGATAAAACGAACGTAATTCCCGCAAAATTCATCTTTTTTGTTTCTACTTTTATCCTGACGAGAGTACATAATACTGTTAACCGTGCAGCCAGCCGGCACTAAAATGGCCTAAGCCACCTGTCAATCAATTATTGGCCAATCGATAAGCGAATGATTGGTCTTATGCTCACTGATTGGTCAATTGTTGAGTGACAAGTGATTCAAGCCATTTTAGTTTCCGTTTATGGCCTTTAAACAAGCTATTTACCTTTGCTGTCAATTGAACAAAATCTTTTCGGGTCACAACCGAATAAACGCATTCTTTTAAAGCAACTTTTGAAAACGCTTACCACATATTGTGTCAATGATTCATATAAACATATAAGGAAGCCTTTCAAAAATGTAATTAAAATAAACCATTATGGGATCGTTTTTGTTGAAATCTGTGAAAAACAAAGCCAAAACCTTTCTGTGCTAGAAAGATCCGAACAGGACTCATCCAGCGACAAATATATCCCCTGTCAGAATAACAGCTTTATGTTAGACTTGACCCGACTTCTTACGAAACATTTGTCAATGTTGAGCGATGCACTCGAATTTATATTGAGTGATGCACTCGAATTTATAGCGCTAACCTCGTGTTTTACCTGCCACTTGCTTGTAACAGTTGTACAGACAATCAGTCAGGAGTGGTTCGCTCAGCTCAGCCAGAAACTGCTTTAGAATGGTGGTGAGGTCATGTTGGCTGAAGCCTTTGTCTGTCAAATCAATAGAATGACCTTCCTTGTTGAGCATGTCCTTTAAATCTTCTTGGCGTCTTTTATTGCCTGATATTCTGAACAGTCCTTCTACCTCTGTATCTGTAATGAAAAGACCAGCAGTTGATAGCACATTACCATAGTGACATTCTATCCAGGGAGTTAGCAAGTTAAACAGTAAAACATTCAACAGCAAAAAGTTTGCAAATTTGAACAGTAATCTTCAGCGACTTTTGCAAAACATTAGAAGGAGTAACAAGAATAACAATCATTATCTCGTGCTCATGAAAGAGAAATTGCAGGATCGTGCTCGCGGTAGATTTCATTGTTTCACATTAAAAGCCTACTAGCTGTTGTAGCTTATCAAATCGCTTGATAGAGAAGACCCTACTGAAGAAAGCTTAGGTACTGCAAGTCATTTTCAAAAGAAATATAACAAACTTAAAATTAACTTACGATTTTTTAAATGATCCATGATCTTCACCATAGTTCTCACTGAATTTTCATTTAATTTTCCGCCAAAAACTGCATTGGTTTCTAAAATAAAAGCAATTATTTTCCATTTAAAACGTAAGACCCTGTAAGAAATAAAATATGGTGGACACTGGGGGGCAGAGGACAAGGAAATATCTGGCCTAAGTCGATTTGTTTTAAGTGGCTGTCGAGTAGCTCTACCGATTCGCCGAAATCTTTCTTAAAATTTCATGCATTGAAACTTAATATTATTCCATGTGCTTCCCGTCGATTCAAGAATGTTTAAGCTTTCCGGGTTTCAGGGCAAATTGTTTAACAGCTTTTTCCGAACAGAGAAAAGTTTCGACCATTGTTATCCAATGACCTGGAGCAAACTTGCACGCTGGTTGTAATTGATGAATCTTAGTTCAGAAATTAGCGAATTTTGTATGGTTTAGAAAGAAACAGTGAATTCTGTATGAATATGTGATTTAAAACCATATGATATATTTCTAAACGCCTGTTGTTCAATAAGGGCCAGGGATGTCCAACCAAATTTTTTGGTTGGGCCACAGAAAAAACCTTACGTCATCAGCAAATTTTATCTGAAACAGTAAATTGATTACATGAAAAACCATATGAAAAGTCAAATAAATAGTTGTAAAAGAACAAAGAAATTATCAAGCAAGCGAGAAGGAGACACGTGCTTCTACTGGGATACGTGGTCAGCCTGAGACCGCCCCGCGTCATTAAACCTTTTATATCTTTGAACCACTTTGAATTTTGACTTTCCAACTTATAGACAAAGCTTGAATTAACTTTTGTTACAACCACCTGGCTGGACGTGATTTCAAAGTGGATTTGACTTTAGCGTATTTGGCAAAGTCATTTCGTACGGATCCACGCATACTTTTTGGGCTCAAAAGGTCTAAATTGTGATGTAAACAAGAAAACAAGAACTAAAAAGTGACCAGTACAAACCACTTAGCTATTGAACAAATAAATCTTTAGCCAAGAGACTTAATAAATGCGATGACCGTGATTTGATTTGAGTGTGCTTGTCCTTCCAATGAGATTAATCAAGGCTGATTTTAAACAAACGATGCTGCTGGAAAAACAGTCCTTAATAGTCCTTAATACGAATAAACTGATACAATACATGACCTATCAATGTTTTGAAAAGCACTTATCTAATTTCTATAAAATGCAGCTTCATCATTAAATACCTACTGTTTCAGTATGCCATAGGGGACAAGGCATGATAAAGGGGCACGCGCGTAGAAAATTAATGCTAATGTCTAAAGGGTAGGACGCCTTTTTTCGCAGATTTGCAAAACTTTTTCAACAAAGCTGAGATAATGTTCTGGTTTCCGTTTCGACATATTAACTATCTGCTTCGTCACGAGATGTTGGATGAAAAGTGAGGTTTTGAAAAACTTGAGAATTAAAAGCAATTTCAGGCTGAAACTTTTAGGCTAAGGAACGTTGTTAAAAAAAGATTTCTGGAGAACATCAAGTGAGGAAAGTTTGTAAGTAACAGAAAGGCAAATACGAGAGAAAATCGTTTTCCGTGGTTTGAGCATTTTTAAATAAGTTTTCAATTTATACTATCAATTTACTAAATGAAAGGAAGGTAAAAAGAAGCAATGTTTTGCAATAAAAAGTAAAGTATTGTTGCTACAAGGTTAAGAACAAGACTGCCAAAGCAAATGTACATTATCTTAACAAAGAGCATGGCGGCTTGAGAGTTTTTCAATAAAACTGTAACTGATTATTATTTTAGATGAGCATTTTTTCATGGAAAAAACAACATATTTAATTTTTAAGTTTCACCAGAAGAAGAAATCAATGATATCATCCTTGAATTTCAGTTTTAAAAAATTTCAAATTACTGTAATCCCAGTACTTTTGGCTTCAGTTTCAAATAGAATCAATATTTAATGGGGTTATCTCCAAAATCTTTACATAGACCACCAATCAAGATATCTATGGCTAGACCTTACATGCAACTATGTGCTTGGTACAAGCCAAAGGGTTTGAAATTATATGAGATCTTGTGTTGTTTTCAAAAAAACTAAGTCTTATAACATGCTAATTATTTTTGTGGACTGAAAAGTGCCTTTGTCATTAATAAAGGATGTGACGATTCAACCTGGTGTTTTAACTAATCTCATCTTGCATGCATAGGAACTCTTGACCAACTTTATAACTAAAGTTCAAATGCTGATCGTAAAAACCTTTTATGCATAATTGATTCAAATAAATGCTTTCAACATGATGAAATTTATTAAAATGGTTTCACATCTTAGTTATATGAGCAATAGACTCCAGATTTTGATAGCAAACAAAGAAGACTGTCAAAGATGATTTTCGAAATGATATTTTTTGTGGCAACATTTTTTGTTGCTTAAAAAATGGCTGTTAAAAAATCCTTGCTGTTCTACACAAAACAAAATGCAGCCATCAAGCCTATTCGATTTAGACAGGCAGGCAGTCACTCTGGCATGGACCCTAGTAGAAAAAATACATGTAAGCAAATTGTTGCCCAAGAACCCCAGCCTCTGTAATATAGACAGCAGTGCAGTGACCAAGTGGTCTGGTGGAGCATGTCATGATATAAGTTGGAAAGTTCATATTGTTTTCTTCTAAATTATGCATTTTTTTCTTGCATGCAATAAAATAATGTTGCTGAAATTTGAACTATTTGCTCATTTTAAAATTTTTCTCCCATTACACCGGCAAAAAGATGTAACAAAACAGGAAGAGTAATGGAGGTAAGGCAGGTCAAAACGATGTAACAAAGAAAGGAAGAATACTAGATGAAAAGGAGGTCAGCCTGTAAAGTAATCTTTCTGCACTGGAAACACCAGAACAATAAGTTTCAAATTTGTTGATAACAAATGTTTTGCTAAAAATCGTGTGTAGAATTTGTAGAAAAAATGTTTGAAGCGATCTTGCATTCTTTTTTCATGTGATTCTGAAGTTAGGAGTTTTAATGGTGATTGGAATATTCATATGGAACATTACCAGGCAAACAAATATTATGCAGGAAGAATAAAGGATTTAAATTATTACGCAAAGAACACATTCCTTGTGAAGACCAAACTTTACTGTCTTGGTTGCACATGGATCCATAAATAATAAACCCTTGACAGTATATATAAATTTTTTTTGCACATATGTACTGTTTATTGAGTATGACATTTACTGTAAACCCATTATTGATTGTTTCAATTTACAATAGTCAATACATTAATATCAATGTAGAATATGAAATCTGGGTCAGACACTGCCAAATCCTTGAAGCCTGAGGTTATATGCAAACTGAGTAACAATTGCCATGCTGCATTTGTGTTAATATTTTTTGCAAAACAACTGAGACCATGCGTTATTTCTTTTGGATATCATTATCCCTCTCCTCTCACCCCCAGAAAAATGTTCAGTGTGCTTCTCGTGCACTTGCATGAAAGACTTTTAAACTTCATAAGATTGCACATTTCATGCTGATAGAGTTCTACATCAAGAAAGCTGGGTTTGATGACCTAAAGAACCCTGGAATTAAGGGCATGTTTGTGGAATGGAACCTTAACCACTAAACTTCCACCATTTCTTGAACATAGACAATTTAACTAAAATAAAAACAACTTGATAATTGTACATGCAGATATAGCACTGAAAACATACAAACTAAAGCTTTCAAAAATAATAGTGTGAATTGGTTGTTTCATTAAAGTCATTTTGTTGTCTTCTGCAATCTTCCCAAATATACATCCTTCTGTACACAATCTATGCTTTAGTTTTTGTTTTAACCCATTGACTAGCTGACATAGCAGCAGTATAATGCCAGCTTTTTCTTTTAATATCAGATTGCTAAAAACTCGTGAAACATATAGGAGTAGGCAAAATCTCTGCAGTGCATCAGCTTATGCTAAGTACCTGGAATAGTTCTCAGCTATTGGCAAATTTTGCAAATTGGTCAAATATAAATATCATAGGCAAGTGCTAAGCATTGGAAGTACAAACATCTTAAGATTGGGAGTTTAAGTTTCTATATCATATAGCGAATTGGCTCTTTTATGTGATTTTATGTCACACATCGTACATCAACAACGATTGCAGGGTAGGACCATTTCCAAACGACTAGACTGCATGCTTTTGAGTGGGCCTGGATAAGCTTTGTGAAAACATTTTTCCATCCCATCAAAGTAAATTAATAAACAGAAATTTTACAAAAATTGCTCACCTTTTGAACTTGTTTTGATTAATCTTCTATGCAGCTTCTTCTCCTTTTTCTCTGCATGATCGCTGGTTTCTATAACGAAGTCTTCATATGCAATATCGCTACCTAAATCAGACCCAAGTTCAGTTTTGATGTTCTTCAGCACATAGCCTTCTCTGTTCGTGTCATCTGAAAGTCCTTCCAACGAATTCAAATCTAGAAGTTGTGTAAGCAAACTTATGCACAAACTCGAGAGTTGGTTTGCCATGTTATTCTTTCAGATTAAATTCATTAGCAGGATGTTTTAACTGCGGACATTTTGTTAATCGACTGAAAATTCGTTCAAGAAACACAAATGTAGGCGCGTGTTTAAAATTATCCGAATTGACCAATCAGGGCTCGTCTTTCTAGCGCGCTGTATTTTCCGGACTATAACTTATCGCCGAATAAAAACCTCCTTCGTTGCTACCACAGAAAATTTCACGACTCAAAACTGGGTCAAGTATTCTATTCATTTTCAAAGATTCTGCTCTGCCTAAACGTCAGAAGCGGAAATTATGGAGGGCATGGAGTGGCTTAGCCCCCCCCCCCAATCAGCGTTGTTGTCGGAAAATTCGGGCTTTCGTCGTATAATTGACAAACGTTTAACAAGAAAGCCCACTTAAACCCACAAAATCTAGATTCAAGCGTAGACAAATAGATTGTAAACGCTGTAAAGCCTTCTGTAAAGCCTTGGCCAAACTGGGTAAAATTGTTGCCCGACAATGTTGCTTGAAATTTTGTTTATATTTTGTCGTCGAAACATGGTGGCCAAACTGGGCAACATTGTCGTGCAGCATCTTTTGCTGATGTTGTCAAAACAGCGCGCCAAATTTGAATTGATAGGTGGTTTCAAAAGTTTGGATAAGTATGGCTGAAAGAAAGCAAGCTGCAGCCACTGGAAGCTGATTTTGACCCAGCACAACACCATCGTTTTGCTTTTGGCACACTTTGGTTGAGCACTCGTGGAAACAGTAGCATTTGGCTGATTTGTTGTTTTCATAAAACTTGCACTTGGACTTGTTTCAGACGAGACCTTTATATTCTTCCTCTCCATGATTTACTTCCCATTTTGCAAAATCAACTTCGAAGCCTAAATTTTGACAGGCCATTTTAGTTTAGCTTCAAGAGGACAGCATATATTGAGCATAAATATGAGATGAATAATTAAATGGCTTAATGAACAAGAAAAATGGAAAGAATTCGGTTGGTTGTCTTTAGAAATAACCACAACGTCATAGAACATCATAGAGAATCACAAGTCAATTCAGCTTGACATCGAGAGTTTTTCAAAATTAGAGTTATTCCTTCTTCGTAAGTGTGTCAATATACGACTGTTTGCAAGCGTTTCAAGATAGGACTGTTCTCTAGAGTTCAGATAAAAACTTCTCAAGAGCTTAGAAATAGATAAAAATTTCCGTTTTGCCCCACCTATTAACAATGTAGCCTCGCATTCAGTTTTCGCTCGCATGACCTACCTAAAGCCCAACCAAGATGCTATCTTGTCGGAAAATCGTGGGCCTGAGCCACCCCCACCCCCCACCCTTTCCATCAGTTTCTTATAAACCAGTTTCTTACAAAGAAAAAACGTGTAATGGTAAGAAACAATTTTTTTAAGGCCCTCCATTGAAAGCCATTGCTCGCTTCCCGTAAAGTTTTCGGAATTCATGGATTTTATGATAAACTTAATATCGTCTTACAAGGCAAAGAAGAAGGGTAAACACATTCAATAACTAACAACCAGACTTGGGACATTGATATTTATACGATGGGTACATGCGCCAGGAAAACCTTTTGTGATGCACGCAGTTTCATAAATACTTTCAGTTTGGTTCACCCATCACCAGTAATAGGAACGGCTTTATCAAAGACGTTTGTCTCTAGCATTCCCTCTGAATACTGAACCCCATAATGCCAGTAAATTCTGTTTTTCATGTTTATTCCACTCAGTTACACTTTAATATAAAAATCTACGTTTCCCACCACAGGCTACATTTTATTTACGGAGAGGACGTGGATTATGTTAAGATACTTTTCTAAACAGTAGCTACATACCAATATCAGAAGCTAGTCCACGAAGAAAGTTGCAAACCATTGTCATAGGCATAGTAGGAAAATAAGGGATGGAAGGCTGCAGCGCCCACTCCCCCCCCCCCCCCAATCAGGCAAAAAATTTTTGATTTTAGTCCCAGTTGAACAAATTTATCTCAACAAAGTAACAATACTTAGCCACTCTAAACCTTTAGCCTCCGCTACACCAATGTGCGAAATTGCTATATACGCTGGTGGCTCAAGTTCAGTACTACAGATAGTAGATAAAGGATAAGAAAGACAACGATATATGGTTTAGGCTCCAATTCTAATTCCAATAGAAGACTGTATAATTCAGTAAATTCTAACTTAGGTTCCAAATTCGATCCGTTCTAATTCTGTCTTCTCTAATCAACTTCAACTCAAATCTAATTTCTAACGCATACTTCACGTGTACATTAAATGACAACAACAGAAACATCTACTGTAGTACGTAATACCATACAATTTCTTACAACCAATGACCATGGTTGCTATATCGTTTTTCCCACGTCCCTGATTAAGAATTAAAAAATAGATTAGAAAGCAAAAGTTATATTGGGCCCCGGGTAAAACAGTTTTTCTCTAGCAAGGGGCTACCATACATAAAAAATTTAAGATAAGAAAATAATTGAAAAATGAAAATGAATTTATCGAAAACCTTCATCCGATTACCTGAACATCTCTGCTCTGCTCTTCAATATTATAAAATATATCTTTCCTTAGCTCGCATTTATACCTCTCTCACTGCAACTGAAACTGATGAATTGCTACCACTCAAAACAGCAAATGCCGAAAGATACCTGGAATTGTTTCAATTTGGTGAGATTCTTAAGTTTGATAAGGGTTGCAAGATAGGATTTACAAAAGAAGGCCAGACGGTTAGGCAACTCAGGCCATATCTCCTAAAAATACAGTGCGCGTGCACTGTTTATATTTCTACGCATGCATCTTTTGAATAATCTTTTTACTCAAATAAGAAACATACTTCTTCTTTAAAACAATCCTTATCTGACAGTTAGGATATATTTTTCATATGACCTATTGGTGATAATATTTTACCTCTGGGTGTAGTAAACTACTTATTACTCCAATTATTCCATTGATGTAGTTATTGCTCATTCAACGTAGAATTTCTGCTGAAAAGGCCAAAAAAGGCCAAAATTAAGTACTGGGCCAAAAACAAAATTCCCAGGCCATTTAACTACGAAAAAGGCCAAAATTGGAAAATTTGGCTTGAAAAAGGCCAATCTGGCAATCCTATGTTTGAACCTAGCTAGAATCGATAGTGTATGTAAAAAAGCATCCAAAATAGTCGAATTCCCTTTAAACAAATAGCCAGGCATGTACGGGTCAAAGGCAAAACAGATAATTTTCTTTTTTATTCTATATCATTGATTAATATGGATGCTATGTAGCAAAGGAAGCTAGATAAAAACTAGAATAATAAGGGAGCATTACCAGAGGCGGATCCAGACATAATACATAACATAACATAACATAACATAACATAACATAACATAACATAACATAACATAACATAACATAACATAACATAACATAACATAACATAACATAACATAACATAACATAACATAACAAAAATTTAGCCACCTTAGAGCAATTTTATCTTCCACAACGTTCGTACCGACTCGTGTCCTGTATCCAGCGGATGTTCAAAGGAAATAATAAAACAGGGTCTCAAGATAACTTTTATCGAGAACAATGTTTTGGTGGTAGTTTTTTTTCTTTGCAACACTGAAATACGTAATGATGATTTAATGGAGTTTCATCAGAGTTAATTTCACGAGGGGCTTTTGAGCTTTAACTAATTCGCTTGAGATTGCTATTTCTTGTTATTTCTTGACTTGTTCAAAATGGTCTCTTGTGCCACGCTTTCTCACGTTTTTCTTGTATCTGCTCTACTAGTTTATGAGCGATGCGTCTTTCGGTCTCCTGAGGATTCTAGAGGTATTTAAGGTTTCGGCCTAGCGTGGGTCTCACCTTGCTTGGTGAAGCCACAATACAAGAAGGCTGTTTTATTTTTCCAGGCCTTCTTCCCTCAATTTGTTTCTTCATGCAAAATGCCTTTTCAGTATAGCTTTGCGTGTTGAGTTTTCTTTAAAGGCATCGTTAGAGTATTAGGTAGGGCTGGTGCATCGGCTAGAAGAGGGGAAAAGAGGCTTTTCCTATCCATTCCCTCCCAATTATCAATCATATTTGGGGGTTATTGTGTGGGAACGTAGCCTCATGACCGACCTTCTGATGTCAATAGCAGTTTTTCTGAGGGAGCTTTAGCCCTTTATATTGCATTGATATTTCATTCCCGAGTAAGTAGATTAACGTGTGTTTGGGTCACAAAAGAATTTAGTTATAGTTTTCATGAAACTTTACTCGTCTTTGAAGCATATCAAATTGAGTATGTCGTTACAAGTGTGCTAAACAGCCGCAAAACAACTCTCGCATGAGATGTTGATCCATATTCTCTGAAGCATAAATCAAAAGTTTTGGAACATTTCTGAAGCTTTTTCTGTATGTACACCCTTAAGTCGGAAATATCCGGGCGAAATGAACGAAGGACTGCCAACCGAAAACAGTGACGGGCATATGCGTAATTTGAACGCAATGTATTGTTCCATTTGACTCACTCACTTACCCTTGAATTTGATACCTACATATGTCTGCATGTTTTGCTTGAATGCAAGTCATATAAATTCTTGATAACAATTGCGGTACATCCTTGCGTTTTCAGACAATTGAAATTTGAGACCCATTTTATGCCTTTGTTTTATTGTTTGGGGGGTGACACTCGGTAGTTTCCCACTCTAAATTATGACCGTATGAGAGTGAATAACATCCGATTCCAACCGGTAAAATCACCCCTCGTACTTATGACAATCAACCAATTATTTCCGCTGGTCGAGAATGAGATATTCTTTGCCTGAGAATTCTGGATATGACACGCCTGAAGTATAAAGGATAGGAAGGTTGAGTACAAGTGAAGTCATTTTGGCTCTATCAGTGGAACACCCTGGCCGCTTGTTTATCATTGCAAACAACGCAGAAGCAACCCTTGAATTTCAAGTATACGCTTCTCACACAAGTGTAAGAGGAACGCTTCGGGGACATTCAAGATTTTAAGATGGCGACACGACCGACTGGCTATGGGTTGACAGCAGAAACGAAACGAAAAATTGACAGCAAATTTGACGCGGATTTGGCGAATCAGGCTTTGAATTGGGTAGAGGCAGTCCTGGAAGAAAATTTGTTTGATGACAGAGACGAAGCAAATTTGAAGAAATACGTGCAGGACCAGCTCAAAGATGGAACAATTTTGTGTAGAGTTATAAACAAATTGTCGCCAGGAAGTGTCAAGAAGGTGAATGCTAGCAAGATGGCCTTTAAGATGATGGAAAATATTGGTAATTTTCTACAAGGTTGCTACAACTATGGAGTGAAGAAGGAAGACCTGTTTCAAACTGCGGATCTTTATGAGGGAGCAAACATTGTTCAGGTGGTCAATGGACTGGCTGCACTCGCAAGGAAAGCTCAATCTTCGGGTTACGATGGGCCCAGCTTTGGTCCCAAAGAATCGACTGCTGCCCCTCGAGAATTTACACAAGAGCAGCTGGAAGCTGGGAAGAGTATAATAGGGTTGCAGATGGGCTCAAACAAAGGGGCCTCACAAGCCGGACAGAATTTTGGCAAAACTAGGCAGATTCTTGATTAGCATTGAGGGAAAGTAGAGAAAAATATATTTTGGACCCATATTAAAAGTTATATTAAATGCCAGGGAAATATTGTTTATGAATTATCTATTAGATAAAGAATCGCTTGATAATTTTTGTGTACAGCCCTGAATTCGCCACGATATACACAGGGGTCTCTTTGTTGTTTTTCGGTTATTATGTTGTTGCCTTCTCTTTGAAATTCAAAACAAAAAATTGTTTGAAAAGGGTTTATCAGGTATGCCATGTTCACACATAGCCATTGAAAATATGCCATGTTTGCTCCCATCACTCAGTGAACTTATTTACAAGATATAATTTGCAGTCGCAAGATTAAACTACCAGTGGACTTCTTATATACATATCTGGATGTTAAAATTACTACCGTAATGACAAGACGCGTGAAGTTAAAGTGACGTCATCAAATAATTTCTACAGAAACTTCTGCAGCGAGGGAGGACACACCCAGTGCAGGTCATCTCGCAGACTCTCGGACTCTTTACATTGTTGTTTACACTTATTCATGATTATTCAAGTGTTAAAGCCAATAAAATCTTAGCCCTTTAGTTTTAAATTGAAAAATTTAATTGCATTATCGTAAGAATATGTGAAAATATGACGAAGAATTTAAAGACCTTTTAATTCATAATGTTATCAAAAACCGCAGATGGCTGACAATGTCCTGTGAAATGTTTTTAAAGTATCGGAAACGACCAGTATGTCATGGCGGAAAGGCGTCAAAAATGGTCACAATTTGTAGACCACCAAAAATTAAGAATTACGAATTCCTTGTTCTTCGATAGGGTCACCGGAGAATAGGAAGGAAGGGGGGGGTTATTGTCCCTCTTGCCGTTTTATAGAAGGTAAAAATGAGCTAAATCTCCTTTTTATGAAAGTACACTCTTTTTTTATAAGAACAATTTTATAAGAACACGAGCCTCAAAACTGGTCAAAAGTTAAGAACAAGCTGAGACTGAGCTTCTGCAAACTGCAATTTTGAACAACGTTTTTTCTCAAAATCGAGGATTTTTAGCGATGTTTGAATGCTATCCCGGTGAATATTCAAATTTGTCAGCAAATTAAGGCCGTCTCACTCACTTTGTTGGCAAATGAGGCCTGAACACCTCCTTAGAGCGAAAAAGCTAGCAATAGCACTGCTTAAACCCTCTTAATTTAAGAACAAATTAAGAACAAGCTGAGGCTGAGCTTCTGAAAAATGCAATTTTGAACAACGTTTTTTCTCAAAATCGAGGATTTTTAGCGATGTTTGAATGCTATCCCGGTGAATATTCAAATTTGTCAGCAAATTAAGGCCGTCTCACTCACTTTGTTGGCAAATGAGGCCTGAACACCTCCTTAGAGCGAAAAAGCTAGCAATAGCACTGCTTAAACCCTCTTAATTTAAGAACAAATTAAGAACAATCCAGCCTCAGATTTTCGAAAAAATTAAGAACAGTCAGCCTGAACTTAAATTTACTGGTTCTTGTAAAAAAAGAATGTACCCTAACATTGGCCTTCGAAATTATCAAAGATATCTTTGTTAGGCTTTTTCTCAAAACGCCTTTAGAGTTCATATCCCCGTGTCTGCTAGTCTGCCCTCTCCCAGGCTACCCTCTCCCAGACTACCCCCCATGATTTTCAAAGTGATGACGTCACAATAATATTCTTAGAATTTTAAATTTTGATCACATAACCTGAAAAAACACAATAAAATACATCTTAATACACAAATCATCTAAATGTACTAGAAATTGGTTGTAGAATGGCCACATAAGCACAGGCTCTTTTATCATCAAATCAGTGTGATTTAATTTATGTTCATATCTTAATGAACCAGCAAAAAATAACTGTTATTCGTTAGCAAACTTCAAATCTTTCGTCGGCCATGGCTTATCCGATTAGCTGATTTTTCATATTTAGATGTATTCGACGGTGGTGTTATTCTAGGGAGTATGGTCGAAAGCCAAAATTTCAAGAAATATCTAAATTGTCAATCTTAGGAGAAACAAACAGACGCAGCATTAAAGGGCTTTTGAGCGGCGCTGCATAAAGGAATGGGAAGGTGAAGAGAAATATATTTGAAATTGGTCACACCCGTATAGAGCCTTAACACACCATTTCTTGTTCAGTTGCATTTCTGGCCCTATTCACTCCACTGAAAACTTAGAATTAAGAAAGCGTTAATAGGCAAAAGTATTCAACATTGTTGTCTATGATTGATTAGATGGTTTACCATGTGAAAAAGCGAGCGAGTGAGATGACCAGGGTCAGACTCGAACTCGCCACCAGCGACACTGTACGTCATGTCATATTTTATCCTGGCAAATGTTTTAATAAACGTTCTACTTCACTACCAAGATGGTTTATTTGACCTCGCAGGAACATTTATTTCATTAAAGAAATGTTTTATACATTCATTGAGATAATGATAAACCTCTCTCTCCAATTGTTTGAAGACTGCTACCTGGACAACGTGATGACGTCAAAAAAATTACCTGCCAACCGCCTCACTTTATCCATATTGAGTAAAATTTGAAGATAATTAGATTTGCAATTAGGTAAATCAATTTTGTGTAATGATTTCGCTTAATACTCTCTCCTCATTATTCATTAATCTGATATCTTAATATTTATATCAAATATCTGGATAGTCTAATAAAAATTTTCTGATTTACACGGTGAATTCACAATCTTTGCCTCACTGCATCCCCTCGTCCCCAAAACAATGCTTGATTTAGAGTAAAACATCATAGCCATTAGAAAAGAATCTATTCATCGACACCGAGTCTCTTTAACATTGCATAAAGCACATTTTTAGAGAGGGAGGGGAGGGGGGGGGGGGGTATGAAGGCAATAGAAAATATTAAACTATATATTTAAGAGTCTACCAAGATTTTTGGCAGCAACTGCAGCTCTTACAGGTACCGTACCCTGGTAATACTTTTGGCTGCTTCTTACCCTGGATACCAGAGTCTCCATTATTTAGCCTAAGAAATATAGTTAGAAACTAGTCACATAAAAGCTTTTTGGAGCTTGCCACCGCAGCTATGTACAATACTTTATCCTCGGATTCACGAGGCTCTGGTACCCAGATTAGCTGCTTCTTTATAAACCCCAACATTTCGAATATGCCCCTCCCTAAAACATCTTCTGCAAAATGAACCCCGGGGGCTTATTCGAGAGCTTAGGTACTTAATCTTTGAAACAGCTCTAGAATTTATCTCTTGAGCATGGACAGATCTTACTGTTTTCAACCTAGAATTAAAATTTTGGCGTAGGCTTAAAATGCTTTTGAAATAGCTTACGACAAAAACATCTCTGACGACATCTCATTCATAGAATTTTTTCCAACAACCATATTGCAACTCTAAACGTCGTTGTACTTGCTTGTAATTGTTGAAGTCGATTTCTAATCTCAAATCAATCAATACCATCATTAAAAATAGCTAAAAGAAACACTCAAAATTTTGCTTGAAATCTTTCTAATATCCAAAGCCTTGTCGGGGACGTATCGAGAAAATTCTCACTGTTTTCTGCAAATTAGGCTTCGTTCCTCGGTGTTTTGTTCTTCTTTGTCCCCATTTTAAGGGAGAGGCACTATAATGTGCCAATAAAAGTAGAATTGCTAATACTAGATCTATAATGAAGTTTGGTAACCTTTGTGGTCCTAAAAATTTATTCAAATTTAGTTGATATATTTATTCTTTCATCAAATTTAGTTGAACTAAATGTTTACTTTCTCTAAAATTCTGATTTTTTTGTCTACATTGTCAGCCATTAACGTTAGGGCAGATACAGTAAATCTCATAAAGAAGAAACTTCTTTTTCAAAAGTTAGGCTGTTTATGGCTTTTTCAAAAGGTCCTGTTTATGGCTTTTTCAAAAGGTCCATATGGTCACTTAAGGGCCAAAACAAAATTTTTTATTAAAAGGGGTATATTTCTAGCATATGGACGAGAAAAGACCCAAGTTTCGTTTAGGGGGGCTTTGTGTGCATTATTACTTTTATATTAAGATAGAACCGCCCGGACGGAGCCTAAGATGCGATAAATTTTGCCTAGGTAAAGGCCACAGCTCTCTCAGCCCATATGTTTCCTATGTCTATGAAACATTCTAGATATGCTGAATGCAATTTTTGTTTTAAATTTGCACATTGCAGTTACAAATCACAAATTATATTGCTGTCACATCAAGAACTTTTCACAACTTAAAAAGGTGCCTGTTAGAAGATGCTTGATCAAAGAAAGACAGCATGTACGTTTAAATATCCATAGATCCCTCATTAGGGAGACTAAATGAATCTACTGACGTCACTGCGAGATTTTAGGAGAATCTCTGTCCACAAAATTATTTCTACATATAGAGGCTTAGAGAAGAAGAATGTACCTAGTTAAGATAAGCCTCTTATAGAAATGTCTGCAAGCCATTATGTTTCTTTCACGTTTAAAATACCAGTATAATTTATTGCATTGCCAATGTTCGAATTTCATGGCCAGGGGAGGACTTTTAAGTCGAGGATACGGAGGAGCCACAACGACTTTCTTCAAGACAGCAGTTATGGGACCCCGGTTGTTGAGAGGCTCAATGTAGGGTCTTCTTAAGTCGCATCTTGGACACAACGAACCAATTTTTGTTTAAGGGTCGCGTCAGAAAGGCAACACAGTAAACCAGAAAAGTAAACATAATAGGGAATTCAGGATGATACTCTCAAAACCCTAAAACGTACTTTCCTGTCATCATTTAAAACTTATGTTTCTGTAATTCCAAAATATCCCCATAAGCACATCCAGGAGCCTTGTAACAGTGAGATGAGGGGTGTCGCATCTCAAAGCTTACGAAATTGGAGATTTCCGGGCACAAATGGAGCTTTCGGAATTGGTTTCTTTATTTTCAGATAAATTTTTCTAAGAAACTAGCTTGAAATCAAGATAAACGAGCCAAAAAAGTCTAATATGAAATTATGAATAAAAACTTTACCAGTTGTTCCAAAGAAATTGTATTTTGGAGCTGTTTTGAATATTTTTGTGTGTAGAGTTGAGACACGTCAGAAATTAGTTTGGAGCATTACTGATGGTTTTTGTATTTTGCATCGATTTCGTTAGCATGTCGGTATGTGTTTTTCAATTACAAAATTTAGGAAAAATGCATCGGTCGGTATGCGCTGGTATCTCATTTTGTATTTTGTGCAATATTTTGTTATACACTTCACATGAAAATTATTGGTTAATATGTATACGCAGTTTCATGCATAGATGTGGTGCATGAGATGTGTGTGAATGTACATACGTTTTAGTGTAATCGTGACAGGTACTTTCCCGTGGTGGTTTTAGGGACTGCGGGGCCCAGGACCGAAAAGAAACTTGGGGCCCTTGTTCACAACTTTTATCTTTTTCTCAGTTCCCTGAGTACATGAGCCGCAAAAACTTTTTATAGTATTTTCTTAAATTAGATAAAAATCATAAATTATAAAAAGTATTTTCTTAAGTGCAGAACCCTTTCTGGCATTCATAAGCGTGTCCCCTTGGACCCCCGTAAAACCGTCACTGGTTCTTTCAAGAGACATAATTCAGTATGGAAAACTTCTACACATATGGAAATTTGACTGTATAAATCTCAACGTAAGTAGGAGAGTCGATATCCGATACTGTGTTGTCGATATCCGATTTTTTGAGCTGCATCTCTAAATTATCATGCATCACTCGAATAATACAAATGTTGATTAAATTCAAGCTGAACTTATGTTAATTAGATACATTTTCAAATAAGGTTGTTTTAACCGGAATTCGATGATTTGAACTGCCTTGTAAGTCACTCACATAATTCTTACAACACTTATTTTGCTTGAAGTCAACCCTCTGCCAAATGGTTGCTTTGTAATTAAGCTTGCTTTATCTACTCATTGGATGAAGAGCCATGACGTCATTAGTTTGCATGTGTCATTAGGTTTTGAAATAGGGAGGTTGTGTCTTCTCCGCCTCTTTATAAATTTGCTAGTATTTTCAGTATTTTAATGCTTGTTGGTGTATGTATATGCAGCTCGTTTAAATGTTGTAGTAGGTCTTTAAGTTTATTTTTTTTAAATATGTCTATGATGATCTTGTTGTCTAATCGCTCTTCAAGCGTATTTGGTGTGAAGAGGATTCTCATTTCAAGCAGTCAATTGTATTGTTCTTTTCGGAATATGAGTAGCGTAGAAATTTCGATCTAGGTAAATTTGAGTATAGATAGGTCTAGTGTTTATGCCTACATAGAGCAATAGTATTTTCCTGCAGTGACAGCCTGATGGCATTGCCTCCCCTGGAATAACTTCTTTATGAGTTTTGGTAATTAATAAGATATTTATGTATTTATTATGCATAAAATGTTCGTAAAAGTCTGTTATTTGACCGTCATTTTCCCACTTTGACCCACCTTTTTGTGAGATTAGATAGAACAATCCTGACGGATTTGCTTACGTAGGTTCATAACATCTATTTCAATTTAAATAGAATAAAGAGGGCAGATCGAGAAATAGATGTTCAGCGTGCATTTTCTTATAAAACAATAAAGAGAACCTTCTATAGCCCAGGGTAGATAACCGATATAAATTAAGGCAAAATAATTAATTAGATTTTTTCTGTTTTACTTTGTCCGCATGTTATTATCTGGCTTCTGATTTGGACCTTTACCAAAACGTTGGCCATCTCTGCCGCAAGATATTGTATACACATTTTTTCTGTTGGCTTCATGGAAGCTTATTTGCACAAGCTCTTGGCTGGCAGAGTACGTAACGTTGTTGTGTCATCTGCATACATATTTTCTTCGATGAAATTGATTTAGATGATCAACAAAGGAGGACCAAGATGCAACCCGTGTGGTATCTCACAATTAATATTCTTACTTCTCAATATCTCAACATTTAGCTGGTAAATTTTTTTGAAAAAGTAACTTAGCAGTTGCTAGTTGTACAAAGTTGAGTTTTTAAATGTGGGAAAGAAACTTAACAGCTTTCGGGATTGAGTGAACATGAAATAGGCTAACATGAGCGTGTTGGCAATTAACTGAATATGCTTTGCATTCAGTTTAGATTTACAAGTTTTGAAGATAGTACGAAATAGCGGAGACATTGCATACTAGTATGTTTCCGTACAATGAGCCTAAAATTACTTTAAAATCACTTTTATGCAGCATGATGTGTAAATTTGATAAATGAAACAAATTTGATTTGTTGGAAATGAAACAAAATAGCACATAAAACAAACTTGGTGTTCATGAGTGTACCTCAAAGAGACCTCAAACATTTGCACGAAAGTCAAGATTGTTTTGTTCGCTTAAAATATTTAAATTACTAAAAAGTAAAGCTGTTAATTAAATTTGAGCCTGGCAATTAGTCTTAATCAATTCTTGCATTTAACTTATTTTGATCTCGACAAGCTTATATTGATGTTCATATCTTTGAAAAAAGAAGGCGAATGTTCTAATACCACTGCGGGGGAAATAATCTCTATTTGAATTTTCTCTTCCTCCAAAATGGCTGCGCAAAAAACGGTGTACAGAAATTCAGAAGTGAAAAGCAGAGTTAACGAAAGGCTTTCTATGTCTGTTTTGGAGTCAGGAAAAGTTATTCAGAGTATTGTGAAAAACTCAAAGAACAAAGATGTATGTAGTTATCTTTCACAGATACTCATTTGTAGGTCTATCAACCAGAACACATCGCGAGGGCCTATTTTGGTGGAAGATATTTATCCGGCGCACACCAAGCCCCAAGCGGCCTTTTCTTGTGTTTCTTCGGTGCCTAAGACATTCAGATTCACCATGGCTGTCTATCTAAAAATCACTCCTTGCTTTCTTTTTCATTTCCATATGTATAACAATCAATTGAACATGCGAGCAAATGCGCCCTACTAATAATCTGTCAATGTTATTTAACCACTATAACCAAAAGTTTTTACAATCCTTTTTGGCTTTCTACCAAATCGCATGCCAATTTCTTCGATTGCATATAGCAAAGCTGCCAGTCTGGTGTTTAGGTGTGTTACAGGCTATAAGCCTACTTTTACACATAATTATTATTACTATAATTATTCAAACAATCTTTTGGTGGTACGAAACTTGATAATGGCTTTTAAAAAAAGCAGACATTTGAGTAAATTAAAGCTTTTGGTCTGACAATCTTCAGACTTTAAAATGTCAGAACATAGATCAAAAATTATTTGCTAGGAATTATATATACCCAGTTGTGGATTGAAATAGGCCAATCATAAACATGAGCACATGACTGTTGAGGTTGACCAATCAGTGCCGCCTGCATGTCAAGAATGTTACCAATAGAGTCCTAAGGCTATAACGAACTCCTTTTGTCTACACAATAGTGGTTTTTGTGCTAATGTAGATAGATTCCAAAACTGCTAGATGGAATGACGATTGGGCTTTACCAATAATACGAAACATGTCGTCATTAGCCGTATTATATTATTAATGATTGTAGATTAATACTACAGTCCACTCCGCTTATAGTCACTTCGCTTAAAGTCACACTACCTGTTACAGTGACATAGAATTTAGACCCAAATATGCAAAACTATTCAATTTACAGTGACAAATGTTCAAGCAACATTTGATGTGACTATAACTGGAGTCTACTCTAGTAAATGTTTGCCCATTTGTTTTGTGCCTGTTATGATACAAACAATGATACTGTTTTTCAGATAATCCACCAAGCAACAAAACAATTTTCCAATCTTGACAGCTCACTTACTAATATGGAGCAAAACCTGAACAATATAGAAAAAATGATTAAAAAGATGGAAGTACAGTATGTGTTTTTCTTTTTTAAAAAATATGAATTATGTTCATCATACAGGTTTATTTTGTTTATTTATGTGTTAATATTGTTAATAATTTTTCAAAGACTTGATCTCGCTAACATATAACAAGCAATGTTTTTCTTGAACAATTTTGAGACTAGGAACATTTATGTTACAAACTTTAGGTATAGCTTCAAATCATACTTGACTTTATTCTTTTGTGGAAAGATATTTTACGTAGAGTAAATTAATTTCTGTTGCTTGAACATTTTTTATTTTAATTTAGAATCTGGCCCTCTATTATATTTCACTGGTTTTTGTCATTTAATAACAAACAAACATATTTTCTCTTTTGCAGGAAAATAGCTGCAGAACACAAGTAAGTTACATTTTCAAAATCAATAGTTTTATTTATTCCCTAGCAACAAAATTCATTGTACATCACCAAGCCAAGGAAAAACATTTGGCTTCCCTTTCCTAGGTAGCTTTTCATAGTTGGTTAGCATTAAAAGAAACATTTTGAGTTTCATAGTCCTGTTTATGTAAATGTTGAGCCATGTCTATCAACTTTATACCTTGTGTCTAATGGGTTGGTAGCTAAAGCTTCAATTTAAGAAACATTTTCAGTTGTTTATATAGGAAGCAATATTATGCAGACAACAAACTATTTCAGTTTTTTTCTTATTATGGATGTAAGTGTACTGCATATGATTTGTATTATCACAACCTGCGCTTTCAACTAGGCATGTTGCAAACAAACTTAATATTATGATTATTATTTTTCTTTAAAACTTGAGGTTTTCATTGTTTCATTATTTGTGTAATTGCAAAATATTGACCAAAGAGTTTGGAAATATTTTTTTCCTGAAGGTTTTTTCCAGAAATAAATATTTTTGCTATAAATGTGTGACCTTCTCTCAGGTGATCAGGATATGATCCAAGGTTCCTGGGATATGCCTGCAACACCAGACACTCTTCCAGTGCTCACCATTTCCAAGACTCCCAAAATTCTTCCCTCTTCCCTAGATCTTGTAAACTTTGGAATGCTCTACCCCTTTCCAGCCTCAAAAACTCTCACAACAGGGCCCACAGTCCTGTCTTCACAATCCTTCTTCCCCTACCTTTGTTAGGATAAGCCAAAAAAAACATTTCAAGGTCTTCAAAACGTAAAGGTTGTTTTTAGTGAGTATGTTGTTTTAGTGAGTATGCTGATGTTGGTTGAGGGATATGCCACCAATTTGTAAATAAAGAACCACTGAAGTTGTGAAAGCATTGCTATAAAAATCACTTACAAATTTTCTTGTTATTATTTATTTTTATAAAGTTTTTTCTGTATTCTAAAGTTTACAGGCCATACAACAGATGGCAATGAAGTTGCATGAAATCTAGAAGGCTGTCACCTGCTTATGCTGGTAACATGGCACTAGAAGGTGGTCTGCAGTATGTTTCTCAGACCTTCATGCATGACTGCCAAGTTTGATCCTCTTAATGCAAGATGATCACAGTAAAAGGATGAAGTTGATAAATCACTTTCTGTTTGTCTTGCCACAATAAAAGAAAAGGTATGCATTCGAAAAAGGAGTACAAAGAGACAGATTTAAATCAGGGTTACTGGTAAAATTTTGTGTTGCTGGATGGTGATATGATGAAACTAGGGCAGAAAAAGCAGAAAGAGTGTTCATCCTACTAGGTACAAAGCTAACATGTATGAATTTGGTGTGAAGTTGCAAAAGACAGTTGGAAAAAAATCTCAAAAGGGAATCTGGGCATAGTTCTGGTGATTAATAAAACTTATTTGTATGATTCCAAAGCTGATCCTTGAGGAACATCAACTGGTAACAGAACATTTGGGAGCAAATTAAAACAAAGCAGAAACTTGTAGATATGAGTATTGTTGTATGATTTTCAGAATAAATCATAAAATTTAATTTCAATTAATTGAATATGTGCATACAATGGTTTAATATACATAAACTTTCTAATCAGTTTCTTGAAAACTTCACATTAAGCTATTGTAAGTGGAGATAAAAACATTCCCAAATATTTTTAAAAGTCAATTAGGATGAAGACCAGATTATCTAGAAAATTAAAAACTTTGCGGTGATTTGATAGTTTGACTTTGTTGAGAATATTGGGTGGAAGGTATCCCAGTGGTGGCACCTTTATTTGTGGTACAGTCACATCAGCTTGTCTGCACTTAAAGTCACACCACTGTTTACAGTCACATAACATTAAGACACAAATACGCAAAACTGTCTTCAATTTAGCTCCGTTTACAGTGCCATTCTGCTTTCAAGCAACATGAAGCGTGGGTGACTATAACCGGAGTGTACTATACCAACAATAACGGAATGGAGCGTTTTCATAGTTTAAGCTACAGCCTGGACGAGAGGAAATGACATTTTTCTGCAAGGAAGGAACCCTAAAAACGTGGTGTTTAAAAGATTTCTGGTGGCGTAGCAGTTGTCACTTACCCTTCTATACTTCTTCAAGGAAACATGGTATAAGACCAACAATTACAAAAAGAGAACCATTAATAACAAAGGCCCTAAATGGGAAAATGGTATCTAGTCTTTCCCAACGGATAAATGTTTAATTGCAATAAGGGGAAAAGTTGCAAACAAGTTTAAGGAATGAATATTAGCACTGACGATATAAATGAATAAAAATTGATACAATAAATTAATGAACTTGTACAATAACTGAATATTCATTACGACTTTTGGAGCATAACTCTCCATCACGACACCAGCAAAAACTTCGACTTTGTCCTGATGAAGAGCTATGCTCAAAACGTCGTAATAAATGTTAATTTCTTGTACAAAGTCGGTATGTTGTTGTATCAATTTTTGCTCATTACTCGATGTACAACACGCACAACTCCATTGATTTTCAAGGTATAAACGAATGCCTGGAAAACAAGATAAAGATTTGAAATCGAAGGCACCCAATTTCAGGAACTTAATGTCTCGCTTTTACAGCAAAGGTATTGTGCAAAGGAATTTATTAGGGGGGGGCAAAGTAACAAGGGGGCAGTGCAAGGGGGCTAATTATGAGTATATGACGCGTTAGGCGTTTTGTGACTGTTGTAATTCGTTCAAATCGTACGTAGCTCTCTGACTACAAATTATCCGTAGGTGTCTGGCGTTCTAGCGAAACGTAATGAGCGAATTACCCTTGAGGTACTTCTACTTAAATTATTTACCTCTATATTTTATTATGCAACCTACAAACTACAATTTTGTGTATAAATTGTCTTAAAATTCAAGCTTTTCTGTGAATTGTTCTATTGCTAACGTTGTATCTTGAAGAGGAAGCAAGGGTAGGGGTCTCTGATTGATACCAGAGAACGCCCTCAAAACATCGTTTTAAGAATTTCGTTCAGGGCCTTATTTTGAAGGAGTAAACTAAATCTGTGGTGTCGTTTCCTGTTTGCTGTCATCTTTTAAAGAATTTAGATGGTCTAGTTGTGGCTCTTGGTTCTTATCGTCTTGTGTACCAGGGCCGATTTCTGAATTCTTCGTTTCAGATGAAGGAGATTCTTCGTTATCTCTACAATAAATTTAGCGCAACAGATATGAAATTTTTCAAGATGAAGTAAGCAAACAGATGTAGGCAAAAACACATACTAAGTTTAAACCCATTACAAAAATTGGTTTATGGAGTATCTGGGGGCGGGGACAAGCACAGTGAATTTTCTGAGTCGCTTGGTTGAACGGCCTATTCTTTTTCCAGTTTCCATGACAAAACATCCGACTACTGGGATAAATTTTCGAGTCAAAAGGAATATATTTCAAAACCCCTTTTTAAATCTTTAAAGCTCTCAATATCTAATCTGATTTGGCACGCTTTTTGAGAATTTTCCAGCAAGCTTAAGTGAAAATTGGAAAACTAATTTTCGTTTCCATGAAATAAATGTTAGCAAAGCGGAACTTTATAATTGAATAATTTTTCATCGTCTTTTCCTGTAACTTGAATTTCTCTGCCAAAATATTTCTGGACAACTGTGCACCTTTGGGACTATTATTCAAGAAATCAAAGAAAATCAACGAACCGTGCTCTTGAATAAGCATTCATTCATTCATTCATTCATTCATTCATTCATTCATTCATTCATTCATTCATTCATTCATTCATTCACTTTATTTCTGTGTCAGATAAATTTGCTAGTTGGGGACATTTAATATACAAATAGAATATCACTTTGACAGTTCAAAATTTAAAACCAGTTTAAAGTTTTACAACTATGTAATTAAAAGTATCCTAGTTCAAAAGTTATTGTTCACAAAAATGGCAATTACAGTTCTCCGTGCTGATCATGACTGACAAATCCGAAATTTTTCATAAAGTTTCTTTTCAATATCCCAAGACTTTTACTATCTCTAATGTCTGAGATGACTCAAGTGATTCAATACAGAATAAAATTAAGGGAAAAATTGGTTCTTTGAGCTGGCTAATTGCTTTGTCTCAATTCAAATAACACAAACATGTTACTTTTGGGCTTTTTGATTATAAAAATCTATCTTGAGAGAAATGAAAAGATTGAATTAATTCGGAGTTGAAAAGTCGAGGAGACACAGGGTACCATTAAACAAACTTTCATAAGTTGAGTTTCTGCAATGATTCCCATTTTTGCCAGGATCATTTCAAAAAACAAAGATTATCGCCGAACCATATTCCCAGATTTGTTTCGGTCGCAGTAGTAGGATAAAAAATGCATGGAAAAGTAACATGAGGAAAGGGGAGGGACTATATTTCCACAATACAGACATGCTTCCTTTGCAAATATCAAGTAACGAACCCTTCTGAACAGCATAATGTTCATTTTTTAACATTAAATCTTTGACTCTCCCCTACCAAATATATTTTTTTCACCAGGCGGACTATATTTTAACAGGGGCCGCCAATAGAGTAGCAAAATCGATCCATAATGAAAAATATCTCCATATAGTTTAAATTGAAGAGTAACCTATCAAAGATAGTGATCCTCGACTTACTTTGTCCTATCAAAGATAGCGAACTCTGTGTTAAGCAACTCCAATTGTTGTTGATAAGGGTCTTTAGACGATACTGAAGTGCTGTTTGATTCCGCAGATGCGCTAACCTAAAAAATGATGAAAATATATACTTCAGTTTCGAATTCAAAAGAAAATACACATCAAACCACAGCATTCTGCTTTCAAGGTTCTTGCCTGAAAATTAATCGCAAGTCTAAAAGTCGAAAGGTTCAAATTTTTCCAAACAAGAAAACGCATTTGTTCCCTTCATAACCATATTTATTTAGGCCAACTTTGAATAATTCAAAGAAATGATTTCTTGTTCAGGTGGGAATGTTGTTTTGGAAACCCAGCTGTAACAGCAGGGGCGGCGGCGCCAAGAAATTCTAAGTAAGGGAGCTCCAGTTGATAACATTATTAAACTAAAAAACCAACTTTTGAAAACGCACAGAAATGCTACACGATATTTTATGCCTATAATTTTATGGGGCACTCGTTATGCTAGCAGTAGTACATTGAAAGGGCGGCGAGAGATTGCCGGGGGCCTTAGATATACCCAAAGTGGAGGTTTTTTTGCGAGCGAAGCGAGCAGAGAATTTCTGCAACAACGCCCTCTAGATTAGCTTGAAATACATTTCAGAATATTCCTTGCGGTCCTTTTTTGCAAAAATTTAGCTATTCTTAAGGCATGGTTTTTTACGTTTGATTGATTCCAGTCTTAAAATGGAATTCGTTACTTTATGGGGCACCATAGACCCCGGCTTATAGCCCCCCAGCCCCCCACCTTGCGCCGCCCATGAACAGAATGGGTTGTAACAAGATTTTAATGGAATGAAGATGTACAGTATATTCAGAAAACCAAGCCATGTCTTCACTGAAAAATTATTTTGAATTTGCCTATGCTACGTTATTTAATTTCAGAACGCCTATTGGAGACGGGCTTGTCTCATTTCCAGCTACTATGGCCTATTCTTATCAATATATACAATCCATCGCTTTTTAATAACGCATCATTCTCGAATATATAATATCGAGATAATATTTGCCCTATTTAAGCAATATCGCATCGCTCCTATATTCAGCTGAAAATAAGATGAGCTCGTCTCAAAAAATTCGTTAATTAAATAATATAACACGGATACTAAATACACATTAAATAATTTTTTATCAAAACGTGTCTAAGTCTTCTCAGTAAATCTTTCAATGAAATGTCGATTTTTACCACACTTGATTATTTTCTTGGCAAAAAAAACTCCCGTGGTCTTTATATAGAAGTTACGCTTTCAATTGAAATTTTAAGAACTTGGAGTTTGGCTACATTGAATATTGTATATTGACATTTCCCAGTCTAAAATTTACAATGGAAATTTTGCATAATAAAAGACAATAGCACATTACCTTTTTCGATAATTGCTTGTGAAGTCTTTTCTTCTTTTTATGAAGTGGTTTCGACTCAATAATCATTTCTTCTAGTTCGTATGTTGGATCGCAGTTCAGGTTGTCTCGCTGTTGTTTATATAAAAGTTGCAATGAATAAATTACGGAGAAAATAGCATCATCAGATTCTTTAGAAGGAAAAAGCAAGGCACTATTTTTCGCTAGTCATAGTATATGTGCTAGTCAAACGTTCACGCTAACAATAGGCTGTGAAACGCTTTTAAAATTCAGATACTGTTTACAAATAATAAAGCATTTTCCATTGGAAAATAAACAAAAGCCTATTGTATAATGCAACCAGTGGGAATTCAAGTGACCAACGAAATTCATCGGAGACATAATGCCTAGAAGGTAGTTCTGTCCCAAGAGAATTGACAACTTTGTCCATTAGACTGATTTTACTATTGTCATAAAGTCTTTTGCCTTTTATAACACGGAAACCTGATAGCTTGGTTGCCCGTCTCCCCCTTGCTTCCCGGCTTGTCATCAAATAACAATACCTAAATGCGTTTGCTGTTACATTCGCGATCAGTTGTTACACTGTCTGATCAATGAATGACTCCACACACCCTTGAAACAACAACAGTTCAAGTTTCTGTTAGCTATACTATGCTCTGCCAGTTATTAAAACGGAGCTGTCTAGTTTCCATACTGCTCGACCTGATGACGTAATTAGTTTACCCTAAACCTAACCCTAAACCTAACCCTAGCCCTAAACCTAACTTTAACCCTTACCCTAACCCTTTACTTGAAATAATTAATCATACTAATTTATGGCTATTAATCATGCTTATTTATGTCTATCAGGTCGAGCAGTATGGAAACTAGACAATTCCTATTCAAACATTCTGATGAATGAAACACTACAGAGAGACGTTGTGTCTCGCATAATTTGCCTACAGATCTAGTCTCCAAGGGGTTGAAGAATGTGTCTAAGGCTTTCTATCACTAGGATATCACTAGAATTATCTCAAATCCTATTATAAGTACGACTCCAAACCAGAAAAACTGCATGTCTGAGTTGTGCAGATGAAATCAAGACGATTAGCCTAAACCATCTTTCAATAAATTTTCGCCAATCAAAGAGCGTATGAGTGGAATCACACTAAATGAGTGGTCACTTTTTTGATTGAAAGATGTCTTAAGCCCCTTTCAATTGCCTGTACATACCGATGGTATGAAGCTCATTATGATCTCCTTGGCTAAAACTTCATCAAAGTCTATGTTTTTCATAACTGAAGCTTCCTTAAGGTGCTTTACTGTGCTTAACCTCTTTAGTGGGTCTGGCTGTAGCAATCTTTTAATCACTCGAACTAAATTCTCCGATAATGACGTGGGAAGCTCCAGGACAAGTTCTGACATGAAAATATTATGCGCTGTTGCGGCATCAGTGTCCGAGTTAATGCTGAATGGTCGCTACAAAGAAAATTTAAGATAGAAATGAAAACCTTCAAATGATGATGATTTATTCTTAGAAACTTTTCTGAGCATACTCAGTTAATAAGGTTTAAAAGGCAATGTAAAAGTTGGATGTGACCTCGCAACCACTACGAGGTTAGCCTGCATCTACACTGCCTAACGGACCATTTTTGATCCGCTACAAATGTGATCCTGTTCACTTGAACCAATTCATTGTACCGGTTTAAAACGAGCTCGATTTGCTATCGCATTTACACTGTGCAAGAACATACTTTTGCTCAGCACAATGTACAAGTGCACTTCAATGGATCAAAACTCCAGCCAACATGTACAGTAAAAACCCGTATATAAGAAATTCGCACAGAAGAAACTGCTGACTGATTTTGGATCAAAAGTTATGATACAAACTGCCGACTCAAAGTTATGGAGCAAAAGATAAGAACCGTTGGGTCTGCATTTTGGAGCTTCTTATAAGTGCATATTTTAAAATAGCTGCTTATTAAAAAAACAAATCTAAGAAGTTTTCAAGAAACAAACCGGCTTTCAACTTATTCAATTCAAACAGCGCTCAGTAAACAGTAATTTCTTTCTTTTTTTCTGTCAAAATGTGCAACTGTCAAACCATTCTGGCTTTACGAGCTAGTCATAAGTTCAGTCTGTTGAAAGTCGTCTTTTCACGGTAACATTAAACATTTACACCTTACAATAACAAACTGCTTGTTATTTGAAATTCTGTTGTTCATAATATTGAGCCCTGTACTGGTTCTTTCCTTACTCATAGAACTTTTTCCATTTTGCAATTAGTTTGGTGTTGAGTCAAAGTTTCCAGTACCCTAAAATATTGATTAAAATTGCTGTCAATATGCATTTTCGACAGATTTTGGAGTTTTCGTAGAGCAAATATGTTGTTTGTGTCATGTACGATACAGTTTCAATAGGCTGCTTGCACTAACTTATCAGCCTGTTCTTAAAAGAACTATTAATTTTATAAGAAACTGTGCGGCCGGAATCCAAAAAAGCTTCTTATATGCGGGTCTTCAATGTTAAAAGAAAAAATTTTGTGTTTATCAGACTCAAATTTCTGATTGAGCTCTATAACATTGAATAAAAACGTGCAAAGCAGCACATTGCTTCAGTTTGGAAAAAACCCTACCCTAGGTACCAGAGCTACAAAATTTCGAGCCTGTAAATAGAAAACCAAATGGAGGAGAAGCGGAGGAGCGTCTAGCTGTTAGAATGGAAAGTGGAAGATGGAGAAATTTCCCTACTTCTCAGAAAGACGCTCCTCCGCTTGGCTTTCTATTGACGCGCTTGAAATTTTGTGGCTTTCTATTTAAGCAGTTTTAACAAAAGATTTGCGAAAGAAGGCCTCAGTGACAGAATTATGACCTCATAGTGAACCAGCATCAAGAGTGATACGAACGCAAGCGTTTGCACTGTACCGATCCAGTTTCAGTTCCTCACAGGAAGAAAGTGTACAATTTGCCTAGCTGGTACAAAAATGTCACTTTTGGATCTGTAAGACCTCCTGTGCCGGATCAAGTGTAGACACGACCAGGATAGCGAAAGATCAGACAAGAATGCAGCATAATAAGGAGTCACAATGAATGGACGGCAATACTTCATTACAGACAAATATATTTTTGAGAGTTGTCATTGCCCTCATCAGGTAAAACTCCAAACCATAGAAAAGCAAATAAGAAGGGCAAAAAACTGATGACGCTTCATCGAAGGTGCAGAAACAACGTCTTATAGTACGACGAAAAGAAAGGAAGCATTATGATGCACAGTATACTTGCCATACCTTTCCGCGTATCATCTCGCAGATTGTAACACCTAAACTCCACCAGTCAACTTCGTGTGAATAACCTCTAACTTTGTTCAAATAGGTGCCAAAAATCTCGGGTGCTGTAAAAGGGTTTACCTGAATTAAGTTCAAAGTGCAGCTGATAAATTGATTAACATTTATTGCATGGTCCAGGTAAAAGAGACTTTAGTGCCAAAAGGAATCATCGCTGCGTGGAGCAAAATATCAGCGCATGATACCTTATACCCACTTTCATTAGAACAATTTGATAAAGAAATTCATACTTGCAGCTATGAATACCTCAATCTTGGCCCACAAACGTTAACAAACCAATCAAATTTCAATATATGTAAGAGAAGAAAATAATATCAATATTATTTTATATAATCTTAAAATTCGTTATGTTCTGCTAACACTACAATATTTTCCTGAATCACTATGATTCGCCGTTGGTCAAGACTTAATATATTGATTTTGCTGAAAAGACACTTTTTTACAATCGCTATATTAGAGTGCAATCCAAATATATTTGGAGTTAATTTTTTGCATTATTAATTCAAGAAACCTTTAATGTTCAATTTTTATAAATTTGAGGTAAAGAGAATTAAATCTTTCATAGAAAGTATGTTGAATTCTGAACTTTAAAAGCTACTAGCTGTGAAACACCTTCATGGCTTCCCCACCGATCCAAAGTTATTAAATTTCACGGGCAAATTATTCTACAGGACAAAGTAATACTGACATTTGGGAAAATATGATTCCTTACCCATGTATGCCTTTGTTCCTGATAATGAGGTTGCTAGACAGTGATCTTTTAAAACTGTAGCAATGTTAAAATCTGTAAGGTGAACGTGGCCTAAAAGAAAATTATGAAAGAAGGTTGGATTAACAAAAGGAAGACAGCTACCCCCTGGATCGTCATGAAAATAGCATATAACATCCATGCGGCTTTGATTACTTTTCTGTGTTGTTTGTTATTAAAAAACAAAACTACACGGAATTTATCAAGGCAGAACTGTGGTATTAAGAGGCAGAACTAGCGAATGCGGATAGGGTTAATCAAATTAACCTCGTGTAATACACGTCGAGGAGCTTTTGACTGTATCGACGAATCACGGGTCACCTAGGGTCAGAAAACTGCCAGTATGACATCAAGTAAATCATGCTCCCTATCCAGATTCACCATGTCCGCCGGAATGGCAAGAATGGAATAGCTACATATGCTGCTATCATAAAAAAGGAATTTTACCTTTTTCGTCAAGAAGAAGGTTATCAGGTTTGATGTCCCTGTAAGGAAAAAGGATCCTGTAAGCTAAACAGATTTGAAAAGGAAGGCATGCTATAATAATTTGTCGAATAAAGTTGTGACAAATCGAGAGGTCATCAAGCTCAAGTTACACAGGAATTCGTTTGTAAAGGAAACTTTGCTCAATAATGTAAAAACATTTCCAACATGAGGGATAATGAAATACACACCTATAATACTCGAAAAATGGTGAACTTTAGATTACCAAATTCAAGAACCAATTGGGGAATATAAAGATCTTCATATTGTTTTTTTAAAGGACTGCATGAACAATATTGATTATAATGAAGGACTGAAATCGCTTTTAGCTGTGTAAGATCCTTCATTAGGCTTCTGGTAATTTTTTTATACCTACATTGTAACTTTTAATTTTGAGGACCCCTATGAAAAGCACCTCTTGGTGACTGGGGCATCCTTCTTAAAAATTTTTAATTAATAAATAAATAAATAAATAAATAAATAAATAAATAAATAAATAAATAAATTAATCAATCAATCAATCAATCAATCAATCAATCAATCAATCAATCAACCATTACAGTCAATCAGTCAATCAATCAGTCAATCAATCAGTCAATCAATTAATCAATCAATCACTTCATTACAATCTTGCAATCAATACGTCAGTGACTTTGACCATTTATTATAAATCAATCGATGGCTAGAAAAATGGCTTAATCAATGACTCAATGGATTCGCCAATCGAAGAGTCAACTAGTTTTGTCGGATCCATTTTGGAACAATATCAATCGATAAATCGTTCAATTGGCATAAAAACAGAAAACCATTTTGGAATTTTAAGCAGTTTACAAGAACATATGATAATGTGCTTACTTCAAAGATAAATATATATCTTGAATATATACCTACACAATCTACAGTGATGGCAAATTTTTCAAGGAATTTTTCGAGCTGCTTTTGAGAGGATTAAAGTAATTATTCAAGTTATCTTCCGTCATGAAACTTTAATCTGCAATCAAGTTTCAAAGAACGTCTTGGCAAACAGTTATACTTTGCTATCTTCGTCTCGATAACTTTAAATTGTAATTGAATACAAAATCCCTTTGCATCGAAAACCCTTCCTTGAATAGTACTGCCATCAAATCGAAACGAAAATTATTCTTTATATCTCGGTTAGTTGAAGCGTCAGATGCGTTGAATTAAAATTTAATTAAATGTGTTCAAAGTTGCTTCTTCTAAATCAGTCAATCAATCAATCAGACGTGAGAAATTTGGTGTTGGTGGTAAGAATAAGTAATAGACAATGAAATTTGGTTACTAGAGGCAGTATGTTCTTATAGATGCTCAGTTTCAAAATATTGTAGCTTCATTGTAGTACCTTGAGTAGTAATGCAGCAAGTTCGATACCCCATTCAGAATTCTCATTCAGATAATAGACTGGAAATCTAAAACACCCTTGGCAAAGGCTGTTTCAGCACTGCCTTGTACAACCGTATTTTTTCCGATCTATGCTCGAAAAAGTCAATAGTCAGCCCGTACTGTGTCATTAATTCTGCTGATAACACTTTTGTGTCCAGTAAAAGCTTTTTCAACATGCTAAATTTTTTTCATATTGAGAAGCAAATATCCAAGATGGCCTCTCAGTTGACTCTAAGTACGATTCTTTGATAGATAATTGTATGTATCATATGGATTTTCAATTTCAAAAAATTTCTAGTTTTTAGTTTGCTTTTAATTTCGAATATCTTTTCAACCTTGATTAGTTCATTTATTGGATAAACATTTAGAGAGCATCTAGGCATATTGTAAATTGGAGGGCTCTTAAAAAGTTAGTCTCGGCAAATATTGGATTAAAACTATGCGTGGCTGACAAAGCTCCTAAGCATCCAAAATTTCAACATTAACGAGTGCAGTTTGGAGATATCCGTTAACAGAAATTAACAGAAAAATCTGAAAATAAGATTCAGCTAAGATGAAAAAACGACAAACCTTTAAGAAGAAAAAAGATAAGGGGTTTCCACTTTTGACAGGGCTTATTTCATAGGTGTATCATTAGAAAAAAGCACAATGAAACGTTGCTGCATTCTTTTTCTTCATTTATCCGCAAGGTGCAAATATATTTCCTTTGATACTTTAATACACAGAAAAGGCCAGTTTGAAACATACCTGTGAATGATCTGGCGCTGGTGCAAATAGTCTAACGCCAGGCCAACTTCTGCGAGATAGAGAGTGATTTGCTGCTCGGTAAAATGTTTCCCTTCATTCAAATGGAACCTGATATCTCCACCTAACATCAAATCAAGAACCATGAACATGTCTTCTTCGTCTTGAAATGCGTACCAAAGATTAACTAGAAAAGGGTGACTAAGTTTTTTCATTATTCGCAGTTCCTTGAGGACATTTTGCAGGGCTCCTTGGGCGTAGCATTTTTCTTTGCTCATGTACTTCAGTGCATAGAGGTTCTTGTTGTCCTTTCGTTGGACAATGCATACCTACAAGAGAACACAATAAGTCAACATCATATGCTTTAAAAGGTTTTTAAATATAAACTAGTAGTGAGATGGTTCCAGTAGTGGGAATTGTGCTTGAGTGTCAAATCCCCAATGTTTCATATAAGCACCAAGGCCAACAAATAAATGTATCACATTCTGAATACCATGTTACTTAGACTAATCGTCCCTTTCTTAAACGTCCACTTTTCACCGCCTTTCCCCTAGAAAAGCAACCCATCTTTGAAAAGAGGCAGTTGTCTGAAAAACAAAGATAAAGTAAAGAACAGACTTTGAGAAAGTAGCGACGCCAGACACCAAAATGAATGATGAAGGGCTGATGGCTGAAGGGGGTGTCAGATATCTATGAAAAAGCCCTGAAGATACTGACAATAACCAGATAGTAGCTTGTCTGACAATGTCTCGGCCGCTTTAAAACTAAAACTACAACCATGTTAAACTAATTAGCAGAGTAGGCGTAGCGTAGTTGTGAAGGAGGAGGGAGGCAAAATAAAAAGATTTCTAGGGGTTTAGAAAAGGCCATCACTATGGTTTGCGACATGAAAAACGATTAATATATGAAATTCAAAGCTTTATTTTACGATCATGCCGAATAGTTATATGTGGTGAGACTTTGACATCGACGTGAAAGGAAACTTTTAATAAACTTTTAAGCGATCAGAAATGGAATGGGACACGGTTAAACCATAAAACATAAACATAAAAATATCAACAATCTTCCCAAAAATCAGAAAAAATGTTATCGTCAATGCAGACATCAAATAAGGATTTTATTGGGGGCGAATTTTGATTAACTTACACTTAGCGGCGAAACTATCTTCTACTTTCTCTAGATTGAATCACAAACTAAAAGTCAAGGCAGAATAATTTGCAGAATTGCTGGATTTCAGTTCTTGCTACTCATATTCTGAAATTTTTCCTTTACAAAAATATGTGTGGGGGAGGGGGTGATGGTTCCTGTCTCTTGTTTACCAATCCGGTTTAGGGTCCTGGTCTTCTTTATTAGAATGCAAATTCTTTTTGTTTCGAATAATCTGAAGAATTTCCTTTGATACCGTTTTATCAACTTGCTAATTAAATTTAAAGAAAGCATCAAAACATGATGGCCTTTAATTGAATAAGCCTATCACTCAATCCTATTTTACTTTGAAGGTATCAATATAAAAATATGTCCTGGGTTTAAATTCCTCTTTTGTCCAATAACAAAACAGCAAGAAATCTATAAAATATAGAAACATTTTTTTTATTGGATTTGAGGCTAACCCATCCAGTTTGGACTTAAGCACTCTATAAGAACATTGTTTTGAATCATCCCACCTGAGTGGGATACTCAAACATAATCAAGTTTAATACCAAGCTAATTATATGGAAATCATGTCCTTTTACAGAGAGTTAGTTTTACGTCAAATGATTTAGGCTCTGTTCATATGAGGTGAGATATCTCACTCAGGTGGGACAATTTTGTCCCACTCACAGAGCCAATCCTAAAAAACAACACCAAAAGTGGTTGTTTTAGCTTGACTTTGCTAGTGCTGTGCATAGATTTTCATTCCAAGCTAGCTCATTGAGCCTTGTTCATGTATGACATTTCCTGCCTGAGTGGGATCCCACAGCTTCAACAGTGAGATTTCAGCTAAGTGGGCCACCCACTCCCAATATGAACGCAATCCTGTTTCACACACCAATCACTGTGTGGGCTGGATCACACCAGAGAAGGCTTTCCACCTGAGATGTCACATCATATGAAGAGCCTTTTTTGTGCATGAATCCCATTACATACATATTCATTGCTTTACTGATTAGCCTAATTGTCCTTTTTAACTACAGATGTTTTTGCATTCTTCTTTTAATTTCCAGGACTATTCCAAATAACAAATATTACCCATAACTCCAACTTGGAATGCCAATATTTACATTTGAATTTGAATTATTGTATGTGAATTTCAACAAATGATCACATTTGATTTGCAAAATGAAAACAAAGCAAAAATGGGTCCTAGCTTTGCAGAAAGCTGTGGGTAAGAAGGGGGTAAGAAGGGGGTAAGAAGGGGAGAAGAAGGGGGTAAGAAAAGGTATCAGGGCAGGTCAACCTCTTAGTTACATGTCACTGACTGATAACATAATATTTCAATCAAACAATATATCCGTGTTATCAAAAGGGTCACTAAGATCTGACTGGTTTGGCTGTCAATCTCGAAATATGAGAACTGACCGGATTGGCTGTCAGTGGAGAGTTTGAATAATTTTGTGCTGTATAGAACAAATGTTGGTAAAAATATACATGCATCAAAACTGTCTCCAACCCTCTAACAGTTTTGAAGTTTACATGATTTTTGCTTTGAAAAAAGTTCAAACAAATTTCATATTAAATCTAGAAAGTTTATAATTAAATAACAGTAAAAAGTGCTAGGAAATCATATTTACCTTCCCAAAAGATCCTCTTCCAATGGATCTCAAAATTTCAAAGTGATCTAGACATACTGAAGGAATAACAAGAAATTAAAATGAAGTTTTTTGTCATATCATTTTTCAGTCAACATGATTAAAAAACATTCAATATAACCAGCTTGTTAAATTAAGATATGAAAACATAAAATTTAGAATCTGCTGTTACTATTGGAGCAACTCTATATAGCAAAGCTGAACAGGGATAAAAAAAATTCATTGTAACTTTAAAATGGGTAAAATTGATTAACAATATTAACGAGGTTGATATGGTTATGCGCCGTACAAGTTTATTTGCAGTAGCCATTATGAATTAATAAAAACAATTCGGGAAAAAGAACATAAAAATTCGATTTTATTTATTTCGATAGAACACACGGAAGTTTGCATTAATTTTGTTGAATGCTGCCGAGCTGTGAGACTTCGGATCATGTGCAGAAAATGATTTAACAAACCTTCTCCTTCTAATATTATCTGATCATCAGATTTCTTCTTTCGTTGTTCCCTGGCTTTGCGCGAAAACAGATGTCCCATCGAAAAAGACAGCTAAAAGCATTCACATAATTTGTATGATTCCTGGTGCAACACACTGCTCCTGTCTGGCTAACAAACAGCGATAAGGGTGTGAAACATTCAAGAAATAAGGCGTCAGATCTCTTTATCTACGCGTCGTGCCGTTTTTCGGAAATTGCTTCTGATAAAATTAATAATGGATGGAACGCTATCTTCACTTTATTCATCCAGGCAAACAAGAGTTTTCTAACTTTCACCTTCCTATCTTATTGCGATATTTCAATGTAATTATCAAAATAAATAAACCTGTCCTTCCATGCAAATGAGATCAGCCTCGTTTTCGTGGACTCAGGTTTGGCGCCAAAGTCAAGTTCATATTGCCATCATGGCGGAAGATGAAATTATCTAAAATGAGATCCTTGACACAACATACACAATGGAAGATAAAATTTTACAGCTTTGCAGAGATAGTAACTCGAAGCAGCTGAAGAATTTTATCAACAGCCTTGATATAACCGAGGTAACCCTTGTTAGATGAGACACTGTGCAACACTAGATACTTCCACACCACAATTAGTTTAGTAATGTTTTTGAAAACACAGTCCTCTTCATAGAAATCACTAACACTTCACGTCATTTAGACAGTTGTTGTTTAACTCAGGTTGAGATAACGGTTAGGAAAACTTCGTGTTATTAATCTCAGATCCACCAAAAGTATTGCACCACTAGTAACTATAAGTCATAACTCGGAATATTTGGGTATGCCCTCTCCTTTAACATGACTCAGTATCTATAATCAAAATATGTTCATACAAAATAAAAAACATTTTGTACTGCTTTGTTACAATCACACTCCGGTTCCTGTCACATGAAATTTAGACATTAAATTAAGACCTAAATTCGCAAAACAATACAATATTATTTGGTTTACAGTCATACTCTGTTTACAGTCACTAATTTCCAAGCAATCTACTGTACTTGTTTTTATATTAGTCCAGTTTGTAGAGTATGGCTGATTTTAACAAGATATTAGGTGTGCAGAAATTGTCTGCCAATGCCAGGTGCACCAGCACTGTCAACTTACTGTGATTGGTAACAAGTGCTATAAAATTCCCAGGCTAGTAGAAGGTCCTATTGCTTTCATTGATCTTGACAGACATCTCCGAAAATCTCAGATTTATGTATGCGATATATCATGCATCCCAATCCACTGAGAATTCCTGAGCATATTTTGCAACTGTTGGGACCAATTAGGAGCAAAAATCAGTCACAAAACTCTAACTTTAATCATTGAAAAAATGGTAGGGCTTTATTGCAACTTGTGTAAAAAGTGACCAATAGCCTTCTTTTCACGACATGGTTCCCCTGACATATCAGAGACCCACAAAGCATTGATTCACATTGGATGATCATAAAGCAAATCTAAGTTTTAATGAAACAGAAAGCAAGATAAGAGGACAAACTTGCGTTCTGAATACCTCATAGTAATGCATGGTTCAAAATTTTTCCTTGCAAATAGCACAATCATTATAGACTTTGGCACATGTCATTACAGACATTGGCACAATGTGGGCTATTGTAATGCCTCGAACAAGCGCCCCCCTCAAATAATAGCTCCCATCGAATATACACCCACCTTAGAGGTGAAGTTATTGAATAAGCGCCCCCCTCTAATAAGCACCCACTATTTTAAGCATTCACTATTTTTTATTTTGCAGATTCTTGATAATATTACAAAACTGCTTGAAGCAGAGGCAGAAGAATCAGTTATCTTTCTCAGGCATGTTTTTGAAGGTAAGTAAGATTTTCATTCTGAAAAATGTTTGTTTTGAAAATGCCAGACCATTACCTTTGTTTAAGTTGCCCTTGACATTGAAATTTTATTAATTGCAGGTAAAATGTCCGAAGGTTTTCAAAAAGATGCTGTTAAGATATACATTCATCTTTTCAATTATTTGAATGAAAATGAACTACCTCCAAAGGTATGTTAATAATTTTTTAGTAGCCTTGACAGTCTTTCCTATTTCAAAACTGTAGCATTTAGGGTTTGCAGTTGTGCTGCCAATTCAAGGCACTTGCTCGTCTTGGTTTGCAGGTGTCAGTTTACCCAATTTCTATCCAGTATTATATGAAATAAACTATGTTTAATCTAAGAATCTTATATGTAAGGATTTACAAAATTTAATTACATAGTCTCTTCGAAATCTTGAAACAACCAGTTTGGTATACTTTTTTTGCCTTTGTCATCCTTTCTTTTCCGCCATTATCATAATCAATACTGCACAAATTGAGAAACATTTTCCAGATCTAATAGAAATTCAACCATAGAACTCCAAAATAAAAGTTTTAGATCCTGGAGTTGAGTGAAGTAGAACAATGAAATTCTTGCTTGAAAGTTTGCATAGCATAATATCTCAGTAGCATAATATCTAGCAATTGATGGATGAAAAAACAATGCCTATCTTAAACTGGTGCTCGAGTTAGTTTTCAGTTAAGAAATACTTTCCTTTATCTCTGGGTTTGTGTTTTTAAGAAAGCAATTGAGGGTGTAGCTGTCAACAAATGTCATAAATTTGCAGATAATGTCATGATTTATGAATAATTTTTGCTTAGGTTCATATTTTTCTCATAGTTGGCATCTGACGTCATCAGCCTTCTTCTTGTTGAGGTATTATTTACTAGACATTTTGAATTTGTAAGAGTAACTTTCCATTTTAAGCAGCTATTGTCTCAACAAAAAAGAAGACACATTTTGAATATATATGTAATGACCTGCCTACAGATGTCACAGGCTTGACCATTCAGGGAATTCAGTTGGTGGAGCGTAGTTGGTGCAGTAGTAAGATGCGAGAGTGATTAAAAGCATTGATAATTAGTCAAAGCTGAGCCCCAGTTTGTGAATGAATATGATTTATGAATATTTGCCAACTCTATAGAAAATAATATGATGATGTAGACATAATTTTTCACTAATTATGTAGGTAAGACAATGATTTTCAACATTATTTAGGACAGAAGCTACAGAGCAATTTCCCTAGTGTATTGCAATGTTACACCAAAAATTTGCAGCACAAAACAATTTTTCAGTATACTGCATTAAATTTCTGTCTTTTTGCAACCTAGAAACCTTGTTGTACAAAAGACTGATGATTTTAGTGGCTTATGTATGTAATGATTGTACACATGATTGCCATTAGATTGACGATCTCAGCATCAAAACTTTGGTAGAGGTTATAGATTTCATGATAAATTGTGTCAAATCTGGAGCAGTAATAACTTCCAAGTAAGTATTAGATTAAACAGATTCAATTTTTGTTTACATGGATTGTTATTCTAGTGGATGTGTTGTTTCATTTGCATTTGTTCGTATTTGTTTCAACCTAACTTCCAAAAACAGTTTTATGACACTGAAGCTCTGCTTATCGATTAGTTCCCTCATTCCTCCTCTAGATTTGACCACTCCTTGTGATTCCTACTCCCGGAATTACAGAGAACTGGTGGCCCTCTCCACGCTAAGTGAAAGTTTGGTCAAGACAAGGATTTGAACTTTAATGTGGATCTGTAGTCCTGGACAATAGCCACTGAACCATCCTCACATCTAAAAAGTCAAAGGGCCTATGAGGTAGCAACTGAAAACCAAAATATTGTTGCTAACCATATCCTGTTGTTTCGAAAACTCTTGAACGTTTCTAAAACTTCCAAAACACAAATATGGTAAAAGATTTCAACATTCGACATTGCCCTTTGATAATTAATAGGGAAATTAAATCATTTTATTGAGAACCATTTTCCTCCTTAAAAAGTTATAGCAATATATTTGAGTTGAAAGTTGATACTAATAACAAAGACAAATAAAAGTTACTATTATGCAAATTGGGTTCACTGTTGTCTTTTATCTTCCCAGACCACTGGAGTTGTTTCCAAAGATTCTTGCAAGTTTGTCAAACCTGCGAACAGTGCCTTTGAAAGGTTTGTATATTGCAAAATGTTCTTTGTATACTCTACAACTTTTATGATATTTTCTTCCAAAGTTTCAATATTTAGTAATATTATATTTTCAGCTGACCATACACACTTTGTTTTAATTTGATTGTTGCAGACAATGGCGAGATGAATGGAGATGACTACAAAAGCCACATTTTGAACACATTATGCTCATGCAGGTATGAATGCCTCTTGAAACCAACTCTTTGCTTATCTTGAAACCAACATTCTAAGGGAACCACAAATACTTGAAACTACGATGATAAATTTTAAAACAAAGGCTGCAACGAACATAAGGTTATATTCAAGAAACACTTGATCTGTTGTGGTAGTCATAATTTTACACATCCAGGAATAATTACTATCTGTTAAAGAATAAGAAAGATTAGACTAAGCCATTTATATGTTATTGTAAATTTTAAGACAAAATTGTCTCATCTTCAGCAGTTTGAATAAAAGCTTAATCAAAAGCAGAAAATGGAAACAACTTTAGACTGAATATTCGTATAGAAGAAAACTAAATAAGGGCAGTAAATTTAAATGAAATGACACTTATGTGTCAAATTTTGACTACCACAACACATTGAGTTTTTCTTGAATACAACCTGATGTTCATCGTGACCATTGTGTCAAAATTCTCAATAGTTTTATCCGTTTTGACATCTTGTTGCATCAAATTTCAGTAATATTGACAACACTAGTAGACTCTTGATATCCATATCTGGGTATATAAAAATAATAGCTTAGAGCTTTTGATCAATTTTCAGACATGGACATTTTGTTATCTGAAGAATGTCAGTTATAAAGCTTAAGTATGTTCTAAAATGTTTGCTTTTTAAGATTTCATTTTTAAATTCTGTTACGCCAGAAAACTGTTTGCAAATTTATGATATTTAGAAAATACATTAAAGTTCTTAATTATTTTGCTATCTTCAGATGGTCTCCAAAAACTGTAATACACATTGTAAAGATGCTAAGGTAAGTACGTTTTGATGGCCATTCTGTTTCATTTTTGTGATGAATAACAAATTACAATAACAGTAATATAAAAAATAATTTCCAAAGCATTTGCCGTATTCTAATAGGAAAGTCTCTTTCAAGGGATGTTGAAATGACGCAAGATGAGCTTCGCTTTGTGTTGACAAAAATAAACAGGTATGTGCATTTTCATCCAAAGAAAGTTCTCAAAATCTATTACTTTGGTTATTGTGAGATTTAAAGTTCCTTCATCAGAATATGCTACTTCAAAATGTGCCAGCAAATTCCACTTCAATCTTCATTATGATGCTGCAACTGTTCCTTATGCCAAGTATATTTCAAAAATAGCTTGTTTTTACTGTTTATTAAGTTTCTATAATTCTTATATGCTTACTCTGTTTTTCTCCAGAATAATGCCTGAGGTGGATTTCCAAAATTTCCCTGCACTGTGCTACCAAGTTTTACTTCTGTCATCACAGGTATTTTCAAACAACCTTCTTTTTTATTTTCATTGGATCACGAATCCCACAGTTTCATAAAAAATTTGGGGACAAAATGCTCAAACGAGACGAATCTTGTAATTTTGTTTCATATGCTCATAAATATTTACAAAAAAACTGCTGCAAAACTACAGTACAAAAGCGATAACATGAAATGTTGTAACAATTCTGTGGCCATTCGAAATTAACTCAAAGTCTATTCCAAAACTGATGCCAGACGAAATTTCCTGGTTGCATGTTATGATTGTGTTTTTAGGGCCAGAAGCAACTTGTATTGGATGGGATATGCTCTTTTGTGAACGCACAAGACAGAGGATCAGCTGGTGAAGATGAAGATTTTCATGCGGCTGTAGAGAATCCTCTGTTGAAACAGACCAAAGGCACTGTTATTATCCACGTGACATTTGCAGTCAAGCAAGATCAAGAACTAGGAAGAGAATTTTTGAAATATCTGAAGGTTTGAGTTTAGAATTGACAGGTCGTTTTATCAATAAACACAGTATTTCAAATTAGTCTTGTTTTATATTTTAGTGTTATTTTATCTGCAAGTATTTCTTTAGTTATTTGTTGTATATTGAATCTTAGTCCTTGCAGTGATAAGTCGATATCGAAAATTTTTACATCTTATGTTTTTGTAGAACTAGAAAGATGATGAATTGACATGTTTCCCTTATTCTTGTATGGACTCTTTTGTTGAAAATAAAAACTTTGTTTGTATGAAATTTTGTGATAATTTTCCCTTATCTACATTATGCCTATTTTTTTATGTAAAAGAACGCTTGTCCAGCAAGATGACTAGTTTTAAAACACTAGACCTTTCCTTCTTTTCAGACTTTATTAAGACATTTCTTACTGTATTTATACAGGCGAGCAGAAAAGGAAAAGAGCAGGACAAACTAACTCCATTTAATGTTTCTCTTGCATTGGCCATTTCAAGTATTAGACGTTTGCAGGACAATGTGAGTAACTTTTTAATAACACGCTAATTTGAAGAACAGAACAGGGGTCTACGGGGGCTCAACCCTTTTTCATTACTGCCTATAATTGACCAAAGTTAGCATCCTTTAATCTTAGTTACCTGTTTCTAAACAATTACCGGGCTATTGAAAGATTTTCTAGGATATTAATTCCTTTTTCAGTAGTTTAACAGTTCCTTGTGTGATAGCAATGTGTTTCTTACTTTTGAACAAGCTAACCTATTTGAAAATATTGTTAATGTCATTTTTCTCAAGTAAGCCCTATTTCGGCAACACTTGGGGATGTCGCAACTATTCGACGGGTAAGCGGTCACGAGTTGTCAGAAATGTTCCTTGGTCAAGGAACCAATGAAACGCGCTATTCTTCCTTTTACGCTACTCTCGATCCACATCTGGATATAGGTTCTGCCTACCTTTAGCCATTATCCGACGTTTATACTCTGTTATTTATTCCAAAGAACGGATGATCACCTCTGCACTTTACCATTCGGGGTGAAAAAGACAATTGTTTATAGCTGCGACTAAATTTTCGCATAATTTTTCGTCTTCAAAGTAGATAATGTTAAAAAGAATGCAATATCTGGCTGTTTTAAAGCTTAAAAGCTAGCTAAAAGAAGATGATGTAAATTTTCATGCTATTGAGGCTTATCATGAAGTGTTTTCTCAATCACAAAATTGTCATAATGTCCCTTCAGATTTGATACGAAACTTTTAAATCTCCATCTGTCAAAATTCACAGAAATTTAAACCATGCCGGGCTGTTCTTTTTGCAGATATTTGATCACCTCAAGTCTCTGATTATTAAGGCATACAAAGAAGAAGAAAGGAGAAAGAATTCATGTTGGTTTAGAGGTTTGCCCGTTGAAGTTTGTTTATTAGGTTCTCTCAGCTCGAAATTACATCGTTTTGCAAACTGTTATAAAAACTGAAGTTCTATTTGCCAATCTGAGACTTCCTCTTTTTTAGAACTGTACAAAGAAGGGTGTGATATAGATGCAATATTTTCATCCGTCCTACAATACAGGTTTTTGTCAATATTTTGTTGTAGTTTTTAGGCTTTCGAAATCACATATCGTTTTGTATTTAATTTTTTTCAGTACACTTAAATCTCGTTAAGCCGGACCCTCAAGAGGGTAAGAAAATGATCGGACTTGGCAAATGTCAGACTTATCCTGGGTACTCTCGACTTAAATACATAGGAAAATCCAAGGGGAATTGAAAGTAAGTCCGACCGAATGATCAGGGTCACGACCCTAACGGGATTCAACTGTATTTCTCTGGAATATCTTGTGGGTGTGCTAAGAATCTTACGAATGGGGAGAAAAAGTTTACCAATTGATTAAGTGTATTTAGTTTTAAAGCAACGTCATTTGGTAGTCGTCGTCGCGATAACGTTTTAAAATTATAATTGTTAGGTTAGTGGGAGCCAGCCGTGGGTATGCTCGCCAAAGATCTATTTTCCCACATTCTACATCCATTGAAGGTGCCATAGCCGCCCCTATCAACCAAATATCACAAGATGAGAAATATTTTTGAGAATATGAAGTCAAGAAAACAAAATTAGTTCAGTAGCAAAATATTAAGCGAAAAGTCAGTACAGTAACAAGATTAAATATTTAAAAAAAATTGAACTATCTAGTATGGTGGAAAACTTTTAATCATCTTCAAAGCTTTATTCAAGGATAGCATTTTGTCGAAACTTTATAAGTGGAGCTTGTTATGTAAGTGTCATTTCCGACAAACGATCCGTAATTCTCTTGGTTTTTAGTTTCTTTTTAAAAAGTGAAAAATAAGGATCACTAGTGGTTTATTGCATGTCGATTAAGTGCAATATTTGTGTTGAAGGTCCTAGAACTTCGTCTTCAGTTTTCGTTTAGTTTTAAGAAAAGTTTTTGTATTCTATTCTTTGTGCTCTCTCGTAGTAACCAAGGCTGGGATGATGTTGTACAAGGCATTACTCGATTCGGGATGCTTCTCATGGATTCATATGCGGTCAAGCAGAATGGTATCCTTTTATCTACTTGTATATTCTATTCTCCAGTGAAATTAACATTAAGCGGACATCTGTCGAGCCAGACTTATTGTACGATGTTGGGAGAGTTGCGTTGTCTGGCCGTACAAAAGCTTGGTCGCAGCGATCAAATTGTAGGCAAATGATTTTTTCTTTGACTAGAGTTGTCCGTTACTGGACGGGATCTGTTAAAAAGATAGTTTTGAATTGGGCGGCATTTTTGGCCAAAGTCAGCTTATTTTTTAATTTTTCATCAAAGGAAAATTAAGGTTCCCCGAGCATGTTTGTAACAGATGTTCTGGGCGTTGTTACAGCTTCATTTTTGAAACACTCCAGTGTAATTTTTCAGTAAATGCTATCATGGCAAAGGGCTTAAACCCATAAAGCTAGCTTCTATTTCTATATTCAAACATAACCTGTTTACTTTTAAAAAAATTGACTCACTACCAATTATTACGTAAAGAAACATAATTTTCATGTGAAAGTTGTGTTTGGACGTGACACGTAGGATATTTATCAAATCAACTTATTTTTTTCGATGAGAAGGGAAGAAGGAGTAGTAGAATCAGGCAAAAGAAATAAAAGATACAGAAATAGAAATTGAGTTGTCGGGGTTCCCAAAGACTCTTACTGGTACCCTGGCATTGCTATTGTTAGTGACCAATAAATATTTGATTGATGTTGGTTTGTTCACCAGAATCCTTCCCCTGAATTTCCTGTATTTTTCCAATGAAATGCCTCTTTGTTTTATTGGATTCCTAAGGCACACATTTCCATTTATTTTGGGAAATTAGGTAATGTTGCTCTTTTGAAAATTGTAGCATTCGTTATTAGGGAAGAGAAATATTGCTACTGTTTTGTTTGAGAAAAAGTTATTTATTATTAAAATCATTGCATATTCTGTACTAGGCTCTTTTTTCTAGACCTTTTCGAAATTTGGTCACCAACTACACCAGCCCAGAAAGCTTGCAGTTTAGGTGCAAGGATATTGAAATTTACTTTTCAGGTATGCTCTTATCCTTGTATTTGTTAATTATATTTTGCTCATAGAACTTCTCAACTGCCATCCATTCTTATTTGGTCATCAGAGTCCTTTTGTTTCTTTTACTAGAATCAAGAGCTTCTACGCGAAGAAATAATTTCACACATTTTAAACACAGCGGCAACCAAATCGAATCTAAGTGCAACTCATTACGTTGGTAAATATTTGTTAAGTCGTTTTTCCCCTATCATTTTTATCCCAAAAAAAAGAATTGCGAATGGTTGAAGCAAGAATTCATAAAATAGTTGTAGTTGCATGCATAGTGATTCTTGACGTTACGATAACATTTAAGATAATGGAATATACATATGGCATCACACATAAGAGCCCGGATTTTTTTTAACACCACGTCATAGGTTTTAAGCCTAGTTTCTTCACTCTTTGTAGTCCTTAGTTGCTATTTGTATGAGCATATCTTATTCATTAAGAAAGCTCCCTTTATCTCCCCTATTGGCTATCAAAACTTTATGTTTTGGTTATTAACAATTAAAGAAATCGCCTATTCATTGCAGATCTATTGGCTTCTCTAGCAGCCTCCGTTCCTCAAGTCATGCTGGATTGTCTTCCCAAGGTGCAATATGTAAACCTAGATCTAACGGTTTTCACAGGTTGCCAGACATTTAATGTTTCTATGTTGTGTGTTCCGAAGTGTCTTCATTACTTCATTCGTAGCATAATTTATGTGAAAGCCGTTTTCCTTTACTAACCGTAAAAGAGCTTGGATATCTAACCTTTACTGGTTACTTTAAGCTTTCAACATTTCCAGCTTGCACTTGTAAGGCTATCGAAAGATACTAGTGTGGCTTAACCATCTTCCATGTTATGACGACTGGGCAACCAGCGAGTGGCCAATCAGTGAGCGTGATACCACTTACTCGCTTATTGATTGGTTAATATTGATTGGCAGATGTTCGTTTAGCTTTATAAATCTTTTCTAGATCAAAGAGGTATTTGATTACATATCGCTGTTAACGCCATCCATCGCTGAGGGAGTCTTACACGCTGTACTTGTGAGTTCTGTCCCGTTAACATGACTGTCTTATTTTAAGGTTTACATGACTTAGTCGATTACTTATAGAGCACTACCTTTGGTGTTCTTGTTCTTCCATTATGTTTCTACTTTTTTAAAAGGCAGATCTTAAAAAATCTACGATTGTGATTTCTTTGCTCTCCAAAGAACTTGATAAAACTGTGACAGAATTTGCACAAATCGATCAAAATAATTGTTTCTGTAGACTGGAAGCAATTTTAATTTTTCGTACATCTAACTTGCATTTTCTGCATGAATCTCTACCCCTAGCAAGATATAGTCAGCTTGTTAGTGTGATAATTCTAAGGATGAAAAAGCCATATCTACAACATGCAATGCTGCGTTAAGTGCGATATCGCAATTTATTGCTATTTTCAACATTTTCAGCCAATTATGAAAATAAGCCTCACAATGAAGGATTCATTACTGTTGGTTTTAAGAAAAGCATTGTTCTCAAGGTATTATTTTAGATTTGTTTTTGTTTCTGAAACTCTATTAGTGTCTCAGAAAGCTACTTTAATGTTCTCTTTACTGTGTTCTGTCTGCTTCTGATACATTTCATTGGGAGACACACAATGTTTGAAGGAATTGCAGAGTGTCTAGACGACAACCCTTTGTTTTTTCATATTGATGTTCATATTTCAAAATGTTACTTTGTTACATAAAAAGATACTTTGTTTGGAACTCTATGTGATTAAAATTTTCCCAGTTAATTTCTCTGGAGGCATTTCTCAGTAATGTGACTTGAGGCCACAACTCTTGCTATCCGACACTTCACAGAGTATTGCACGACATATGGTCATAAAATAAACTGTAATTTTGAACTTCCGCAGTACGAGAGACATTTGATATTAGTTTCTGTGACGTCATAATCACACCATGAAGTTTACTTTTGTAGGCAGATGGAATCTCGGCGAATTGCAGTCACAGGATTTCTGCTGATCCTCAAACATTTCAAGGTATTCGATTTGCCTTACAACAGTTATATCTGTTTTCATTAAAGTCAATGAAATTGTTGATTTGCCTTCGAACTGTGCAAAATTAGAATATTTGCTTACCTTCGAGTTATGTTATTGTTGAAGGAAAATTTTAGTAGTCGTAAACATATTTTGTTCATTATTGTAAATATATTTTAGGGAGTTTGGCACAGTTAATGCCTTTTCTACCCTTCTTCTAAGACAAATTCGCCTTTTTAAAACTTGTTGTACTTTGAATTTGTATTCAGCCTGGATTTTAAAAATTTGGCTGAATTTGGCATTTTCTGAAATTTTTTGTTCTTGAAATTCAAAACTTAGTCTTGATAAAAACCAAGTAAAAGATTTCTTTGGGAACCATTCATTCTGAGACATCAGTCAGCGAACATAATAGTATTTTTAATAGCGAGCATGAGATAATCTAATGCTCTTCGGCGCTGTGCCTTGGTTCTGGGTTTTCTTGGTCACACGTCAAAATGTACTATGCTTTTTTTTCAATGACGTATTCTGTTTGCTTGATTTCGATTTGTGTGAATTTTGCTGTTTTCCTTTTCATTGCATTTATTACCTTTTGGCATAAAAAAGGCTTTAAGTAAATAGCCCTTATCACTGGGTTATACATCAAAGCCTAAATGCTACCTCGTCCTTCTATCTTCCGAATCGATGGTTAAGTTTTTCGAAATTTCTAAGCAACCCTTTTCAGATACCAGTAGAGGACAATGTGATGCCATGCTCAAGCCAGTTTGCGGCAACCCAGTTGTATTCATGTAGTCAAATGGAAATCCCAACTTCATCTAGGCTCCATTCTTCAGTTAACGAATCTGTATGTCTGGAAGTTTTAGGTATGGCTAATAATTTTATTACAGTCCAATTTTTTATCAAAAAAAGTAAAAAATTATCTTCTTGTATTTCAGTTTGCCTATTAGGGCATGCTTAAGTTTTGCAAGTTTTGTCCTTTGCATACTTCAGAATTTTTTTTTTTTTTTTTTTATTCACATAAAAATTTACAACGACAACAATTACAATACAAAAGCCTAGGGAGCATGGAAATGCATAACAATCCTAAGACTTACACTTAACATAGAGACACAAATATTACAATAATAAGCTACAAAAGCGATTGGAGTGGTGTCGCCCATCGTTCCAATAGCGTTGCAGATATGACAAATACTCACAAAAGCTATTTTTATAAGAAGATATCAAGTCTACCTATGTTCCTTGTTAATCAAACAGATTTGTGCCCAGACATGATGAGTGACACCACTCCAATCGTAAAAGGAATAAAATTTAGACAAAGAGAAAATAATTTACACGAGAGAGGTTTTCACGAGAAAGTTGATAACTTACTGGAACCGTTCTGAGGCCTGAATGTATTTTAATGTTGCATCAAGAATGTTTGTATTTGAATCAAAAGGTAACTTTTCATGGCCATAAAGGAGTATTTGCAATAGTTCTTTGTTTGGAGGGTTAGATAGGCCATGAGGACGCAATATTGTATTAACGCTGTCGAGAAGATCACGTCTGTGTATGTCATAGGCACTGCAGAGCAGCAAAAAGTGCTCCGTATCCTCAATACCATCATTTATCAGGCACAGGGGATTAAAAGTATCCCTAAAATTATGTTTAAATTTGTGGTAATTGAACTTACTTAGTCCAACGCGTAGCTGCGTTAAAACAGATAAAAGTTTTGGATCATGAATTCCATAGACCGATTTAGAGGGTGGACGAATGAGTCCTAGAAGTTGTTTCTTGAAAACATTCACTGAGCGGGATTCACGAATTTCAGGGTCAATTCTACCCATTCCGACAAGCAGTTTGGGTAGAAAGTTGATTTAAATCTTTTTTTTCTCGCATGTATTTGCCCTATTGTAGCTTGCCTGCGCAGACTGTAGTTTGACTCCTGGCGTTGGGGTATAGGATTTCTTGTGTAATCCGGAGTTAAATTTTTCATAATCTTATAAACGAGGACAAGACGTCTACTCCATCGACGGAGGTCGAGAGACTCCCAGCCAAGCTCTTCATATATTTTTTCACGTGATGTGCCCTTCCAAGTGCCAGTTACTGCTAATGCAGCAGAATATTGTACAGCCTCAAGTTTCTCCATTTGATTCGTTAATTTAAAGCTATGACTAAATTCACATGTTTTATGAGGGATATGATATATAACGTCACCATAATCCAAGTGTGGTCGGACATACAGTTTGTATATTTCGTTGAGGGTGTGTCGTGGTAAGTATTTTGAGAGGAATCTCAACGTCCCTATTCCTTGTCTAGATTTAGAAATAATTGACTTGATGTGACTAGTAAAGGACAATTTAGAGTCTAGTATGATTCCAAGGTGCTTTTGTTCCTGGACGTTCTTTACAGGGACATCATTAAAAAATATGGGTGGGTGATTCATTGGAATTCTCTTTTAAGAAAAGGTCACTTCAACTGCTTGCTTGTTGGGGTCAGGGTTAAAGGACATTCGCCAATTGTGCGCCCAAGACTCAATAAGATTCAGATCATGGTTTATATCAGATACTTCAGAATATGGCGTGATGTAACTTTGATCTGTGTATAATCGTCCTTTCAATACTTATTCTAAAGTTTTATACTCTGAATAGTGTCTGACGAAAGGATGTTGAGAAATATTTGCTTTTGCAAAGCCATTTTAAACCTCATTAGTCACTCCAATTGACAGATATGGAATCTTTCATATAGCCGATCAAAAAATGTTGTAGGTCATGTTTATAAAGGTTAACATATTTTTAAAAAAAGCTATGACAGATTCGAAAATTACCGATTTTTTGTTTATTTATAACAGCCTTTTCAGTTGATGTTTTTATACACCTGTCAGAATCGATGTTCTGCTTGATCAACTTTAATGCAAGAAGTCTGAGAAGAACTTGTCTGCTTGACTGTTTGGACATGTTTTTATTAAATTTTTATCAATATATTTATAAGATGTCTATATTATATTTTAGGCAAAAATCTGATCAAATTGACTGTGATTTTTAATTTTGTATTCATATTGGCTGAGTTTTGAAACTTAAACTTAGATTTTAACTTGTAATTCCCTTTCTTTTAATGAATAGGTCTTTAAGAACCAATGAGTAAAATTCCTGCACTGCACATCTTGTTCCCTCAACTGCCATTTCATTTGAAATCAAAAGCCGGATTTCTTTGGAGCTGAAAATTAGACATAACAGTGCGTTCCAACTTTTAGTTTTAAAAATGATGGGAAACCTTGATATGTTTCACTGATATGGAGAGGCCATAAAGTAAAAAGATTTTGTCTTGTTGCAGGCAATTTGAGAAGATGCCTCTCTCATCAATTTGAAGTAAAATGTCAACTGTACGAGGTGACTCAATTTGGGTTTGAAAATAATTTTTTCTGCTTTAAGAAGGCTCCTCTCTCCAGATAAGAATTGCAATATATTACACTCATTTATCTTTGTATGGAACATTCCTAGACCTTGTTTAATCTTCAAAACGCTTACTTTTAAGACGACATGCATTTTTCAACACATAGCTAGATATGATATGTTGGACTTTGAACATAATGAAAACAAAGTATATACCCCTCTTTCGTTGCCATCACCATCAGTAGAAAAAAATATCTTGCCTTTCCTTTTCACTCTAGGTTTGGTGGTAATCAGTTCTTTTTAGCTCATTGTAAACAGCGAATATTTTTTCAAGAGGTTTGCAAAATGAAGTTCCCGAGCAATCTGCATATCATTAAAAATTATATGATTCAACCAGGCTGAACCAGGCAGACGAAGCTTTCCCAAAACAATTAATGGAAGGAATCACTATGTAGGGTTTTGAAATAAACGTCTCTTTTACTGATAAAGATTTTTAATTTCAAGGGTCTATTTGAGGTTGTATCGAAAAATCCCAGACTGACATATCCTGTATTGGATTTTTTGTTTACGCAGGTAAGAGCTAGTCAGCACAGTGAACTCTCTTTTTCTCACTCTCTTTCTCTCTCTCTCTCTCTCTCTCTCTCTCTCTCTCTCTCTCTCTCAGTATTTCAGTGCAATCGCCTTTTGTGACATGTGTCAAAAATATTAAACCCAGTGGTTATTAGCAACTTCATAGTTTAAATAGTTTAAAGACTGCTGCTGCCAATGATCGACAAGGACCATACTTTCTTTTCTCTTTGTCTTCTAGTTTAAGAAGTATTACGAGCCTAGTCCTGATATCCCTGCTGTTGTGAAACTCGACCTGTGCGTCTCATTTTCTGATCAACAAGCAGTGCTTATCGAGCCATTGGTAAGTGAAGTAAAAACTCACAAAAGCTGATGAGGGGGGAAGGGGGAGGGAAGGTATATGACAACCCCCTACATCTCTGTCATGTTTGTAGGAGGTTGTAATTTACCTTCCCTCCCCCCTCCCTTTGTTGTCTTTACTAGTCACAAAAGCATAAATGAGAGTGATAATCGTACGCGCTGGCAGGAACAGACAAGGCATACTCGTAAGACCTAACTTGATGTCCTAGATCAATTGCAATTGTGACTTGAGCGTCCTAACTGAAGAAAATGGCAACCCAAGCACAAAAGCAAACATTTGATATCCGTGTACTTAAGCTTGTGCCAAGTCCATCCTTTCTGTGTTTCTTTGCTTAATTTTGTTTCGTTTTACGCTATGTTGGGAAGCTGTTTTCTTTTATAATTGTTATCAATTTATGTAACTTTGTAACTATTGTTGCTATCTTTTTAAGTTTTTTTTCTTGATAAAGATAAGTCATCTTTTAAACCATTTTTCTCCAGTCTGATTTGTTGAATGCGCTCCAACTCTGTACCAAAAAGTCAGGATTCAGGCTGGACAAAGCTGAAGACGAAGACGGTAAATAATCCTATTTTAGTTCATCTCTTTGCCAATGCATGCTGAATCTTTATTGTAATTATAAAGTTTTCTTAGGACCATTGAATCGTCAAAAAAAGATATTTTTGCCAATTCACGGTTTTATCTTGTCGACTAGACAATTAAGCACGCCTTGTTGGTAATCGGCTAGTGTTGCTGTTCGTTTTAAGCTGCACTTGTAAATTATCTCTAGTTTGTTTGAAGATTTATGAATTTGAGGTTCTTCATGACATGATTTCGTTTTAGATGCTTCAAATATCTGAGCTGCTTGAACATTAGAGCTGTAGGGAGTGTTAAGAAGAAACTATCATATTTCTTCTAACCATTTTCTCGACCATATTCGATGATAACTTAGTCACTCACTATCTTTTTGACCTAATTTTAAATGTAGATGTAAATATAAAATGTAATATATTTAATGTTTGGTTTACACACTTTCAGTTTAATACCTCCTTCAATCTATCCTTTAAGAACCATTGTCACAACTTCTGGACGACATCGAGGAAACCTTGCAGCAGTGTACGAAGCGAATGTTAAAAGCGGATCTGGAAGATTTTGAATTGGTAAGAGGTTTTGCACTAATGATTAGCTCATTTTGGGGCCCAAACTGTGCCCATTTTGATCCAAAGTCAGTCAGCCAAATTAGTAAATTTCTTGCTATGTTTACTTGCAGGATAAATCAGCTGATCTGAGTATAACAACGAGTGTTGGAATGAAAAATAACATTTATGCAAAGCAGGTTGTAGCTCTTTACGAGGTAGGATATCCAGTTCCATACCCACTTGCTTTTTTATTACCAATGAACCGTTGTGCCTATTTTTTCAGCGTTTTTTATGTTCAGAGTTTTAGTTGGTTCTTTTGTGTTTGCTTACCATATTTCATCTCATGTTCTGGTTTCGAAATTTATCAAATCAAAAGCTTATTTAATATGTGCTTCCTGTTGTTCTGATGTCCTTTTGTTCACCATATAGGCACAAAAAAAACTTGAGTGGTTTCATCTATGAGCATTGTCACTTGAATTTGTAAGTTGGGGGAGGGGGGAAGAAACCAACTATCTTTCGACATTTAAGGGTTACAGATTTTGGGGTTATCAAAGAAAATTTTTAGAAAAGCGATGCCTACTTAATCTAAAGCCCCAAAAGTGCTGATTAATCTAAGAAAATAGAAAGAATGTCACTATTGATTCATCCAAAGAAAAGTTATATAATACCCAAAGACAAAAGCTAGAGGGAACTGCCCCAAAACCAACCCCCCTCCACTTCCCACTGCTCCCTTTCCATTATGTCTCTAGTTTCAACTTGGAAGTGTCTGGGTAAGTCCTGTAATCAGCCTAGCAACGGTATATTTTTCGTTGCCAATGAATTTCACCCACTCCCTGATTCACAATTTTCTGCTCTAGGTTTTAATAGAATACAATTGGATGACAGGGAATTACAGGTACGTATGCTCCCATTCTCTTGGCTTTCCCATTCTCTTGGCTTTCCCATTCTCTTGTCTTTCCCATTCTCTTGTCTTTCCCATTCCAATTGGTAGGCGACTGTTGTATCTGTATGGCACAACTACCAGGTCTACCAACATGGCCGCCACCCTGAACGCACTGAATTATGGTTAGGCGGACAGAACCCACTATATAATGAGTTTCATAAAGATTTTCGCATCACTTTCTGCTTTTTTCTTATCAATGATTAAACTTTTCTTTCAGTGAAGAAGCAGCCAACAATGTAATCAAACTCTTTGAAAATAGAATGAAAGTTAACGAGTTACTTTCTGAAAAGAGTGCAGTCTCCTCGGGTAAACGATTAATTTTTTTCTTTCTTGTGATGTATTTTATGCCTTTCTGTACACTTAAATTCATTTGATATTAATCTAGGCACGCCTTGCCTTGCGAGCTTTAATTCCGGACAAAATTAGTTACTGTTTTCAAGAAAAGTTGTTATTTTCTCTTTCCTTTCAAAAATAACTCCCCCCACCCCCAATCAATGTTGAATGTATGTTTTTGAAGTACAAATCCAAATTTGATTCGGTGGAAAGGGGGTTTAAAGTTACATAATTTTGTCCGGGATTATAGCTGAAAAAGATGAAAATTGTGAAAAGGGAGCTCAAACCATCTGACAAATTGTCTGACAAATAACACACAAAAGAATGTAAAAAGTGGAAGACAAGGAAAGGTAGGATGAGAAATGTAAGTGAAGAGGGAAGTATAGAAGAAAAGAGGAAAGAAAAGAGAGGGAGGAAAAGGTAAAAACACAGTGAAGTGTAATATGTCATTTGCTATTTAAAGTGAAATCTTTGTGATTTATATCCATTGGGAGTTAGTTCAAAATTTTGTCGATTTGATCAAAGAAGAGAGATAATCTTAACAATTTGGCAACTCTGATCTGACAAGTTTGTTTTCAGGCAAAAAAGGGAAAGTGTCAACAGGGAAACAAGGGTCCCTCGTTCTTTCTATGAAGTGCGTTGCAAATTTTCTCGAGGCAATTTTCTGGTGAGTTTGTTTGCAGAGGTAACATATACTAAAGGAATATTTCAAGATATAGTGTAAGGAAGTGCAAGTCTGGTGAACTAAATCATATCTTAAACTGTAAGAGTAATGTGTTTTAACCTTCTCATGCTGCAACTTGATATTGAATAGCAATCATCAGTTTTGTAATTTCGATACGAGCTACTATTCCAGTTTCTCTTTTTATTAATCATCCAGTTTTTAATTAGCACTTTAATTTATTTTCATTCTCCAGCGATACTGATGCAGAACACGAGAAAGGAATCCAACCACTAAGGGAAACCCTCGACTTCGCTCGGTTTATTGTGACGTCAGTTTTACATAAGTTATCTCAAGTAAGACTTAATGAAAATTACTCTTCATTTATCTTTGGTAAAGTTATCGATGCCGTATAATAGGCACAGCTGTACACAATTTGGTGTATAAAAAGAGACGGGTCTTATTCATATGTCTTGTTTTGGTTTCTTTTTTACGAGCTTGCTCTATCTTTACGAATTCTGCATTCACAGTTTTTCCTCAATGTCACTTCAAAGCTTCTTTTGGCATGATTATAATGCATTTAAACTCATCTTTCAGATCCATGACACTAAAAGATGTGACGGCCCGGGAGGCAAGACCCCACAGCATCTAGTTAAACAATGCTGTATACTTGGGAGGTAAGATCACAGTGTAGAACATTTTGATTAAGAGGAAATACAGCCTATTTTTTCAGCGTTTAGGTAAAAACGAGATTTAAGTGAATGAAATTTCATGATTATGTCTGTCTAATAGCAAGTTTGTTTGTGTTACTTTTATGACTTATTTTATGTCTGCCAAGATTGAGATTTGCGCTCTTGTTGGTAAGATTTGCGCTCTCATTTTCAATAGAAGGTAAATTTCCGGCTTAATGTAACATACTTATAACTTCAGTCGGCTTAGAAGTGTATTTGTATTCAGCAATTTGAAGATTCTTGCTTTTTACGTGGCAGGACGTTTCTATTCGCAATCAATGGAGATACATGCCTACCAGACAATCTGTTGAAGAAGGAAAAGGTATAAAGTAAAATGTACACTTTAGCCTCTTTGTAACCTTGTCCTTAATCTTATTTACATTGAAATTTGCAATTGGCTACACGTGTTCTTATTCACCCGAACTCGCTACAAACAAAAAATAGTTTCAGAATTATAGTCATCTTTTGTTTGTGAATTATAGGCTGTTCAAATGAATATTTCCCCTCTTTTTTTCCCCCCCCCCCCCCCCCCTCCCTTCAATTTTTAGAAGCCGAGTGTTTTCTTATTCTGGATTGTATACATAATAGGTGTTGTGATGAATTCATTATTGATGCAACTTCTTTTAGTAATTATGATGACGTCATTTGAAGATAAAGAATATTATACATGTTTCCCAAATTGACTTACTTTTTCCTTTTCTTCCAGGCCGGCAGATTCACGGGCAGTTGTATCGAAGGATTCCAGCTCATCATCTACATTTTGTGCAATCATTTTCCAAAACATTTGACACGATTCCTAAATTCCCTAGGTACATTTTCTCTTCACGCATATTTTATTGAGCATTGATTTCCCTGTCCTTTATGACTTTCTCTTTGCTTGTTACTGCGTGAATGTTTTAACCTCTTTGAAATTATCCAATCTAGATTTTTCCCCAAGTTTCCTGACACAGGCAAATGACGATGATCCATTTGATGCCATCCATCGACATCTCAGAAGATTTCAGGTAAATCAGAGAATTGGCCATCTTTTTAGAATCTTCCCTTTTCTTTTAACTTGTTTTGTCTTCGTTTCAGTCAACTCCGTATCTCTATTTCCCTTTTTCCTGAACTGATGATGTTTTGATTTTACATTTTAATCTGATTGGTTGGCAACTTTTTGTTTTTGTAGTTAAGTTTACAAAACATCGTGTTTTGTAATTTAGTTTACAAAAAATAAAGTATCCAATCATTTATTGGATCCCTTGATTGATGTTGTGAAAAACATTTAAGTGAGGTTGATTTAAAGTTTGTTTATCTTGTTTACTTCCTGTTTTTGTCTTTTTACAGAGGATGGCGTTGAACATGTTTGTGTCACCCGACGATGACCGTGCGATGAAGGAAGGGCTCACCATTATAAACATTATGGCTAAACTTACAGATCATCTTGACGAAACAAGGGTAGGCCTGCTCAGTTTTGTAGCCTTGATCCTCTAGACATTATCAAAAGGTGAATCGTAAAATCAGCTTGTTTTTCCTGTAATCCTTGATTGACAAGATTTTTTGGTACTGTTTCGATTTTTAACGTGGTCCTTTTCTAACGTATTTACTGCAACTAATTTTCCAATATGTCTTCATCAGTTACTCTTGATACACCTTCCAAGCGAATAGTAGCACAGGTTTGTATCAATGCTTTAATCGGATTTATCTCTGCCTTTACAGCATCGAGCACCTTATGACAGACCGGTGAAGTAATTTTCATTAGGTTTGCATCCATGCAAATCAAGCTCACTGGGCTTATTATTATTTTTGTTCTTTTGTCAGATCCCACAAGTCACCACATGGCTACAAAATGTGTGTGTCGAACAAAATCTAGGTACGTTGAATCAAGTTTTACTTACTCAAGTTAAGTTTCTCTTAATGAATCCTCTGCACTTAGCAAGGTTTTATTGTAGGATTGTTTTCTTACGAACTTTTCACGTGTACAGTAAACTTTAGCCTAGCCAAGCTGAAACTGTTCCTTTGTGCCGTTCAGTGGCACACATTCTTATGTGCCCAGCTTAAGAGATAGCTATCGGGAAATTGCTATCGGAGATAGGTGTCCGTTACTGGATCTTCCCCTGTTCTATGTATTTTTTTCAAGAATACAAGACTGAAATTTTGTCCCATCTCTTCTAAGGCGATCCTATGCTTGTCAAGGCTTTGCTGTCTTTGCTTCTGACGCTGCACAGGAAATCCAATTCAAGAAACAATCTGGTAAGCTCCACTGCTCAGCGAAGTATTTTTCACTTCTTTTTCATTATCACTACACATTAGCCCACCATTCTTCGTGCCTTTATTGTAATTGTTTTATGATGATAAGGTAGTTTCGAGCTCAATACGAATTGCACGCTATCGTTTTCGCTCCTCACCGTTTACCACTACTTACAAGTTACTGTAGATTCTAATCTTGCCATGTCATTCACTATGCTTGGAGCCAAATAGCAATAGATGATAAACTGGGCTTATGTTTATACTTTGAAAATCAAAAACTAAGTAGAGCAAGGCTAAGATGGGCAAAGGTCTCTGCTTACATAAAAAGGTGCTAAGGGAGGGTGCAAGTTTGGCATCCAAAGCCAATTCACATTTCGCACTCCGAAAGAAGGCAGTTAACTGCCTGTTTCAAGTTGACAGCCTTAGAACAAGGGGCAACAGCAGTGTCATTTTGAAAATTCATGTCTATGTTACGTGAAGAATTCTTTCCATGATTTCTATATATTAAGATATTATCAATGTTTGTAATGTCGAATATCACAAACTTTGAAAATTTCAAAATTTTCAGAATATAATGGAAAATTTAGATATTAGTTAAATAGCGTAATTAAATGCCTATGAAAAACTTTCTCCCAACCTACAATTTCCCAATTTTTGTCAGTTACTATTTTTCTCTGGAAATAAACTTGATATTTCTATTTTAATAAGATACGAGCGATCTCCCAGGATATTCACAGTCAACTCGGTGACATTGATGAAGTAAGCAATATTTCTAGTTCGTAGTATGGCTCTTAAATATAACTGTTCGTGTATCACTTCAATCATATTCAACGTGTTTCAACTGCAAGTTCATTTATTAATCAAATACTGTTCCAGGCAAAACCAAGCTGATTCTGCTTTTTTTCTTTGGCAGGAAGTTGAAGTGGAAAATCGTGCCAATTTTGTCGTCATTAATTCGACAACGGTTGCTCCAACAGTTTTTGTGAGTTTACTGGAGACGTTTTGACTTAATATAAACTACAATAGTTTGATTTTTTTAAAAACAAACTGGACTTTTTGCTTTAAGAGAAATAAAAGTGGTGTAATTCGTTTGTAGGAAAGAAATGTCAGTTCCAGTTTTCTAGAGTTTTGTTTAATAATTTTCTGTTGAAAGTGCGAGAGAATAGCTCAGAATTCTCTTTTATGTACAAAGAGCAGTAAAGAATCTTCTAGGTCATGTTATACTCAAATAGGTCTTGCGAAGTTTGCAGGTCCATGTGGCTCATTTTGGCCGAAAAACAGTATCGCAAATGACATGAATCAGAACATCCAACCAATGAACTCGATATAACATCGCTTGCATTTGTACGTTTACATTAAAAATCTAACCTTTGGTCATAGAGACTGAAAGTAAAAGAAGCAGGCGAAGGATGTCATGTTTTTAGACGAAAAATGCTGTAGAATCAAAGTTAATCGGAATTTGTCCAGAATAAAATTAATTTTCGATTCGTTATTTGTTTTTTTAAGAATGCTACTTTAACTAGGTTTGAGCCTGATCAAACTAAAAGAAATTTTAATTACCTATCTGCCTATAGTTGCAACATATGCTAAATTATTTTTATTTTCCGTCTTCTATTTAACACACTTTACAGTCACGAGTCCTTTTTGTTCAAGATAGAGTCATTTTATTTTCTAGCTCCTTCTGTTGGGTCATATTGACAAAGTTCTAGACGAAATAGAGTTCATCCTTTCAAAAATGAAATCAGACATCCTTGCTCTCGCCCACGCTGAAACAGAAAAAGGTTCCTGACTTACTTTTACTCTTGAAAGAATTCACTTGATTCATAAGAGTCCCTGGACGGATTTTCTGCGTGGCTTGATGATGTTGGAATGACTAACTTCGCTTTTGTTATTTTCCAAGCTTTCCATTACTTTGAAACCCATTTCTCTTTACCTTCTTAATGTATGCAATGTATGCTTGGTATTTCTTTGAAAAGATTCTTGCATCCTTGAGAACTTCTGTTTTCTATTTTGACTATCGGGATGGTATCTTCTTTGATATGCTATAAATCGCAGCTTGAACTGTTAAGCAACTTGCCAACAATGCTTAGCCCTCGACTGTCAGCTTTCAGTTAGCGTCCATTGTAGCAAGCATTTGGTTTTCCTAGAAAAAGATGCTGAAGACCTGGAGGAAGAACAAGAAAAACTAGAAATGTCAATATGCCGCATGTTGATTGGTCTAGTGACGGCTTTCCATGAACTTGTGCAATCTGCTTTCCCGGAAGGAACCTGTGCAGACACTGTTACCAAGGTAATGCCAATCAAGCTTCTCTCATGTCAATCAAAATTGTGGCAACATTATTCCAATGCATTGGCTATTTTATTCAAGTCAAACTCATTATATTTGAAATCACCTTCAGCCGAGATGTTACTCAATTCAGCATACGATGGCTGATAATTTAAATGTACCTTACTTTTTCTACCTTTTTATTTTCCACAATTATGTTATTTATTCAATAACATATTCCTTTTTATGACTAACCCTGGCCTTTGCAAGAAGAAATAGAGACATGGGATGTAAGGGCGTCAGGGATACTCGCCCTTAGTTTCTCAAAAGCCTTTTTCCGGCATATTTAATGCTAGTTCTCGAACCTTGCTTGATATTCAAACTTCAAATCACGTTTTTTTTTCTTACTAAGAATTTTCTGAAATTCGTTTAAATGCATATCAACATTTTTTTCAACAGAGCTTGACAAAACTATATGTAATTCTTGGCCATCTCTCCAAATATGTGAGTTATAATCACCTTTTCTTGGTGATTTATTTTTTAAATGTATTGATAACATTTAAATCATTTTTGGAAATTTTATCGTATTTTTTAGCTCTTTAAGTGATCTGAGCAAACATTCTGTTTTTTCCAGCATCTTGGGTTATATAACCAACGAATTGGCCACATGACTGAAAAGTTTGAAAAATTGGTCAGTTTTGTTAACTTTTTGAATATTCAATTGCTTCATCTGCTTTCATGGAAGTTGATCAGATCTCTGAGTTTTAGTATTGCAGATCTGATGATTGTGTGTAATAAGATTGTAGTTATTGTAGTATGAAAAATTGTAGTTATCAATATATCACTATTTTCGTTATTGCTTGCCACATCGCCAGCTCATCATCACTATGTTCTTCTTTCGCGTGTTGACTTTTTAGTCACTTTTTCTTTGATAACATGTTAAGTTTCCGGCCCTTGTTCTTCGATCACATGTTAAGTTGCTAGCCCTTGTTCTTCGATCACATGTTAATATGCTAGACCTTGCTCTCCAATCACATAATAAGTTGCCGAACCTTGTTCTTCGATCACATGTTGAGTTGCTAGCCCTAGCTTTTATCACGTGTTAAGTTGCTAGCCCTTGTTCTTCGATCACATGTTAATATGCTAGACTTGCTCTCCAATCACATAAATGTTGCCGAACCTTGTCTTCATCACATGTTTGAGTTTGCTAGCCCTAGCTTTTACACGTGTTAAGTTTGCTAGCCTTGTTCTTCGATTCACATGTTTAATAGCATAGACCTTGCCTCTCCAATCACATAATAAGTTGCCGAACCTTGTTTCTTCGATCACATGTTGAGTTGCTAGCCCTAGCTTTATCACGTGTCTAAGTTGCTTAGCCCTTGTTCTTCGATCACATGTTAATATTGCTAGAAAACCTTGCTCTCCAATCACATATAAGTTGCCCGAACCTTGTTCTTCGATCACATGTGAGTTGCTAGCCCTAGCTTTATCACGTGTTAAGTTGCTAGCCCTTGTTCTTCGATCACATGTTAATATGCTAGACCTTGCTCTCCAATCACATAATAAGTTGCCGAACCTTGTTCTTCGATCACATGTTGAGTTGCTAGCCCTAGCTTTTATCACGTGTTAAGTTGCTAGCCCTTGTTCTTCGATCACATGTTAATATGCTAGACCTTGCTCTCCAATCACATAATAAGTTGCCGAACCTTGTTCTTCGATCACATGTTGAGTTGCTAGCCCTAGCTTTTATCACGTGTTAAGTTGCTAGCCCTTGTTCTTCGATCACATGTTAATATGCTAGACCTTGCTCTCCAATCACATAATAAGTTGCCGAACCTTGTTCTTCGATCACATGTTGAGTTGCTAGCCCTAGCTTTTATCACGTGTTAAGTAGCTATACCTTGTTTTTGTATCACGTGTTAGATAGCTAACCCTTGTATTTCTGTCACGTTTGCGTTCCCTACCTGTCTTTTTATTGGTAGAAAAGACCCAAAAGCAAATTCGATTCTCATAAAGCTAATTTAATTGCGTACTACGTAGGTAAAACTGACCGCAACTCATTTGACGCAACAAGCTTACGCAATGATAACCTACATGCAAGCGACGCAAAACGTCGAGGACGAGAACGTAATCGGGAAGGGGAAGAAAAACAAAATGAACGCAAACAGACAAAAATCAATGCAAAAGGTATTTGTTTCTAAGAAAATGTTTGAATATTCATTTAATGAGGAATGTCCCTAGATTAATTATTAAGCTTTATTAATGTATTTTGTTAACGGAAGTGGGAAAGCCGCAGGCACTGAAAATAGGGGCAACATTTTGATGTTTATGGCAGTGTAAATAGCTTAGCTCGAAAATACCAGGAAAAAAGGATAAAACTATCTGTATTTGTATTTTTTTAACGGCTCAATGTCCTTTTTTATTGCTCGTGATGAATTTTTGTGAAAATTGTTCAGTGGCTAGGGTGGCGAACTACAGATCTAAGGGTCCGGGGTTCGTGTCCCTGGCATGACCAAACTTTCTCTCATAGTGAGGGAATCGCCAGTTCTCTGTAATTCCAGGTGTAGGACTCTTGAGGTGTAGTCACATCGAGATGAAGGACCAGGACACTGCTCAATAAGCATAGATCTTTGGATGCTAGATAAAAACAACTGCATTTTTGTTTGACTTAATTCACGTGGAAAGAAGCAGAGGAACTCACGTGTTCATGTTTTAGAAGAGAGTTTAACGTATTCTTGCTTTATTTGGATTTGAATCTTTAGAGATAGGATCCCACAGATCTGATTTGTTTAAAGCATGCATATTATAAGGAAATATTAAAACGGTGCAGCTATTCCAATATGATTCATTTCTACCTTCCAGAATCGAGCGATCAAGGAATCTAAATTGATTCCCAATCTGATTTACTCGATTGAGCAGTACGAGATTTTTCTTATTCAATTATCAAAGAAATCCAAGGTTGGTTTACTAATCTTTGTAACTTAGTCTCTTCATCAATAAATTTAAAACAACAATATCGCCGTTTTGTACATACAACTTGCAAAAATTACTTTCAACTTTCAACGGCAAGATTTTTTTCTCTTTTTCAATTATTTTCTTAAATTCCATCACTTCAAATCATCTTCCTTCCAAAGCACTGATTATAGTGTAGATAAATGCATTCAGATATATAAAATAGTTAATACTTCATAAGTTACATGAATCAAATTGTTTCCAGTAAATCTAACATTTTATAAACGGATAGTTTAAGGGGGGACGTTTGAGATGAGGGATGGCAATGACTTTACGTCCTTCAGCCTTGGGAACTGTTTTTTCCACTTCATATCCAATTGCTTGTAGGTTACAAATCTCATGGAACATTTCAAGCTTAGCACGTCACGTGATTTCCGTATCAATACAGCTACTTTGGAGGCTGCGTTGCAGGAAGAAATTGCAGACGACGAGGAGGAGATATCCACTATAATGGTATATTCGTTTTCACAATTGTTAATTTGCAAACTTATGATTATAGCTGTGACGTAGCTGCCTATTATGCCACATTGGGTATTACCAATGCAACATTTGTTTTACGAAGCATCCGTTGCTATATATTTACGCTTTCACCAAAGCTATAAGGGCTTTAATTCAAAGATATATTTTATTGACGAAGGGAAATTTCTGTTATAACGATTAGAATGGCTCGAAAACTTGCAACCATATTTGCAGCTGATCACTGATGTAAAAAGGACTACTGTTGTTGTGACTGCAATAAGGAAACCGTTATGCATACATTCTTTCTATCGAGGGGCAATTCACTATTTCCAATACCGCATGAAATTTCCAAAAAACAAAACGGTTTCTTAGGATTGCCAAGGGTTTGAAGATAAAAGAATAGGATTTCAATTTGAAGTAGCGAGATTTCCGTCGAGCAATTTGACCCTCACTTTCTGTCATTGTTTGGGCTTCATATGATAACTGTTGACAGAGGAGCATTTATGGCATTTGGTTGTAGTTGTCAGATTTCCTTGTCACTAGATTTTTTTCCTCTAGTTTCAAATGAATACGTTCTGTTTTTTTATTTGAGATTTAAGTAACCTTTTCCATGATTAACATTGAATAATATGCCTTAATTAATCAGAGACTTCTCAGATCCAAACACTAGTTTCTCTTGCAGGAAGAGGAAAATCATGAACCACAACCAAAGAGGGCAAAGTCTGTCTCGTAAGTGCATTGGAACTGAGCATAGCTGACACATAATTCCCGCGTGTCATTTAGCTTCAGTTCAACCACAGCCCCCCCCCCTACCATCTTTAAATTCCACCTTCACTGGGCAGCCCGCCTTTAATATCGACTAAACTCTAATTGCAGAAACAATAAAAGGGCTAGAATATTGAAGCATCGTATACGGCTCTATTTATAAAAACGCTTTGCCTGATGACTATGAAACGTAGACTCTTTAAAAGCATTAGACGAATTTGCTTCATTCAAAATCAGTGGTGGCGCCAGGGGAGGGCTACAGCCCCTCCGTCGGAAGCATCTAGCACCCCCCCCCCCCATCGGAGGACATTTTAGGTTATTGTCGGAGCAAATTTGACAAAATAACGTACGAAAACTGCTTATTTTAGTCATTTTAGCCCCCCTGTCGGAAGCTCCAGCCCCTCTGTCGGAAGATTTCTGGCACCGCCTCTGTTCAAATGTTCAAAAGAATACATCATGAATTGCTTTGAAGATTTTGTAATCAATTTTTACGTACGTTTTATGTGCCAAATGGTGTTTTGTATCTACCTTTTCTTTGTATGCCATATTAAAAAATCTGTTCATTTCTTGTTAATATGTTATTTAAATGTTAATCTTTGATATTATACAATACAATTCCCTGAGGTTATTTCAATGTGTTGTATTTAGATCTTACTTCTGGATATCGTAGTCAAATGCGAAATTTTAATGATTTGGTGTGATAATTTTATATAAAAAATATCTTCGAAATTCAGTAAAACAAATCAAGCGCAGTTTCTTTTTTCTTTCTCATCTTTCTCACTTACACCATCTTGCATGGTAAAGCAGTTTCCGATTGTTTCCATCGAATCTTAAAATTGTATGGAAAAGATAATATTTTCGAACTACGCTTTTATGTAAGAAAAACCCAATCTCCATTTCATAACAGGAGTTGAAACGAGACTTTCACATTTTTCTATTTTATCTCAAGTCAGACCAACCATTTTTGGAAAAAGGGGTATTTTTGATAGCGCTTAAGTCGTCTCTGTTTCTTATTATTCCTTGTACCAATAATAAAAATTGATTAAGTTTCTTTTCTTACATTCCTTTGAACGATAAAAGTATAAATAAAGGCATTCAAAACGAGTAACAGGAACAGGGACATTTTCACAGTGTCTTGATCAAAATGTTTTTAAAAAATCAACTAAATAACAAAGTGTATAGGCTGACATTATATTGAAAAGTTAGGCAAAATTTAAAGTGTTCCGATCGTTTCTGTCTCTTGAGTCTCATTACGATGAATAGAAATGTTTAGAAATGAGAAAACCTTTTTTCATAAAAATACCAAAATAAAACAGTGTATAGGTTTACTTGGGCCTCAATCGCAACTTCCTGTTTCTAGCACTAATGACGGTATTTTCCTTTTTAGTGTCAAAACAGGAATTCTTAAAATAATTAAGTTTTTAGGCTTCCATATTTAGTGGAAAATTGGATTTTTTAAACTATTTAAATCCTCTCGCATTCTCACTCTTTCTTGTCCTAAGGATAAAAATTTATAAACACATACTTTTTTAATCGTAACAGGATGAAGAAAGATGTTGACATGAGTAATAGATTGTTCAAAAATTGATCATATAATCAAGTTTATAGACTTTTAGCTAACAAACGGCATATTCCGCACTTTAATTCCTGTTCTAACTATTTCTGGCCCTAAAAACAAAATTCTATAAACTGACATTCTTTTTCTTGTCTTAGCACGGAAAAATGGTTTAACCTTTGAAAATATTAAATTGCCAAATGTTCTCACTATTTCTGAATCTAATAGTATTAGTTTACTAGTTTACATTTTTTTACGGTAAACTATGATGAATAGAAGATGGCTGTAAAAAATCTGGTGCTTTGTCAAAAATTGTCAAATAAAACTTTACTTTAAAGTGTACACACTTTAGTTTTTTAGGAAGTAAACCTCTAAATGAACTCTGTATAGTCATATCTAAATCGTATCATTGGCTTCTCCATTACAAATTATTCCTTCAATTTTTCTTGCTTAAAGAGATGAAAAGATTTTCATTGACCATACTGTAAATTTAGAATACAAGTGCAGTGTCCAGAATGGAGATTTTCTTCTATTCACCCAAAGAGGGCCAAAATAATTCAAAAAGCATCAAAGATTTAGAAAATGCTGCAAGCATATGATGCAACATTTTGCAACATTAAAAAGAATATTGCAGGACTGGTCAGGCACAGAGTATGAATTTTAGATAAACAGGCAATCTCTTTGATCTCAAAATAATGACCATACATGAGGAAATGGATATTGTATAACTAGAGATGGTTAATTTTTGAAACAATAACCAATAATTTACACAAAAATTTGATCACAAAAGAAAGTCAATAAAAATTCTACATCTGAAAGAATCTTTCACATGAATTTCTACAATACATAACAATGCTATTTCAATGAGTGGATACATCACAGTGAAAGGCTTTATTTGATGCTAAGTTGCTCTGTTTAATTTTGACCATCCCTTTCTTTCTGTTCAATTTCAATTTTGACTATTTCTAACAGCACATACTTTGTTTTCGAATCTTTGAAAGCCAATACCCTAAGCACATTTTTGCAAGGCATGTCTGTATTAAATTGTCCAAAAAAATAAAACACTAGGGGTATTCATTACATTATGTTTATAATGTTATGAACAATGACGATGTAAGCAAGATTCCCAAAAATATTCATACTTAAACGAGCTTCTTAGCCTCAAAGAATCCCTTCAGATGCCTCATTTGCCAGAAACCAGTAACAAGAAGAACAACAGTCTGAACAATGGCCCACCACAGGACTCTTTGATTTGTGCTTTCACTTGTGTATCGGAACCTCTCCTCTCGGTACTGTAGAAAGATATGGAAAGCAAGATGTCAGAAACTACCTAAACATATTATCAAAAGAAGCAGAAATGAACTAGTTAGTCTAGAATGTCATACGAAAAGGATGATACAAGAATAATCCCTAGGTTAGCAGAAGTTTAAAACTTCTTTTTCAAAAGACCAGCATGCTAAATTGGAAAATGGAAAAAATCTAGTGTTTTTGAAAAAATGTGTTTTTCAAAGCCATTTTTAAATTCTGTACAACAAAAAGGTTGTTTGTTAAGAGAATTGCTATTTTTGTGTTGTGCAAGCTTTATATGAAACTAAAAGAGTCTGTTCTTTTAAATCCTTTAAGCGAAGGGGGTGTCTGAGCCACGGTTAAAGCATATATAAATTGAAAGAAGTGAAACAGCATACTCCTTGACTTCAAGGCTATTTAAAAGCAATCAATAGATACTAAAGGGGCTCTTAAGCCATCTGTTGATTCTATTTGTTACTGATTTAGCTTGCCTCAAATGAGGAGAGCGATTCAAAACTCACCTACAAAAATACAAATGGTCAGGCCTGTTGATTAATATTTTGTGCTGACTTACCCTTTGATATGACTGTTCTTTTGTAATCTGGTCGACTTGGTCCAACAACTGTCTCATTCTCAGCTGCAATTCAGTGAGTTTATCTTTGGCAGCAATTTGGGGATAGTCATTTGCATGTTCACCAACAAGAAGTTGCAGATGAACCCTCTGAAGAAAGGAAACAAAGTTGCAAATATTGGAGCAGATTATATTTGGCAAAACTAGACAGATATCATCAACAGTGATGTCATTCAAAGATTAGATGAACAGCTCTAAACTTAGCGGCCCTTTTACATAAAATTGAGCCCAAAAAATAATACCAAACAAACTACAATTAAAAAGGCTTTTTCCCTATATCAACTTCTTCATTTGTGCACAAATTGCACTTCAAAATCACATGAGGTTGAATGTGTTTAAAAGCAAAAAAAAGAGAAAATAAACTTGAGGACTAAAATAACCATGACTTACCAGCTTTCCCCCAGCAAATAAACTCCATTTTGTTGAGTTGGAATGAAGACAAATTGTATGTTCTCCAGGAGTGTGTGATGTGAAAGTAAATCGTCCTTCTGAAGCATAATACTTAGATAACAAAATTTTTTTATCAGGGTCTGTAACTTCTACATGCATTCCTATGCCTGGGCTTGCTGGCATGAAATCATGTGTTGTCTCATCAAACAGTTGAGTCTTGTATTTACCTAAAATTTAAATTGTCCATGTTGAGTTGAAATTTTGAGAATACTTCATTTTAATCGGTAAAAAGACTGCAAAGATCCCCTACTGTAACCAGAAACACCAGAAAGTAAAGTTTCATAGATGCCTTCATTAACTGACCAGATTTGATTGGGAGGAACGTTTTTGATGACGTTTTTGCGAAAATTGAGTTTTCTCAACTACAATTGTTGATTTCAATAAACAATTTACTTTGGCTTGTGACTACCTTAATGGACTAAGCAGGAGGCCAAACTATGAAACATTATAAATACATAAAATGAGAAATTATAGAATATTGTAAATCACAATGAAACTATAACTTTTAAATATCTGTAAAAGGATTTGAGTAAATCAAATAATATTTAAGTCAGATAAGAGATTCACTATCATATAATGGATATTATCTTAACTCTATTCCTGGATATTTTGATCAACAAAATTCCTCTAAAAAAACCTTTACAATACAAGAATTCTGAACCAAGAACATGAAAGAAAACCATGAAATATTTCTGAATAGGCAAAATCAGTTGAAACTGTTCAACACCGACAAATATACGGCCAGTGAAAGACAGTATTTTTGTTGATGGTTAAGGCCAATTTACAGTGGTTTGAAGGAGAAAAGCCCATGCTTATGTGGCAATATCTCAGTTGATTTGCAACAGATTTAACTGATTCTGCAAATTTAGCAGATTCTCATGATTTCCTTTGAAGTTATGGGGTCAGAATTCGAAAATACTAACAAAATATCTTTTGAGACATCACTCTGTCACTCAATCATTTTGAAGATCAGCTAGATAATAGACAGCTGTAATTTCTAATGGGCAGAAAGTCAGCTACTGCTCTATCTCTACATTAAAGACCTATTTTTTAAGGAAACGAATAGCTTTCGTTTCCTTATGCAGCTTCTTAATCCGTATTTCTTCAAAATACCTTTAATTAACAGTTTTGACGGGTTTTCAGTTGGAAATTGATTAGAAAAAGTTGACTTCAGCTCTCCCAAAGTCGCAAACCTTAACTTGCAAGCAACCAGACAAATGGCTCTTTCCCCCCGCTCTAAAAAGTTTTTTCGGGCTGCCACTTCTCTGCAGTTTTTCAATGGAACCAGCTTTTTCAACGTGCTTGAAAATCTTAAATGCCCCAGACTTACTGCAGCCAACTTGTCTTCCAATTTCTGCGAAAGAATGTCCCGCTTCATGCAAATGTTTTATGGCCACTTGTTCACTTTCTGCAAATTCTCTAGTTTTGACCATCTTGAAATACTCGCTTTATTAAACCTTTTATGCAAAAAATGGGGGAATTTTTTGCTTGTTAGTAACTTGTTAGTTTGTGTTTTCCTAACCTATGCTGATGCCATTCGTAATTTTCGCACCAAAAACACTCAAAATATTTACAGGGTCACCCCAAATCGATGTTAGTCATCATAAATTTAGGCCATCGTTTCCATACTTTTGTCTCCTAAGTGTATGATTTCAGGTGCACAGTCTTAAATTTTCAAAGTAATCTTGTCGAGCAAGAACAAAAGTTTCCAATCTGGCACAACTTTATCAAAATGTTTTATTCAGTAAATGATCAGGAGCTCTATTTTGGACTATCATTTGATTAAAGTTGTTACAACAAAGCTTATATTCTCCTATTGGATAAAAAGTGTGTACTGATTAAACCGTGGCACATCAGATTTCTCCATGCATTTTGATATTTATTGTTACAACTGATCTTCAAAAGATGGTGGACAAAGTCACACCATGAAGAACAGAAAGAAAAAAGATGAGCAAAATAAATCATGTTACTCATGGACTACACAGATTCCAGATTGGACCAGACTTTCTCAACGAAGTCATTGAGCATTCATGACTGTCAGTCCTTGCGCCCAACTTTCATAAGATCTACCTATATTGGTCATCATATTACTTCAAAAAAAATACCCACGCTTGATCCATCCAACACACAAATAAATTATAATTGAGACAATAAACAACCAATAACCAATTAAAGATTGGAACAAAACGTTATATTTTTGGCTTTTATAGATATAATGTCATCGGTTAAAATATTTAAATCTAAAGTTATTAATGAGTGAAGTTTTGTGACACGTCAGTCTTTGCTTCTGATAAAGATTCACTTAGGCCAATGAGATATAGGCCATAAATTGACTTACCAGTAACCATAGTTTCATCTGGAATTTCCTCTAGAAAACATTTCTTTTCGGTTTCTCCCATGTGAAAATACAATGCAGAGCAAGCCTCTAAAAATAACACGGTAAATAATATGGAAAACTTCATTATTTTCTTTATTTCGGCCATGACACCCACCATTAATAAGAAAATAAATGCCTCCACGTCGAGGTCTGGGCCGAGTTCCTTTGTCCTCTAGCATTGTTCAATTTGTTTGACACGTGTGGTTCAATCTCGCATTGAAAGCGAGATCATCCTTTCTTCGCAATGCCCAGGTCCTGGCCAACCTGTACTTTCACCTGTTCAATGAATTTCAACCCTTGAACGAGGAGGTATTCGAGTTAACCAACCTGTTAAAAAAAATGCCAAATCATAAATTATGAAAATACAGTTGAATCCAGATAAGTGGTGTCCCGGATAACTAGGACTTGAGGAAATTAAATTTTGCTGATTTTCTACATTCAGAGGTAATTCACGACGCACTTTCCGGTTCCAAGTAGTAAAAATTCTAAAAATGGTTTTGTGTACAGGCTGTGCATTAGCAGTTAGATAAGATAATAAAAACTAAACCTACATCTAGTTTTGTCACAGACATACAAATCTCTTTGTTGTTATTCCTCTTATCTCCAATATTGGTATGATTGTTTAAGGTTGAAGTTTTAAGAACACTCAAATATCAAAGCCAACGAACATAAAACCAACGCTCGAATTGTTCCATTTAGATGTACAATTCGTTGCTAGAAGAATGTCACAGTTTAGTTAGAAAGCAAGAAATTACTTTATCGTATAGCTATTTGCCTCGAGGAAGAATTGGAGATAAGAAGGACACAGACATTACATAATTCAATAAATGAACAAAGAAAACAAATGACTGCATATGATAAATTGTTTGATAACGAAACGATTAATGATGATAAAATGATTAAGCTAATACATGACGCGTGGGATTTTATAGCTGGCACTATCGTTGCTTTGCTTTTTATGCAGCTTCTACCAAAAACAAGCTACGAAAACTACAGCGAGAATAAGTCCTGTTAAAAATCCTTCATTTAAATAGACATAAAACGACACAGTGCCTATGTGGCCAAATTTACCAAACTTTATACCAAACTCGTGAAAAGTATACAAAAGCAGTATGCTAGAATATTGGTGCTATACGAATGACGCGAAACACGTAGGAGTTGGGTCAGATCAGGATTTGAAGATTGAATTGATAAAAACGATAAAACTTCTCTAAATAGTTCTACTTTTATCTTTGTAGCAATTAACATGAGGACAGTATAATTTGCCTCAACGGAATTTTCGGTACATGAAAAACAATAGACAATGAAAAACTCAAGTCTTGAGCCTTTTTATTACTGCACAAAGACTGAGAATAAGAAAAACAAACGAAGACAAGGTGGAAAGTAAGAAATGAATTATAATGGTTGAATGAGCCAACCGAGTCGTGGAATCGGTCATCTTCCTAGCCAAAACGTTTGCCTAATAGATGGTAAAACAATGCTAATATTAAAGTAGATATCAAGTGCATTAACCCCTCAGCTTAAAACCCCACCCTATTCAAAATCTGGTCTAAAAGCGCAGTCTTATTTCAATTGCAAATTCATTTGGTTAATCTGACAGTTAAAACTACAATCGTGCAATGCTAGGTGATGATGATTATGATGTACATTGTTTCTTCAGAACAATGAGACTCTCTTTTTCATGTCGCGTTGCTTCCAGGCAGGCATCTTGTAGAACTCTTCTCGGTCGACTTTGAACAGACCCACGAAATCTTCATCTGTCAGGTAGGCCTGATAAACAAACGTATGAACATCACTCAAAACAAATTCGTCTATCATTTCTGTTCTCAACAAATCATCGAAAAGCAACTTAGACATAAACACAGTCCCGTCTGGTAAAATCAAACTTCATCGATTCCAAACACAAACCTATCGGTTTAAAACGCAATTTCATAGTTTAAAATATATACCTATCGGATAAAAGGTCTACCATATTGGCTTCACCTTCAGCTGTGATAATCGCCTTCAAATAAGCCTTTCGACTTCAAATAAGATCCATCTAACCCAAACAACGTCGTCGACTTCAAACAAATTAGCATAACTAATTAACATAAACTTATAAAAACTATACCAAGTTAATCTATAATTGAAATGTGAATGCCATATGCAATATTATTCTTGCAGAAAACTGAAACTTGTGTCTTACAAACAGTATTCAAAGATTTGGATCACAGAAAACGGTCTATAAAAAGTGGTTTACATTCAACAAAGAAGTGATTCAAGGCGCTAGAAAACAAAAAAGTGGGTCGCTAAAATGCAGTCGTCCCGATTCAAGGATTTGTTGGCTCACCTCCCGACGTGATCTGTCAATTTCCTTCGGCATTTTATAATTACTGCTTTTTAAAACATCGTAAGGATAGGTCTGAGAAACAAAGACACCAATAAAAAACGTGGCTAGGATAGTAAGAAGCATTACATTCTGTCATACAACAAACACCAAGAAAACAAATAGAGTTCTTACGTGAGACGTCACAAAAAAAACTATTTTTGGAATTTTCGAGTTTGGATCACGTAACATAAAAGAACACCATTAGATACTTCTAAACATGCAAAATCAATAAATATGTCATAAATCAGGTGAGATATTGGTATTTCATGAAGCTCTTTCAAGATATTAGAGCCAAACTCAAACAATTCTAAAATATACTTTTGTGACGTCATCACTTTAGAACCTTTGCGAATCGACGAAGGAGCACATATTTTTTGTATCCAAGAAATTCATGATTTGCTGGCAGCGCATATATTTAGTAATTAACCGCTGACACAAGGTCAACTTTGGTATGTGAAGTTAAAACAATAAGTGATACACCAGTTGTTGAAATTTGAATTTGGAGTTGTTTATTAGCTCTATTTTTTTAAATAATTCGCAAAAACTACATTGCTAAAGAAGCAGTAATATAGAATTTAAAAACCGAAGGATCTGCGCATTATAGAAATTTGCTACTTTAGTTAGTTCATTTAAAACAAAACATTGAATGCTAAAATAACAATGTATAAAATATAGCTTCAATAAACTGTTTTCAAACAAAAAGTAGGAAGGAAACAATTGATGCTTTACCGTTGATGCTTTAATTTCCTGGTTTTCGTACTTATCAAGCGATGGCAATGAGCGTCGATGGTGTGCTTATAAAAGAAATGTGCAACATAAAATAACAAGAAAATGTCATATTACTGAAGGAAGAACGGACAAATGCCTTTTAGGCCCTAAAAATCCCAGACAAAAACTCCCATGTTTGCGAGGTATTTGAAAATAAAAATACGCAAGATCTAGAACTATTGAACTAAAATCAAACTAAATTATTTCCAGAAATAAGTTCATCTTCCATGACACTAACACAAGTATAAAGTTGTCATACTTTGCTTTTGCTGCCAAGAACATTCTATTAATCTTCCTTTGCCACTGAATTTAATACAGACTCTATTAAAACCGAGATATATTAAGTAAAAATGAATTAAAGATCCTCAGATGTGAAACACTGAAGTCCTAAGAGATTGTGGAGCTGTATTTACCATTCGTTTGATTCCTAGACATTCCGTTGTCTCTCATTTGGACGCTCTAAAATCGAAACAAATGAACCAAATTATAGGCAATCTACGGATACTTAAACGGCTTGAGGCATCTGTCAATCTGTCAGTCAATCAATCATTACATACCAATCAATCAATCTGTCATACCAGTCAATCAATCAATCAAATTGGCCAATCAATAAGCGCAATATAACTGACGAATTCATTTATTGGTCAATAGTTGAATGACAGATTGCTTAAACCATTTGAGTGTCAGTCGATTGCCTTTATAGTCGGGCGGGAAATTAGAACACTATAAGGGCAATGAATACAAAACGTGATAAATAATTAAGATACAAGCGGGATTTAATCAGAAGTGTCTCAACAATAAACACTGGAATCAAATCAGCCAATGACACTGCAGTCAAATCTAGAACCGCGTTTGGGTTGGTCATCACCTCAGACTACAAGACAAACTGTAAATGAATTAAAAATGAAAGCATGAGGCGACTGACCTCGTAACCCTCGGTGTAATCTGGCATTGCTGTGTAATCTGGCATTGCTGGTAAAGATTTTCGGTTTTCTAAAGAAGAAATACAATAAGAAATTCGGTCAGAACAATCAGCATGATATTACATCATATCACTATGGAGTTTGAAAGATGAATGACCAAAGGTTACCTGACTAAAATGCAAAAATATAAACCCTTTAAAGATAAAAACTCATATTATATCAAATAACTAGTGTCAAGAAGAAAGTAACACATAATGTTTCACAAGCACTTTGTTTTAAGGAATATACGAAAGCTTTCCTTGGTTTCCAACTGGCGTTCTTTCGAATACAAATTATTATTTCCAACTGCATTGTTAGACAATGTGATGACTTACTGATGGACTATTCAGCTATTTTGTTGACCCTCCCAGAGCGTATCAAATAACAACATAATTTGCGAAAGAAAAGATTTACTGATTGACAACTTAATATGTACATTAATCCCTACACCCGTCAGTCTACAATCCTACACATAACTTGCTCTGTGCTCTCATTTTTTATTTTGAAATTTCTAGGTATAAACAAGATCAGCAAATTATACCACTAGCATCTGGTTGGATGATTGGCACACCCTCACCTTCCTTAAAAGCCTAGGCCTTAGTGATAAAGCAAGAGCTTGGTCAGCCAGTGCACATGATAGTTAAAACCCGCCACAGAACGTATTATTTCTGCCATGTTTCATTGCATCTTGATTCTGTCATTTTTTTCATTTTATGATTATAGAAAATAAAAATAAGGAATGGCAAAAAGCAAGAAAAAATGTGTTCCTCTAAGGGGGGACTCGTGACAACGGACAAGTCGTTCAAAATAAAGGATGTCTGCACAAAGTAGCAAAGAAAACTGCAATCAGTGTTTAGTAGAATAGTGACTGGACATAACTAAAGAGCTAGCTAGCCTTTGTACAAAATTAAGTGCATGAAATACCTCTCATGGCATCTCTGTCTCTGTTAGGTAGACGTCTGTATATGGCACTCGGGACCTGCAGAATAAAGCCTGTTTTTAGAAGGGTACTCAAGTACATGCCGTTACAATAGGGATTTGGAGGTACTTAAATAGCTAAAACCTGTCTTTGATGACGTGACAAAGTGCAGACATAAAAACGCACGGAATGATGGGAAGGCTTCTTGAACAGACATACTCCTTTTGTTATTGTTTGTTAACAATTCGATGACTGTCAAATTCTGTTTGAGCTACGAGTACAAAGAGTATTCGGTTTTTTCATGTTATCCTTTATCATCAAATCCTTTGCTATATATCAAAAATTAATTAAGTTGTTTCTAGCGCCAACCTCTTTCTAATAACTGAAATACTTTTGATCAATTTTTTGCATCAATCGATATTAAGATATCAAATTAGTTCGCCATTTTGTTTATTGTATCGAATCAGTTACATTTTTCTGAATTCTCTTGTCAAACTGCGTATCAAAAAGGGTAAGAAGTAACTGGAAAGCTACTTATATGAAAGCATACTTCAAGAATCGAGAAGATTTAAATTATTTATGTAGAGTTTACACCTTTGAACAAATTCTGCATGAAATCAAGTCATTGTAATGAGTATATAAAATTAGCTGTGGAAAACATTTAGCACTTGCCAAAGGGCCTAGTGTGAAAGCCTAAGGATATCCATTCATTCCTTGGAATAAATTATACACCTACGTTCAAAGTGTATTGGGACAAACGAAGATATTTTATGGAAAAAATTGGGAAGGACTTCTTAAAAATTTTTTGCTTTAAAAAAGTACGGCAGCTATTTCCATAAAATTTTTGTAGACATTGTTGATGTTTCAAAGCCTTTTATGTACGCCAAACAATTAAAAAAGCATCAACCTTAAAAATTCTATAGGCCTTAAGACGGTCTGCCAACCCTTGATGAGTAAAAAATTCACCACGGGTTGGCAGATCGAAGAAGTTTACGACGCCGAGAGACGAAAGGTCCACTTCGAGAGAACTGCGAAGTAATAGGTTCGAATCCTCATCAGACATCATATTTTCGCGTAAACAGCCTTAAAAATGATAAGAAATGCAAATTTTGCAGCTTCTTTAGAAGAAAATTAGCTTCTTTTAAAGCGAAAATTAATCGTCGCCGACGAGTACTGTGGCTTTCCCTTTATAGCGTTATGCAGTTTTAAAGTAACTTGAGAAATTTCAATAATTTCATGAAATTGTAACGTTTTTGTTGATTCAGTAAACTTTTTTTGAGACTTAATAGTTTGATTCAGTAATTTTCTTGTAAATTTCTTTGTTTGCAAATGTGAATCGAAAAATTTGAATTCGTTTGGACATATTAGGCTAATAAATTGCCAAGACCGTTTGAGTTTGCCATTTTTAGGCCATGCAACTCTTTTGTAGATTTTGCTATTATTTATAGGAAAATTGTAGGAATCCAATAATTGAAGTTATGATTCAAAAGTTTATTCACCTTTTAACCACATTTTTGGGATACATAGGTCTAGATTATTTGAAAAAAGACTGCCCATATTTGAACAAGGTTCCGTTGCAAACCCGAATAGCGCAACGCCATAGTTCTTTTATTGAATTTGTCCCAATACTCTTTGAACAGTAAGTGTAGAACAAAATTTTGAAAATTAATCAAAAATTGACAGTGAGCCTAGAATTCGGGTTTCTTTCCTAAACAGAGTTGACCGGTCGAAGTCCCGTCATAATATTGAAAACATTAAAATTGAAACTCACTGCATCATCGGTTGTCTTGGAAACACTTGTCACGCTTACTGATTGCTGAGTTAAAAAAAGAGAAGCAAATTAACAGGTATGTTGGATGGGATAGTGAAAACGATGCAAATGGTGTAGAAAACAAATGAAACAGTAGAAAATACATAAGGGGTGCCAAAGAAAAAATCGTTTTATTTCAATTCGTTGCGTATCAAGAATGTAGTACGGTGAAGATTTGATAACATCTACCAGATCAACATTTTTTAAAATGTAAGATCGTCGTCCAGATGACAGGCAATTGGGAACAATTCTCCATATTGCTTTTGTGTCGATTTTCTTCAACACTGCATGTTACCAGGATAAATTTTCAAATCATGCTACTAAAACTTAACTGTTTTCTTTGACTTTAGATAAACCTCAATATTTCTTTCAGTTTTCTTTTAAGTAAAGTACATAGAAAATGAAACGTAAACAAATAAGATACCTTTGGTGGTTCTACTCGGGAATCTAAAATAATAGAAGCCACGAATCAAAATCTTGAAAAATAAAGAATTTGCAAATTTATCTAAAACAATATTTTTATATTTGCATCTTTCAAAATGCCAATAAACTTTAAAACTGCATTATATAATTTAATGTCTAGTGGAAGAATGTTTGCTAAGATTAAAGGAAATTTTTAAGGGTGAAAGGGAAAAGCTGACAATATAGAAGGATACTCGAAATCAACGAGGCATTCCAGTACGCTAGACAAAACGAGGCATGCCATTCATTTACAGAACCGATCAAAATTGCACAGAAGTAAACAGCTCCATTAGCTCTCAAGATTTCATTTGGACACATTAGTTAACTTGAAACTAAGTTTGAGAGTTTCGACCTTCTAAGTTTTAAATATTTTTAATTGTTTTGTAGGCCGTGCTACTTTCTGGACTATCAACTCAATATAACTAACTATTACAACCACCAGTATAAAGATGCATGTTATTTATCTCTTATATTCCTTAGATTTAGCTTAAGACTATAAATGGTTTTGTTCAGTTCACTCTACTTTAAAACATGATATCAATTCAAGCATCAATGATTCCATGGCCAAATGTGAAACAGAAATTATTTTTAACACAATTGAGATCTCACAAGCATGCATCTGTTTTGAACAATGCACGGAGATGCTTGTGTGATCTGCGCGTTACTCATGGTGATAAATTAATTGTAATAAAAACAAACAAGATCCACGATCTTCAACTTATTCAAATGATCAAAGAGTAAAAAGAAACAAAAATTTGCTAAAGGAAGTCTTACCGTCTCGTTTGGAAGCAGACTCGATGTAGCTTAATGGCCTATTTGCAGATCTAACATCGATTTCGGCATCCACTGGGGCAAAAGAGTGTTCCTTTGAAAGAAAACAAAACAGTAAGTGACTGGATGAATATCTATTTTAAATTCAAAACAACATCCTTGACCTAATCCATACCTTAACAAATTAACACAAACGTGATACATTGGTTTATAAATTCTACAGTACAAATAGCAAACAAACAGCTCTGCATCTGCTAGAGTTGAATCTGACTTTAAAAACTTTTCGCTTGTCAACGTGTGCTGAAAAAAGGGATTACTCACCCGAGGAGATTCCTCTGATGTAGGTGGGCTTGTGGCTCTTTTCACAGAATACGAGGTCGTTGAAATTCTTGACTTCCAATTTTGACTTGAGCCTCTAGTTGGCGGAGGGGGAGGTCGGGCAGGTCCACCTGAAAGCAAAACAACACTTAATTAGAAGATATGGATCAAATGGTGTTTGAAAAAAGGAAAAGGAGAGAATGATCAACAAATAGTGCAACATTTACGGGCTATGTTACTCCATTTTAGACACTTTAAGTTGCATAAGGAGCAACATGATTAATAATAACAGACTAAAAATTACTAAAATCAAATAAAATCGCATGAGCCCCCTACCTTCATCGCTGCTAAACGAGGATGCTTTTTGAAATCCATTCACGACGGGGGGCTGCGCATTTTCTTTGCTTGCGGGCGGAGACAGACTTCTTTCAGATTCGTCGCTTTTGGATTCTGTCCTTCTTGCTGTTGTTGTTGTTGTTGTCATTGTTTTGACTTCCATTCGGGAATACTGCGACGGGCGATAAGTTGGCGTTGTTTTCGGCGGCTCAAATGACTTCGTTTCCGGGGGTTTCCATTTACCAGCAGTAGAATCGGTAGTTCTCGGTTTGAAATTGATTGATATCGAGGATGGCATTGTCTTTTGAGTCCCGAATGGTTTGGCTGCAATTCACAAAAAGAAGCCTTTGTTAAATCTCAAAGGATGTCTGTTTGGTTTTTTGCTCGTTCAAAATGGGAGAAATTGCATAGCAAGTCAGGGAAGCTGAAATACGATTTATCGCTAGCTGCACTTGATGGTAGCATCTTTGAAGAATAAAAAATCATTTCAACAAACATGAGAAGAGGTGGTTTATTAAAAAGTAGGATTTTGGATAGGGAGGGAAGCGAAGGAAAATGTATTCAACGATAGGGTCACTGGCATAAGAAAATGTTTGATCCCAGAAAATTATATTACTTAAGGGAAATATTTGGTGAAGAGAAGAAAAAATTCTCTTTGATTAAAGGAACTCAATAAAAGCTACAGTTTATCATTATCTAAATTCATACTACGCTATTAGTTGTGATAAATACTCCAATCAAGGAACTGTGGTGCAATTGAGTTGTGAGGCCAATTGATCTTACAACAGGCATATTATTCTTTGATTTTAATCTTTTCATATATTAAACATAATTTGATTTGTTCATTTCAATTCCTGTCTCCCTAGAAGGAAGAGAAGCAAAGAGAATCTGTGTAGCATTAGGTCACCTGAATAAGCAAGAGTATCTGCAGGGGACGCACTTCGAAGCGAGTTTTCTCTCGGCGATTCTAAACCAAACAAAAATTCTATCAAAATGCAGTAGTATTTCAATGATTTCATGATTAAATTTAGACACAAGTAAATGTATAAAATAATCGGTTCTAGCAATTCAACTTCTTTAATGACACGGAGTTAAAAACCAGAGGAACAGCCGTGACAGTAATGGGATCGATCGTCCGGTGGATATCTCTCTCCTTTACAAACAATGCAATGTCATGCTAGCAAGTTATATGATAAGCAATAACTAAACCACAAAGTGAAGAACAAGTTCTAATACCAAAGCTTCCCGTTTTCCATTCATTTTAAAAAAGCAGAAAAAATATTTAAAAGCAAGCATAATGCGAGGATAGAAGTAAAAACTGCTTTTCTACGAACAAAACAAACCTCTTTGCATTTCAGGTGATGTTGATTTCGCACGTCTTTCTTCTTCTCTTGCTCTTTCAGCTCGTTCCCTTTCAGCTCTCTCGCGTTCAACACGCTCTCTTTCAGCCCTCTCGTGTTCGGCACGCTCTCTTTCAGCTCTCTCGCGTTCGACACGCTCTCTTTCAGCTCTCTCGCGTTCGACACGCTCTCTTTCAGCCCTCTCGCGTTCTACACGTTCCCTTTCAGCTCTCTCGCGTTCGGCACGCTCTCTTTCAGCTCTCTCGCGTTCGACACGGGCTTTTTCGGCTCTTTCACGTTCGACTCGTTCCCTTTCAGCCCTCTCGCGTTCAACACGTTCTCTTTCAGCTCTCTCGTGTTCTGCTTTCTCACGTTCAGCTCTCTCTTTTTCAGCACGTTCTCTCTCAATTATTTCACGTTCGGACTTCTCTCGTTCTTCTTTCTCTCTTTGTTGCTTCGCGAGCTCCTCTTGTTCCCTTTCATATGCCAGTCGCTCATTTTCTTCCTCCTGCGAGATAAAAGGCAATGGTTGTGATGGTAATTTCAAAGATACAAACCAAAGCGCTAAAATAGCTTTCGACGAGAGATGCTTGATCAGACACCTGGGACCGCCGAAGCGGGGAGGGGTTGCTGTAGGCATAAACACTCAAATAATATTCAAAGCTGTAATGAGAACAATACAAAAACAACTTTGCTTTTGGTCTTCCCCAAAACCCTTTAGCCCCCCTACCCAAATCTATAATATACTCCACGGTCCCTATCAGTAATTATGAAATCAGAAGTAATTATGAAATCAGAAGTAATTATGAAATACCTCTCTTTGATACTCGTCACTGCATTCAGGGTGCCAAATATCTGACCCTACAACCAAATACGATTGATTTCAAAACCTGGACATTTAAGAAACTGTAGCTTGCGCTCATAAAGAATATCTACTCCTTTATTAGAAACTAGGCAGCGTGGTTTTTCCCAATTCCTTAATAGATATATATGTATAAAGTGAACTTATGCGTGAAGACATGTACACTAGTAAAAAATACTTTAGTAGTTTAGTAGCATCGTTGCGGTGGTTGTTAATGCGTAGATTCATTTGTGTCTCTGATTTGCCAACATATTGTAGTTTACATTTTGTTCAGTCCATAAGATAAATGACAAATATATATATACATAATCTATGAAATATTCAATACTTAATTTGTCCCTTTTCATTTCTTAGGGTACACTTGTTAACTATGTAGCAAGATCCTTGAATTCAAAGATGCCATTTTAAAAAGAAAGCATTATGTAAAAAAGAGTTTCTAAATGAACAGATGAGAAATCAGCCAGCCTCATTTAAGAATATTTCCTTGCATAAAAAGAAACTAGAAAGCATGATATGAAAACTTGAGTTTCTTTAAAGCGGGGATTTACTGCGCCGCAACAGCCGAACATAGAAAAGAATACCTTGAAGATACATTTCTTCTCCCTCGCCAAAAATTTGTCCGCATTTCGCGCAACGGGAACACTGTGGGTGGTAGTGCTTTTCACCAGCCTAAACGATAAAAATAAAGATCTTAAACGAATTCAAACTTCAAATGAAAAATGTTTTAATTTACAGTGACTTTCATTGTAAACAATTGTCTCTCTAAAAATCTTGTTCCTTTTAGAGACATGTTTGTCAGTCATATAACGATAATACTACTTGCACCTTTGAAATAAATGGTTTAACAGGCTTCTGTACTTGACAAGTTAATTCTACGTGGCAGCAAATTCAAATCTACTTCATAGACATTCAAATTTCCTGGAATGGTTCATATGGACATGTCTAAAGCCAGACGCCTCTTTTCTATTTGTAACGACTTTGTTAAAATCAGTAGAATATAAACAATTGGGGGTAAATAAACTAACCTGCAAAACCTTTCCTGTGATGTACCCACCGCATCCAGCACAAGAAACGCCAAATTCATCTTGGTAATCCTTCTCGCAGAATGGTACGCCATCCCTGAAAGCAAAAACAAAGGCTGTCGATGAGGAATGAACAAGCAAAGTTCTGTTGCGGTCACTCGTGGCAAACAGATGAAATTTTCTTATAACAATATTTTGGCGGTGCAGATCTCGAAATTGGTTTTCAACAAAGCAAACAAGAGCTTTTTCGTCTACACTCCTCAGAGTAAAAGACGTCAAAATAAGGGTCCGAAAGAACAAGATGGAAAAAATGGGCAAATCTACCAAAAAAAAAAGATAAAATGAAAGCCCTGCTAACAACAGTCACTCAATCTTCTGAAAACTGCTCATTTAGGCTAAATTAAGAAAGCGCTTCTTTTTCAGCGGAAGGTTGCATAGAGAAAACCATCCCGCTTTGCAGGCACCAGACTCTTCCCGGGATTAGGTGACAATGGTCAGTCCTTTAAGTGTTATGAATATATGTGGCGACTGTTGAATCCCAGATACCGGAACAAGTTTTAAGATAATCGTCCTTAGCCAAGATCGCGGTAATGTTTTTATCCTTTGTAATCATAACCTGTATACTTCCTGAGACAAATGCATTCTATACATGGGTGCTCACGAACATTTAAAGAAAAGGGACTTGTAAGGAAATTGCTAGAAAGACATCAGAAGAAACACTTTTGGGAAAAGAGCTTTTCGGTCGAAGTTGAAAATTATGGAATATAGAATGCTGTTCCATCTTCGCAAAAAACTGTCATCCGCAAAAACATTGAATGTATCAATAGTCCCTGATAGCGAGTAAAGACATGTTCTAGAGGCTTCAGCTAGAATTTCCAGCACAACAATGATGGACTGTTCTAATAAAGCTATGATCACCGCAAGATGATATTATGAACCTACAATTTATCGATAGAAATTGAAAAATTACTGTAGAATGAAACGGTGAAGAGAAAGGTTAAGTCGTTTGACACGTGGTGCTAAAGATGCGTTCTGAAAGTGAGCTGGGCCGAACATGTCACGAACAAATAAATCTACCATAGGATGAGGCTCATCTAGAGAGCTGGCCAACAAACGTTGCACTAGAAGGAAAAGAAGGCAAAGACGAACCTTGGGAAAAGATCATCAGGTATGGCAAAGCGAAAAGGAAATCAGAACACTGCAATAAATGGAAGCAATGACTGCCAACTTTCGGCTCAAAGATTACTAATGATGAGCATTTCAAGGGGTTGCTCGTCCAACGTTTACAAAGCATCTTGCAAGGTTTAAGTTAGACTAAGCTCAATATCTCACGTCCAGCCATGTACCATGATTCATGCGCCCTAGTTTGACCCACGCATTACAGTCAAACAGTTTTGGAAGAAAGCTGGAAAAATCGAAAATTTCTCTTGTACCGGCAAAATGGAATAATTGCTCTAGATGAAATCAGGATTTAAGCCAGAAGTTGTGGGATAACAATTGAAAAATAAAATGCTGAAGTCACCGAAATGTGATGTGTGTGAAAATTCTAACGCCATAATTGCTTGTAACAAAAAAGCACGTTTCACAAACAAATCCGAGCAGCCATCAACACATTACACAATAGGCCATCACAAGTACTTGTGCATCATTCCGAGCTGGTAACAATCACCATCAAAGGCAATGCAGGAATGTTATAACACTTGCAAACAATTCGCATTTTTAGCAGCTAATATTATGGACTCGTAACACCGAAAAAAATCCCTGCAAACACATATACACAGGTATAAAACACAGATAGTGTTTATGTTCAATTTCCTGTCATGCTTTCGTTCACACGCCCCTGCAGTCAAGATATATGGAAATATGACATTCACAACATGTTTAGCATATGCAGTTTCAAGTGTCTGGGTACCTGCAGCGAAAGCGTAGAAATAAACCTCCATAACTAGACATTTAGCAATCAATAAATAGATCACTTTGTTCCATGGCTAATCTAGGCAACGTTTTATCTTTTCTTCTTGAACGATACTAAGCAGAGCCCTCACCCTGGTAAAACCTTGAGAAGCTAACTGCTTAAAGCATATAAAATTATTACCTGCCCATATACTCTCCAGACAAGAGGCATCCACATTTATTGCATGTAAAGCACCAAAGATGCCACTGGCTATCCAATGCCAATAATGCCTGGCCGGTCTTTATTTCATTGCCACAACCAGCACAAGCTAAAATGCAATTCAAAGGATTAAATTACTTAAAGCTACTCTGAGTTTTCTGCTTAATGTGATGGTCAAGCAAAAATTATCAAATTGATAAAAAAATTTCCATATATGATATAGCAAGGGTTGTTGCCACTAGGGTTTTCTATATAAACAGTAAACCTCTATAAAATTTGAGGTTCCAGAGGGGGTATATAAGAAAGGGGTTTATCAACAATTCAAGAAAAAGTTTTAGAAAATACTTTTTGAGTTAATGATGCTATTCCAAAGTCTAATAAAACATTATATATCAAGACTTGACTCCTCATCTTGAAGTCATGTCATTGTCATCTATAATCTTTCATTTATAGTTTGGGCCATCCATCCTTCTACTAAAAAATTAATGATAAATACTTTTAAAATTAAAAGCAATAATTCAAATATTCCCTTTTTGAATACTTGTTGTCTTTACAAGCCAAAATTGTCACCAACCTCCTTCTGCACCAGGTGATGGCTGGTCCTTTGGGCTTCCTGGCAAACAATTGTCACAAAGATAGTCATCTCCTTGCATGTTAACCTTAGCACCAGGGGCAAATGCATTGCTAGGATAAAAAGCGAAATTAGTACCCATACTTCAAAATTGACTAGGCAATGCAGATTTTACAAACATAAAATTTAATAATACTTTTGATCTATGAAGTTTTGAGATGATTTCTTGTGAGTGAAGTCCTCTTATAAATTTATGTACAAAATCATTTCTGCGTCAATTTTATCTTCACATTATAAGAAGCCTTCTTGTTCAATCAAGATAACTTCAAATGAGCCTGACTTTAAAGTCCTGAGCAACTTGCCCCTACTTACCCAGATCACTCCAGCCCCATACCTAATGAGACAGATAAAGCACTTGGAAGTATAGTGTCCGGGCATCCATAAATTATACTTTCATAAATTGAAACTATGAGGACTAGCTTATTAAGACTATGAACATTTTAGCATGAAACAAGACTGGGATCATTTCAGAAAAGTGATTAAACTTGAAATGATAGAGGCAAATTTAATAGACATGTATAAAATGCAAATGAAAAAATTGTGTAATGGTATTTTCCAAAGACTTATTTATCACTTGATACTCAAGCAAATACTTCTTGGCCTGTAAAAAGAAAAGAAAACTCACTTGCAACTGGCACAAGCAAAACATGATTCATGGAATGAGTCATCATAGACAGAGACTGCATCACCTTCGATGAACTGCCCGCAAGCTGTGCATTTCACTCCAAAAAGCTTCTGGTAGTCACGGGAACAGTAAAACTCATTTTCATAACTGTAAAATCCATTGGTCATCAGATCTTTCAAGCAAGCTAAATGGGAGCATGAAGAAATTTGACAGGATTCAAAGTGTTCTTGAATGCAATGTAGAATAGCAATCTGTTATACAGAGATCATGTGTGGATAGCTTTCAAGTTGTGATGCTATAAACACAGTGGACTTCCTGCTAGCCTTTGTGAAAAGTTAAATTGTTGATTAGTTCAAATATTTTCTCATGACTTATTGTGTTGTTAGCTTTCACAAACCAAAGCCATTCTATTATAAAACATTGATTCTATTCAAATTTATGTTAACACAGACTTTACAATAGATAAAAGTACTTCAAATAGTTTACCTTTGCATTTGAAGCAATCTTGGTGAAAATATTCATCCCTTGCAAAGAGAACTTCTCCATAACAAATCTTGTTGCACTTCCCACAAAACACGTCATCCATTTTTCAAATCTATTGAACAATAGACATACTTTTTGTATCATTTGATGCAAAGACATTCTGACCAATATAGTGCTGAACTAAGTGAGCAATAATCTCAAAAAAAGATAATTTGTTGCATCTCCAAGCATTTAGCATTAGTTTACAAATGGGGGAGGAATACAATGGGGAAGGGATAGCAGGGATCAAAAATTTATCCCTAAATATTGTGCAATTATTAGACACCCATAATAACCTGCTAAGCCATCCATCTAACAGCAATCCCTGCCTACCAATGCCAGCAGCTTCTACACTCACGCTTTCAAGTCTAAATTAAGGCAAGAAAAGTTGAAGAGTGCATGGACAACTATCCAAGCCATTGAAAAAAGAACATTGTTAACCAAACCATGTCTTATTTCACTTGCCTTTTAAACAGGTTTTATAAGTTTAGCTACTGGCGAGCAGAAAGAGTAATACTTTTCTGGACTCTAAGTATCTGAAAACGTTCTGTTGATCTAAAAAGTAGCCCCTTGACACTCTATATATATACTTTATAAATAGGGCAGCACATTAAACATAAAAAAAACCAACATGTAAAGCAAGAAAGAATGCTTGGACTTTCATACAAAGAAAACTTTGTTCCAATATTTGCTAAAATCTTAAAACAGGCATTAAAGTAGCCATGTTGGTCTTACTCTAATCCTCAATCAATTACTCTCAAACATACATTATTTGCATTAGAAAAGGACTTGGATTAAGTCTTATTAAAGATTCAATAACCTTAGCTTACAGATATTATGAATATTAAATCAAGCAGACAAAACCACATCTTAGCATAGCAGACATACAACCATCGCTATAGTTAGCAGGTTTAAAACACCCTAGTTCAGGGGCATAGTGCGTGCATTTTGATTATGGGCAGGGGCACAATGATATCCTTGGCACTAGAAGTACTACATGATCTTAGCACCAGGACCAGCATATTTAAATATTAAAAAGCTATTGGTAGGAGTGTGCCCCATGTAGATCCAAGATTCTATGTCTTTCCCCTACAAGTTCTGCTTACAGTTAAAGATTGTCAAGCAATATTGGTTTGTGTTGCACAGTCAACCATAACAGTTATTTATTCTGAACAATTTGAACCCAGTGAGATTAACAAGAAAAGAGAGCAATCATGCAGAAAGTAAAGGCAAAAGTTGAGGTGAGTTTCTATCAAAGAGTAAAGGGGATTACTGGAAAAATTTTACTCAAACAAAAGACTCTGGCATCCTGCTTAATGAAATTTTAGACAAGGTTTTTAATATGTTTTGTTTGTGGTAAAACCTGAGACAATCTGATCTCAAACCAATGGACTCAGCTTCATTCCATTCTGATTTTCTTTGCAAACAACTGAAGACAGCACATGTACAGAGAGGGATCAAACCTCCAAGGCAAACAGAATAAGACATTTTTCAGTTGATGAACATTTCGCAAAACATTTTTGACTACATGTTATGCATTTGTGAATGTGTAGGTCACATGTTATGTTATGTGTAGGTCAAAACAGAGATAGCTAGATAAATTCTCTATTGAAAGCTTAATCAAATCATTTGCTGGGGAAATTTGTAGAAAATGACTTAATCACCTTGTTACACAACAATCATGCTTTAATTTGACAGAAGATTTAATTTTCTTTTGCAAAAATAGATGTATATATGCGCCAGGACAAAAATTCAGAACAATATCTTTACATATATAGTTCAAATATCATTAAAACTCAGGAAGCAGCTTCTTTTAGCACCAATGGCCTTCTCATGAATGACTCATCTATGTTATTTTTCTCTTTGAATGTATCTTTTCTTAGCAGGTTTTGGTTAGGATACAGGTGGCTATATAGTGCATCGGGACAATTTGACAAAACATTCTTCTGGTCACAGTTTTTAAGTGAAATCCTAATGAAACTTCTGAAGCAAAAAACTGAAGCGTTTTTGTTTTTATACTACCAGGAAAAACATGACCAAAAACAATGATGACAGAATCATTGCACTAACATTTCCCTTTTTAGATATCTTGCGTTCAAGTTATAATGGATTTTAATTAATCAGCAAAAGTGACAGGCTGTATGAATTCTGATTCTACGGAAACAAATTTATTTTCCCAGTCAAAATATAAATTTTCTTCTGTATTCTTCTTTGAAAATTCTTTATTCACCATAAAATCTTTATCGGACGATCAGATGTACAATATCCGGGGGAAATTACTTGGCTATTAACTAAACTCTTTACTTGGCTATTAATTTCACCTTTGATGCATGTGCATCAACAAAATGAGTAAACTTAGGGGTAAGTAAATGTCAGCGTAAATTGATTTATTTTCTTATTTCTTGTTTCCTTAAACAATCTGCCTAGATATTAGGAAAAAACCATCAAGCTATGGGTTACCCGGCTATGTTCGCTTTATCATCAATAACCCATCGTTAAAAGTAGAAGGACTATATCTTCTGAAAAGTGACTATATAAATTCATCAATTCATATTGGAATAATTTAAAGGGCTTTTTGCAAGCAATCTCAACCTTCGAGAGAAATTAGTTGGAGAATAATAACGCGCGGAATCAGAGTCGAAGCGTGGTGTCTGTACGGTTCACCACATCACATTACAACCACACACTTCCGCCAAACATTTGAAAATCTTTCGAAACCAAACATCTAAGGTACTGCCTCGCTTACTCTTATTCTATCCCAGAAACTGTTAGCGAACCTTAACGGCCTGAGTTCGGTAGAAACCGTGTCATTGTGCGCGTCTTTATCAACAACAATAAGGAAATAAAGCGGCCTAGGTAGGCAGGGCAAGTTAAACTGTCGTTTAAGACGGATAATAACAGAAAAATCGAGGATATCTTACCTTTAAGCGAATAAAATGTGCCCAGATTTTATTTTCTTTAAACAAACAGCCCAGAAGCCTTCTACCACCTCGACTTTTCAATCAACAAAGCTTTGACTCACTGTCTGTATCATTTGGAAGTCAACAAATTCCGAACGTTCCAAATCATAATGGCGCCCAGACCCTCCGCGCGCTGATTGATTCAGCCTCACCCACCTTTCCCGACATTCAGTTCGCATGTAGTTTTACTTTGAATAACGAGGTTTCTCAGTCCTAAGTTTTGAATCAATTTGCTAGAAAATTGTGATCGAATGAAATTTTATCAGAGCTAATTTCACAAAGATGTTTTTAGACTTTGATTCAACTTTGTGTTTAATGTTGCTGAACTTGAATTTTTACATTTGGGCTAGCATGCTCAAAAAATGAAAATGAAAATAGATTAAATGAATTGTTCTCTCTTACGAAATAAGGTTTTCATTCGTACAACATGTCACGTGATGCATCATAGCATCATTGCACTGTGACTGCATCAGCATTTGTTAATAGGTACTTTTGTGCATGTCTTAGTTGTTATTTTAAGTTTCTTTTAAGCTATAAAAGCGATGGTTTTCACTTGCTCCCGCCCCTTCCCCCTTTTCCATAAAGCACAGTGTCTTTCTTCCAATTCTTGTTCATTTTATTGATCTGTTAGGGGGTCAGGGCTCATTTTCATAGCAGAATTCTGTTCCCAGCTCTGTACGTTTCTGTTCCTGGTGAGGCAAAGAGAAGTTTCTTGTCCTGTCCCTGCTCAGAACTTTGGATTGCTTTGTAACTTGGAGTCAATTATGTTCTATTTTAGGTTTACTGTTTGAAAAGGGTTAGCAACTTATAGCGGTTAACCAACATTTAATCTTCGCCTCCTGAGATCAGGGAATGTAACATCCAGAACTGATTTGTCTTTTGAAGGAGCTATTTTTTAAAATTCAAGGAATTTCTTCATTGACGTTTTCTTCACTGAGTAAGACATGAGGATAAGTTGTTTGCCTTTAGCAAAATATGAATCCAACCAACAACTGATAAGGCTGGTAAAATCTGTTTGGAAATGTGTTTCAAATAAAGTTTGCCAGATAAAAACGGTACTTTTTTGCCCACTCCTTCTCCCTCTTATCTGTTTTTTATGTCACTGTTAGGTGGAGAGTATTTATTTATCCCCACTTGGGCCATTAACAGTTGGTTTTAATGTTTTGTTTATTCATTCAAGCTAAAAAGCTGGTAAGTAAGGGCATGCACATTTGTTCTGCTCAAGAGAAAGGCAAGGGTCATTGACACATTTGAGTGTCAAATACACTCAGATTGCCAGAAAAGTCCTGCCAGGTGTGAATAAACGCTGTTGCATTCAATGTTGATCTTACACGTGACTTTGTCCATCTAATCAGAATAAACTTTAAAACAGTGGCTACCTTTCCTCAAAGAATACCAAACAAACATTGAATGTTTGCTTGGCCAAAACAATAATTGTTGTTCAAAATGAATTTCGTTGATACTAAAAACTTCCGTCTACCTCCTTTCTTTGTTTCCCATTTTCCCCACTGTTTAGAATTAAAACCTTTTCAAAGATAACAGGTTCTGGCTTGGCTGAATAACTGGCTCTTTCGATTGCATTTTTACAAAATCAGAGACGATTAGAAACAATGCGTCTGTTTTTTTCCATAAGCACAGTAACAACGTTAATCCACAGAACACCGTTAGCAATACCACAATTCAATTTCAAAGGATAAGGATAAGACAAATCAATTCTTCCCAGAAAAATCCAGTTTTCAAGTTTTACAAAATATCTGATTAATAACCTGACAGGTAAAGCACCTTGTCTCAAAATTAAAGCCATATTAGTATCTAAATTCATTTGAAATTAACAGTTGGTAAGGATAAGGCAAACCTTTATACATCAAATTGAACTTTAAATGTCTCTGTCAGAATTTTTCAATCGACAAATCGTTTTAATTTGGCAAATAGGCCTTTACTTGGTTTAAGTACTCGGTGTAATACTAGGAACAAAACAAGGAACGTTTAAAAAATAATGCACACTTTTCCTTATATAAGAATACACAGGGGCGTCGCGACCGGGGGAGGTGTTTGTAAAAGGACAGAATTTCGTTAAGGAAACTTTTGCTTGTTTGCTGTTTGAATTTCATTTGCGTGCTTGACTTTCGTTAGCACCTTGGCCAATTTCCATGTAACAGCCTGTCTTGTGATCAGCTCCTTTGTTCTGTTTTGTATAACTGTCCTAATTATCTTAATTGCTGTTGAGTAAAATATTTGTTGGCTTTTGTGAGTAATTCAGTCGTTTAATTTAGTCGCTAAGGTTGAGCCGTGATTTCAGATGTTCGGATAGCCGTTGTTATTTCAAGAAGTTTGAAGCATACCAGTTTTGCCGAAGTGACCCGTTTAGTGGTTGTCGAATTAGATGAAACTATAGGAACCGTTGAGCCAAGAAATCAGAACACGCTTATTGAATTTTGTACTTTCTTTTACTGCCGAATCTGCGAACACAAGCCTGTAAAACCCTCGTAAACTCAGTGATTTTACATTGGTGACCACGACGTGACGGGAGAAATTGGTAAAAAAGAAAGCTGGTATTTTAGAAGAAAAATGTCGAATTTTAATCGTAGAAATGACTTGCTATATTTGCGTGCAACAGACGGTCGTCCTGTCTGCAACTACTGTAAAATGGTTGGACATGTTGTCAAGTACTGTCGCAGTCGCCCGTTTATTCATCCACCAAAAGCTTATCGCACGAATGGATTTCCTCGTTGGTTTTCTACAAAATTTAGCCGATATAACGACGCACAATTTGAGGAAGAATTCCAGCACATCTGCAAACTAATTGAAAACTTGAAATGTATTTTACGTCAAGTAGAAGAGATAATGCACAGAAAAAGGGAAAATGTTGCGAGACAAGATAGGGGACAAAAAAGGTTTGAATTTGAAAATAATGAAATCGCACCCAATGAACAGGAAGATTGTGTCATACCAGAACAGTCGATTTATAAAGGAGATGCAAATAGGGGAGGCAGCTATTACCAAAGAGCAGGGGAAGCAAACAAGATTGTCAGGAAACATAGCACGCCAAGCGGTACCAAACAATTTTGGAATGGAGTCACTTGAAGCAAGCGAGGACGCTTGTCCTTGAAGGGGAGAGTTATGTAAAAGGACAGAATTTCGTTAAGGAAACTTTTGCTTGTTTGCTGTTTGAATTTCATTTGCGTGCTTGACTTTCGTTAGCACCTTGGCCAATTTCCATGTAACAGCCTGTCTTGTGATCAGCTCCTTTGTTCTGTTTTGTATAACTGTCCTAATTATCTTAATTGCTGTTGAGTAAAATATTTGTTGACTTTTGTGAGTAATTCAGTCGTTTAATTTAGTCGCTAAGGTTTAGACGTGATTTCAGATGTTCGGATAGCCGTTGTTATTTCAAAAAGTTTGAAGCATACCAGTTTTGCCGAAGTGACCCGTTTAGTGGTTGTTGAATTAGATGAAACTATAGGAACCGTCGAGCCAAGAAATCAGAACACGCTTATTGAATTTTGTACTTTCTTTTACTGCCGAATCTGCGAACACAAGCCTGTAAAACCCTCGTAAACTCAGTGGTTTTACATGTTGGGGGTGTCACACCCCCCCCAAAAGTATCTCAATAGGAAATTTCAGGTAAAATCCGCTCGGTGGAAGACACGCTTTAGGTATTTTAGAGACCTTCATGTCATAAAATCAATAAAGAATCAAGCAAAGGTAGTTGCTCCGTTGGTTAAAGATGATATTCCTAGCCTGTGCTCCAGACCCTTAACCTGAAGGAAGACTTAATCACCTTGATTAGGTCTCTTCCTTCAGGTTAAGGGTCTGGAGCACAGGCTAGATATTCCTTGATATGAATGAAGGTAAACAAACTAATGATTCGAAGATTTGAAGATTTCTTGTTGCCACTAAATCGAAAAATCCAGGCACTCTCTAGGTAAAATTATGTCTTGTGTCCAATTCCCCTAAAGTTTCTCAGTAGAAGCGTCAACTGCAATTCACTGTGAGCTGCAGTTTTTTTTAACATTCAAAGTTACCTTACCTAGCTTCAGAAGTAACTGACAACCTGGTATTTCTCAAGACCACAGCGAAATTGTACCAGTTGTCTTTATCTGCTAATCAATTTGTTTGCAAAAAAATATTATTTTCAACAGGATTTGGAAGATTGCTTTAGTTAAATTTGCTTGAAAGAGTGCATTTTCCAGGGAACTAGAAGCATCAAAATTCGAAAATTTCCTCCTCCTTCGGTGGCAACCATGGTACCGCCTCGGGTAGTAACTATATCCTTTGCCCGTTTCGATAGAGATTTGACAAAGTTATTAGGAAAATTCCGTTATTATCAAATTAAAATGAAAGTTGCGAATTATATACAGAGTTAGATTGACAAAATGCATTGCAGAGGTTTGTGACAGCAACTAAAGAATTTCAGGCAAAGACTTTTTAATCAGGTAAATTTGTAGTTCACACCCCCCCCCCCTCCCCCAACAAGGCTTGCCTCGCGACGGCCCTGAGAATACACTTCATTAGAACGTAAGAACATGCCAGCTTCAGTTGAAAAATTAAAAGAAACAACAATGTGCTTTTGAATATTTACTCTCTCTCATTCTAATGAAACATAGCAGATTTTATCAATTAGTCACCCGTGCTGCTAAAATGTGGTGCAAAACAGTTTAATTTGATTTTAGAAACAATTTATAGAATATCATCGTTGACAAGTCAATGTTGAAATAAAAACCAACATTGAGAGCACCCGAACCACAAATTATTCAAAACTTAAGAACAGTGAACCTTCAGATGAAAAAACTGGTTATTTTGGTATTAAGGGTTCCTACAATCAACGGTCTATTGGGATTCCACAAGGATCCGATCTGGGCCTCCTGCTCTCAAACTTTTACATTAATGTTTGTTGCTCTCCATACAGGATACAGATATCTGCAATGGCCCAAATTATGGAACATTGTTTGTGTCTACATTACAATTGTAGAGTGTTTTATGATTTCACATGCCAATCACCCCCATTTTACATGGTCTTTA